TAATACAATTAATATCCCACATATACTTATGTTGAAACGTTAGTAGTTTTCGAAAATCACTCCAACGTCGATTTTCAATTTAAACTTTCAGTTACTTCTATATAAACTTTCATTTACTTTTTGAACCGAACCAAGGCAACTCGGCGTCCGTGACCTCTCTCAAAAACGGGGGAGCGTCACAGTGTCTTACCTGATAAAGACTTTTCTTTCAATTTTTTTTTTCAGAATATGGAGGCATTTAGGCACATTTTAGACATTTTTGTAAACATAGGTAGGCCGGAACATATTTTCAAACCAAAGTTGTAGATTTGCCATTAAATTTCCATTCCAGAAATACCTAGGGTTGCCACCTGTCCTTTTTTGAAAAGGACAGTCCTTTTTTGGAATAGCTTGTCCTTTTGACTTTTTTGACTTAAAAAGTCATTTTTATTTACGTATTTTCCCTGAGAAAATTACCTACAGCAAACAGAAATATTCTTTTCGCCCAAATTTAATTAGGAATGTTATAAAACTTAACTTATAAATATATTTTTCTTGTTTAGAATAGGCAACATTATTTAGAACTTACCGTTTAATCTCAAATGATAGTTTAGGTTTTAGTTTTACCTTTTTTTATCTTAAAAAAAACTTTTCAAAATTAGTACCTGATTAGTAACGATTTAGTTAGTTCGCAATCGATAGCTTCCTGTGAAGTACTGTGTAATATTTGTTTAATCTTGTATTATTAATAACTTCGACATCAATCTAAATCAATATTTAATGAGAAAATTGTGTTTTTTAAATATAAGACAAGATATGACTTTCGGTCTTCTTCTTGTATTATGATGGCTCTGATACGAGGCAATTGCCTTTTAGTCTCGCAATAGGAGGCATTTATCATTAAAAGTATAAAATCTGTGGCTACAGTATGGGATTTCTGTCGCATAATAATGAATACCTATTACGTTTATTTACAAATCCATTACTTTTAAAGGTAGCTTCATCAGATAATCAAATTTTAGTTAAATGTCCTAATCTTCATGAACTGTATTAAGCATATGTATTGCGGTTTGAATCACCCTGTATGTTGACAAAAATATTTTGAAAATGTGCGTTACAATAGTCCCCATCTTATGTAAAAAATTGAAATAAAAATCACAAACCAAAAACGTAATAGGTAAAAAGCTTTTTTGGAGGCCTGGGTCACTCTCTATATAGGTATGTATAAAACTAGTAGCCTAAGAATTATCTACAGTTCGTCCCATTCTAAAAAAAGTTAAACACACCGTACAAATAACTCTAGGAAGATGTATTTGTACGGTGGTAAAACATTGTCTAAACAAGGCCGAAGGGGCAAATATAATAAAGCAATAAAATGTAAAAAAGGTCGGGTAAACATCTTTGTTTATTTATTGAGCAAAATTCCTTTAGAATATCGTATTAATGACCAAAATAGGATGCAATTTTAAGAAAAAAATGTCTGGCTTATAATAAAGTTTCAAATGTACCGTTTATATTCAAATTTGTTATGATCTACAACAGTTAGGTAGTAATTGAGACGAATTATAATTCAATTACCGGCTACTACGTTCTTGTTTTAATAGATCAAAATTCAACAAATATAATTAGAAATTATTTTAATTGTGAGAGGCTCCCTTGTGGGACGCCTATGTACGATTACGGCGCGGCGGAAACAATACCTACCTGTGAATAGACAAATTCGGGAAATTTGAGCTTATTTGTCCACACATTTGACACTGTCGTACCATATTGAAAATTCGCAGATTCAAAAGTACATTAAGCAAAAACAAGAACTACTGAAAAACACTGAAAAGTTCACTTCGGACTTGATTCCGACTTCAAACACACCGTAAGGTAAACGTAGTACGCTATAACGGACCATGGGCCGTCGCGAGGGGTGGTGGGACGGACGGCTCATTTCATTCTGGAAGACTAGCAGCGACGTTGCCAATAGTTCTAGACGTTTCAGCACATTAAACAGTAAACATGTCCTTTAATAGTAACGCATATATCCTCTGTTTAATAACATATTATTACGCATGCTTCTTTAAAAATAAACTATTCATTTAATTAAGAAATTGAGATTTATTGATATCCGGTGAAGGTTTTAAAGTCACCTTTTCTGCAAATCAGACTAAGTAGATAGGCGCAAATTTGATATGTGGCAATGTCGCCTTCTCTATCTCAGTTGCTTTTTACAGTACGTAGTCAACCTCCGAATGTTTGATCGGGTTAAAATGCATAATGTGATATCTGTTCTTCCTAAATCTATGGTCAAAACAAATAACAATGTCAGGAAATAAATAAATAAATGTGGCAACTTAACATTTATTCCAGCAGAGCTACCACCTGAATCCCCAGCGGGAAATTTAAATTCCAGTTAGTCAGCCCGAAAATGTCCATGGTTGGCAACAATGAATTTGAAAATCGCGCCCTCGATTACGTAACTAAAAGTTTAATTGGTATCAAATATATTTAACTTTTGATATATTAAGTGACAAAGTTAAAGACAAAAATCAAACCAAAACGAAGGCCAAGAGGTGCAGATCAAACAATTCTATGCCAAAAACGGAAGCTTTGAAAGTCTAAACTTTTTTGTTTATTAATGTGAAGATTATTTTTTTATATATATTATATTTTGTTCAATAAACAATAATAGGAATAATAATAAACATGCATATTTGTTCGTTTAAAAGAACATTTTTAAATAAAGATAAATAATATCTCTAACTGTATTAGTTTAAATTCACGTGCCTGCTTTAAGTATAATGTTAACGTACACCTAAACCAAGGTAATTAAAAGATAAGGTTGTCTCGTAACTCGATCAGCCATAATCGAAAACATCATCTACTACGTCATAGGAATGATACCATAAAGGGATAAAAACTGCCCACAGTAGTCCGACAGTGCATTTCCGAATCGATATTCATTGTGTACTTTATTGTTTATAGTGTATGGCGTCAATAGTTTTCAGTTGTTTGATGTGTGTTTTCTTTATTGTATTGTCCATTTATCTTTTTTTGTCGGTTGCATTTTATTTTTTATTCCTTTTATCTATGATTTTATACGTTCTGTCTACGTCAGAGGGATGCTATTCCGCTTCGCTCCTATTGGTCCAAAAGTTACGAGACAAACTTATCTTTTAATAACCTTGCACCTAAACACAGCGTATTAGTTATTACAAAATTCAAAGTGTTGTAATGAAGTTCATAAAATGTCTAGGACACCCTGTATATTGTGTTAATATTATACTAGAATAATAGGGACTTTATTTTCTTTTAATAGTGACAGTCAATGTATTTTATTGTTAACTCATTATTGTTTCTATTGTTGAATTAAATAAGTTAAATATTTAATTGCCATTTTGTAAGAGAGTTTTGATCGGTTTTGGTCGCTGTGGTTCGGTGCGAGAAACCGAACCGTTTGCGTCGCTCTGCTGGTGCAGGCCGAGTGGAGGGGAGCGTCAGTCGAGTACCTTGGCTGCAGCAGCTCCAGATAGGCAGTTTGTGGTCGCACGTGAAACAGTGAGGTTCGAGTCCGGAGTGTCCTGCTGCCACCCACCGCCAAAGTGATCGAGAGTAGGTCGTATTCTTTTATTGTTAATGACGTTTACTTTACTGCCTTAACGCGTTACAGGGACAAGGGAGACAGAGATATGTATATTCCCTCAGATAGACGCAACTATGCACCTCTACGGAGGCTGGAGGCTATTTGAACGAATCGCGCGAGCGCAAAGACATAGCAAAACTTATATGCGATCAGGTAGATCAAACTGTGCACCTCTACGGAGGCTGGGGGATATTTGATCGGATTAAGTGGACGCGAGGAACGATTTCTTTTGTTAAAAGGGAGAGAGTGAGACAGCTAACGGTTAAGGTAGTTCAGTAAACGCCCGGGTCGCGAATATTCAAGGAGCTAGAACAAAATCTCGCCCAAATCCCGAGGCTGGTTTTGTAGCTCCCGTATTTTCTAGGTGTGTCGTCCGGACGGCATCCTGTGACGCCATCAGTGACGCTGGGCGGGATCTCGCCGAAATCCCGAGGTTGTCCTGACCGGGCGGTGTGTATGCGGGCTGCGCTTATAGTAACGACGTACAACTCGCCGAGACGTTGCTAACGTTTACGTCACTCCGGGACCCGCGGGACGCTGTTAATTTCGCGATCGATCCAGGGTTCGCGTTTGTGTCCACAGGACGCTGTTAACTTCGCGATCGATCCAGTGCTTGCGTTAGTATATCCCACAGGACGCTGTTAACTTCGCGATCGTTCCAGGGCTTGCGTTAGTATATCCCACAGGACGCTGTTAATTTCGCGATTGATCCAGGACTTGCGTTTGTGTATCACGGGACGCTTTTAACTTCGACGCCGATCCGAGGTCCGTGTTTCGTTGTCAAAACGGACGCCGTTCCGAGATATATTTAGCTGTGACCATCGGGACGCCTGTAACGACGTCGCCGCCGTTTAGAGAGTCGCGTCGTAGTAGAGTGTGTTACTTCGGTACTGACGTGTCTGTGTTCATTAGGACGCCGCTAAATTCGACGCCAATCAGGAACTCGCGTCGTTTTATTTAATAGAACGTCATTTCGGGAACGCGTTTTGAATTCACGGGATAGAATCAGTCAGAGAGTTACGTATCGGGAATAATCGATCAAAACTCTAGAGGTACACGGTTGTTATTGTAAATTTTACTTTACGGGTCTTTAAGTATGCATTTTAATTCACTGTTGTTACGATTCGAGGACGTGAACCTTCCTGGATTATTTTTGTACATAATTAATTAGTTAAATAAAAACCTAGTGTTACTTTATAGTTAATTGTGTGTTTTATTTTCTTTTCATCTCATCACTCCCTGATATCTCCACTGTATAAAAGCTACCCGTACTGGCACTAGTGGTCTCTCAAACACTTTAAACGTTGGGGGTGGCGCCCGAGGAACCGAACCAAGGCAACTCGGCGTCCGTGACCTCTCTCAAAAACGGGGGAGCGTCACAGTGTCTTACCTGATAAAGAAGATCGTGACTACCACCCCCTATAGACCGAAACAGTGCTCGCAAAAGCAGAAAATAATTGTACGGATCGGCTGCTGTCATTGCCAGTTCCATTGATCTAGGAATTAAATAAAAAACAAATTCAATATAACTATGATTAGAAATAGCCTTTAAAGAAACAAACCTGTTTACAATTTGATGTAAATGAGGCCTAAGCATATTTTCGTTTTCTTGTGGAAACAGAGACACACTACCAAAAACCAATTTGAACAATTTTAAGTACAATTGGCTTCGTTCTACGTTAGAACCCATCTCTTCCATCCTTTCTAGTAAATACTCAACTAAAACGGTTGCAAAAATGGGACTAGTAGCTGGATTTGCTAGTAAAGTATTAGGTACAGTTTGCAGACTAGGATTCTAAAAAAAAATATTAATCATATACAGGCTGTCCCAGTCTTGAGCTTGCATTAAAAGTATCTAGCGAATTTAAAATATCTAGATCGGAGATTTTTTAGTCATCAATGTTTCATAATGGAAATCGTTTTATTTTCAATCGTCAAATTTCTTATTTTAAATGTTTTCCCCATTTTTTCTTACCATACAGGGTAGTAAAAAAAATGAGGAAAGTTCAGCCTGGGACACCCTGTATATAACTAAATGACAAATATATCATATTGGTTATTGAATACCTACCTTATAAACTCGTTCCACTAGGTATTCAATAGTAGTTGAAAATATCTCGTGAAAAGTTTGATTATTCATCATAGAAAACACTCCACTAAAATGTTCCAGAACTTCTTTTTCGTCTTTATTTTTACTTTGATTAATCTGTTAGAAAAACACAAATAATAATCTCCTTGTTTTTTTTAATACAATATAAGATTTTATCTTACTCTTTGAATAGGAAGTATAGTCTGAGGTCCAACATTTAAAGTATAGATATCAAGGGCTTTTAGAGCCCATTTAACTAGCCTGACAAACACTAGGGTTTCATGAGGTTGGAAGTGCTTAATTTGAGCTAGAGTCTGACCCGAAGATGTTTTGCAAGCCGAACAACCCCAAGTAATAGTTTTTACACCACAAACCTAATAAAAAAATCAACAATTAGTACTTATCCCTATCAATTATTTTAAAGAGCAGTCCACAACGATTGAAATAGTTGGCAATACCTGTGGCAATACCTTGTTATAGTCTAAACAACTAATCAGGGCCGTGGCGGCTCGTGACCCGTGTGACTGGGTAGGCGACAAAATTTTAATTTACATAATACCCTAGCCCAGTTTGTAAATATATGTTATCTCTGGGTTAAAAATAGCGATGGGAACTATCGAATGAATTAGACTATCGAATGGTTACTGAATGAATGTTTTCAACTATCGAATGGTTTTATTCGAATAAAATAATTCATTCATTTGTATACTAAAGCATATGTGACAACCTCGCCGTGCGACTAAATGGTTATCCTTGCGCCACGACTATCGAATGCTTTTGATAAATGAAATTTAGTATTCGTTTGATTTTTGTGTGCGTCAGTGCATTATTAGTTCTTCCAAATTTTTATAACTTCGCCTTGTAAATACTATGCTATTTTTGAGTTTATTAAAATATTTAAAATACTAAAATAGTAGTTTTTTTTTAATTGACGATTGTGTGCGAAGTGGTCAAAATTTTTCCGAAAATTTGTGTGATTTTCCGTAGCCCGATCTTTCAATTATTTAATTTTATATGGTATATTATGGTTAGGTTAGATTGCATTTTTTAAAGGGAAATTTTGAGAAGTAGCAATTTTTAACAGAGATGAGATGAACTTACAATTAATTTTAAAAATACATATTTGTATTTTAGATGTTTTAATAATATGAATTAGTTGAACTTAATAATCATATTTAAGTAATGTGGTTAAGTAAATTGTTGTCAAACTCAAATTTTGGGGTGAGAAAATTAAATTGAAAGTTTTACACGTGCCAATTTAAAAAAAAGTTAACAATGTTTGTATTTTGTTTATGCTAATTCTCTTACATGTAGTTTTTTGCGAAGAAATATTTCATTTATGTTTTAAAGTAAATGCCAGCAAAAGTAAATATTATTTTTAAATAATAATATAAAGTAATAAAAAGTAATATAAATAATTTTGATTTCTAATTTTTTATTTATATTTTCCTTCCATTACACTGCATGCTTAGAAAATTAATAAATGTTTATATTTCATGATTTTAAAATTTGTTGTTAATATAACAAATTGGTTCTGTAATTATTATTATTTAATAAACCAACGTTGCCATTTAGAGACTATATTATTTTTAAATAGGATCTAATATAAATACTTTTAACTTCTATTTGTTGTTTATATTTTGCTACTACTTAAAACAAATGTTTATATTATTAAATGATTGTAAATTTTGTTGTTAATAGGTATAACAAATTATTACTGTTATTATTATTTATTAAACCAGTCTTTGCTTAAAAACATTAAAAATAATTTTCCTACATCCAAAATAAAAAGTATTATTGCAGTGTAACAACAGAATATTAATAAAAAATGCAAAACATATATAGACATACTATCTCTAACTAACTAATGCTAAAGAATAATATTCTTTGCTAATACCAACTAATACAAATATATGGCAACAGCGCCCTTCATAATATATTTTCTGTGTAAATACTAGCACCTCAATAAAAAAAATAATGTGTCCTTATCTTTATTTGACTCCGCAAAAAATCAAAGATGCCGGCTTCTTTCATAGCATTGCCACCGACCGCTGTCGGGTTTCTAGGAAAGAAACCTACGTCACCGGACGACAACCAAAATCCAGTTTATATTTTATTAAAATCGATCCTGACGAATAAATGAATTTGATAAATGAATGAATTTTATAAATGAATGGTTTTTGCTGCCGAATTACTAGAATACAATATTTCAAGGCAGATGACGCATCTATTCGATAATTTTTATTCGAATAGTTTTCGACGAATGTTTTCTTACTAGCTATCGAATTATTTGAATGAATTGCAACTATCGAATGTTTCGATAGTATTCATTCGATAGTTCCCACTACTAGTTAAAAATATAGCTCAAAAATATTTAGGACAAAACTAAAGCAAAAATAACAGCATTCAATGTAATGACATAATGATTGACATAATGTACAAGTATAGTTTTTATTGTTTTTACTAATCTATTTTATCTAATTTTTTTTATCTATTACTATGGAGTCAGTATGGAGTACATCATAGAATTTTATTTTATCTTTATTTATTTACGCAAACTTAAAAATTGGTAGTATTGAAAGAAAGAATAAGTATGTTTTATATATTAAATTGATGAGTCGGTCTCTTAATAAAGAAAAGTTATTTATTATTATATCAATAAAATCAACAGATTGTTGAAGAGCTGTGAAAGATCTTTTAAGATTGAAAGTAAGGCAAGTGGCGATAAACGATTATTTTTCATGGAATCTCTATTATAAATTTTAATGCATTTCAAACATGAAAAATGTCTCTCAACCCAAGTACTTGTAAATGGTGTAGTAACAAACAAAACAAACAATCTGGAAGCCTCTGGAAATATATTTCCAGATTATTCTCCTTAAATTATTTTATGCTCGAAATTATCATATCTATTATTAATACCTGCAAATTATTCATTAATTTATGTTGGTCAATAACATTTTTTGTTTGTTAAATCACTATTAAATGCGTTGGAAATGTATCAATATAACAAGTTCGTTAAATCAGATGTTAAATGCGTTGGAAATTTTTTATAGGATTCTTTCAATTTCGGATCCGCAAGAGATAAATAAAAATAATTGAGACATACGAGTACCTATCTGCAAACCTTATTTGTAAATGTATAACAATGTTATCTAATATTCCATAAAATAAAATTCGCAAAGACATTTGACTTAGCCGCTTTTTTTAGCCGCAAACATATCGAATTGAAATAGCACAGAGACTTTTCTGTAATATCTGTTGTATCGTCTTCTTGCACCAAATAAAATAACGCGCTTTTTTATTTCGGATTCTTTTATTTCTGTGGCGTGTTCTGAAATACAACCTGTTATATCATTTTTAATAATGTCGGACAAGCCCGAAAAAATGTTTCCAATTTGCTTTAAACGTTTTTTGAATTTTCATATAAAAGTTTTAAATGCTACGTATAATGAATCATATGAAATATCCCCTTAACGAAATGCGATATATCTCCTTATGAAATATCCGGAATATCCCCTTAACATCTAAGCCTGCAGAGGCTCCACGACTTCATGCGAAGGCGACCGGAGATTTCGCCTAAGCTCCGCCTTAATATGACACAAATCCGACTTACGTCGCGTCGCTACCGCACGATGAGTTAGACAGAGACAGAAGACTGCCGTACGTCGTGCATCGGCTCCAATAGTAGGCGATGTAGAAATCGCCGAACAAAGGCACTCCAGCGGTCAAAATTATTTTGTTTTCTAAAGCAGCGGCACAGTCAGCGGTCAGCGTACGCCAGCGGTAGTGAATATGTTAATATACAAGACCACAAATATTAAAATAATATTGATTATTAAAACACACTTCCGTGTATTAACATTATTTTTATGTATTGGCAACATTAATAGTAAATAATGTAATGTAATAACTCGCTTAAATTCTGCCAAAATCTTAGGGTAGGCGCCGCCTACCTTGCCTACCCTGACGAGCCGACACTGAATCAGGGAAGATTTCGACAGACGATGACAAAAAAAGGCAGATAAGTTAACTATGGATGGGTTACTATAAAGCCGTCATGCGTCTTCGTTTCAAGACAATATTATTGCGATTAGCACGGCACACAGTGTGACGAAATCTAGAACAGGTAAACATTGTCATTTTTTTCGTGGTTTTGATATAGCCAGAAATGTGATAAGGGAGGGAAGGGATTCAAAATAGGTATTTTGCATAGAAAAAAATACACGTTAGAGCAAGGAGAAAGTTTTATAGTACCATTACAAGTAAGGGTAACTTCGCCGTCGAATATAAGATCATTTTTTCAAACATTTTTTTGAAACAAACCAGTAAATAAAAAAATATTGTTTAAAAATGGTAGCAGTATTTTAATAAAAATAAGAGTCCAAAAAATATATTGTAAAAAATGTACACTAAATCAAACTACTTTATACATCATTATGTGTATTGCGTTAACCAATCAAATTTAAGAAAGAAGAATCGAAAAAAAATCTTTTCTGAACAAATATACATTTTTACATATAAAAAAAATTAAAAAAAAAATTGAATATTTAATAGTAGGCAAACAAAAAAATGTAAATGAAAATATTCTATTTTTAAATCGCTAAAAATCCGCAAATGTAAAAAGTTAAATATATAGGTACATTCAGATACTTATGTAAAGAGACAGACTAAAGATATTTATTATGATAATAAATATTATAAGCAAAAGATAAACTTAATTTTTAAAATCTTCTGTTTCGATAATATGTAAAAGTTCTTTGGCTTCAGGAAACAAATCCAGCCTTCCATTTTTTGAATATTTTGGTCGCAAATGCGAAAGAAAAGGATCCGAGATATAAATTAAATTTTCTTAAGATTTAGAGACATATGGATATTTCGAAAAAAAATATTTTCTTCCAGATCGTATCCAGGTGGATATAAATTAAATATAGCAGTATAACAATAAGAAAAAGTGCTGTTTAAAATTTTTTAAATGTGAAATGTTGAAAAAGAATAATTTCTTAAAATAAAAAATATTCGTAACCCAAAAATGTTACCAGACCATTAAAAAAGATATTAAAAAATTACTAATTAATTTTACCAAGATTTGATGACTCATAGATACTTTAACATTCAACCACTATAGCCTTCTTACTATAAAAAGAAGGAAAAAATCTTTAGCATAGTAAGCTCCTGGAGTGTCCTCTTAACATTCATGTAAAAGAAATTCAAAATTCGGTTGTTGATTTATTCGCTAATGTCCAGCATTTCTCAATTTCATCACACTGTGCGGCAGGGAGAATACCAAAATCAACTGCTTCGCGTTCACTTTGAAAGGGACTTACCAAAGTTTTCACTAAACTTCTGTAATCGGCTACGTTATAATTATTCGATGGCTGAATTCCAAATCTCGATTTGGTTTCTTTTTCCGCCACCGGAATGGTCGCTATATTATCGGCATTATCTGGAGGCTCCGTTTTAATCTCCACTCCGGTAGATGGAGCAGGCTGCGACGTTGTCTGTTCCTGCTTCTTTTGTTCGTTGCGACTTGTTAAGATAGGCAGCTGAATTTTAGCAATGGTCTTAAACTTAAGAACGAATACTTCCAACATTCTCATAAGCACTTCTCGACCTTCACTACTAAAATGGTAAGTAACTATTGATTAAAGGCAAAAATATTCTCAACACAAATCTCTCGTTTCAACGCGTTTGCGTTTTTGACACCAGTGACTTATTTTACGCGGTTTTATTAATACCATATCAGATATGAAAGGTATACCGGGTGTTTTTCAAAAGTGACTCACCTCTACCTTTTTTATTCTTTCAGATAAAAACGAGACTTGGTATGTATGTATACCATGCTGCCAACTCTTCCTTTTGGGTCGGTATTTACATGCATGCAAGTAAATCGCATAGGGATCTTATTAAGTCGGAGTGAGAGGAATGCGACGGTGTGCTGTTGCGGCGTTGCGACATTTCTCCGGTACACCTTTCCCTATCAAGTGAAGTAAAATCACGATAGCAAACCGCTTATTTTTAAAAGACTTTTTTTCGAAAAGATAACTAGATAAAATCAGTAGATATATTTCTGAGCATCTTCAATGGAATTATAAGGATATCGTTAAGGTGTCCATTTTTTTTGTAACGAGAAACGTCAGTAATCGCGGTGATTTAAAAACTCAGCTTTTTAACACATAATACGCGATAAAAAAAATCACTTTATATATCTAGAGTGTCGTGGCTGTATATATTTCTGGCCAAAGCTCCTTGATTAAAAATTAATGGTTTTTAACACAGCCACTCTACTCTATTTGATCTTCCTCTTAATTTAATCTACTACATAATATGTTGCCATATTATCAAAATATGTTTTTAAACCAAAATTTAAAAAAAAAATATACAAATATAAGTTAAATAATACAGTATTTTTTTTGTTACTGAAGCCGAAATATTTACCACGCCGAAAATATTTGCACTTATTTAAGACTCACTCTGTATATTTTGTTTAATAAAAAGTTTGTTTTAATATACACGGCGTTTTCAAGGAACGTAACCCACGCGTCAAACGAGATACTCCTGAAATAGAATTCTACAGAATAATTTACCTGTTTTCCTTTTCTGATTGTGTTCTAATACATTCCACCAAATTTAACAGCAATTTACAGGACATGGTTTGTATGGTAGTGGCAAGACTGTCGTCGTGTACATTCTTACTAAATAAATGCACAGCTCTAGTTAAATCGGCAAGGGGCAATTCCTGCCGGACGTGATGAACTAGATCGGCTAGAGTAGAATACGCTAGAGGTCGCAGTGACTCGTGGGTAGTCCAACCGCGACCCAACAGGACATCTTCGTCAAACAGTCGTTCCATATGAGGTACGAATTCTAAAAAGAAATATAAAAAAGTAACACTAACTAAACTGCCTGCCAAAAAAAATTGTATAGCCTAAAAGTCAAATTTAGTGATTACCACAGCCACTGTGACATAAAGAAAAGACATGTGGCTATCTATTTCAAAAATTAAATTGTTCAAATGTCATATAATAATGGCGGTAGCTGTCATGGAATTGAGCGATTAAAAAATTATCATAAATCATTTATACGCTTTAAAACTAAATCTTAAATAACTTAAAAACAATTAATTTTTAGTACAGGAACATGTATAGTCAAAAAGTCGAATGGAAAAGCCTTTTCCCTAGTGAAATAAAAAAAGTGGGTTTCGATTTGAAAAAAAAATGATTTATGATAATTTTTTAATCGCTCAGTTCCATGACAGCTGCGGTCATTATTGTATGATATTCGAACAATTTAATTTTTGAAATAGATAGCCACATGTCTTCTCTTTATGACACAGTGGCTGTGGTAATCACTAAATTTGACGTTTAGGCTATACACATATTTCTGACAGGCAGTTTGAATATTTTTTTTCTCAAAAACGGTTAACGTTAGATATAGAGTGTTTAATATCAAAATTCATAAAATTTTACGGAGAATTTAAGTATATAATAATAGCTCCCGTATATAGCGTTTAACGCCTTGGGAGTAGCAAGGTACAGCTTGCTATACTAGAGCCGTTCGGTATACACGGAAGGTAATGTGGCTAGCACTACGCTTCAACCGCCTATTATTACCTCAGGATTGTGAATCCCAAGTACTCATTTAAGGCTGAGTCGACCTAGGTACCCAAACTATTTTTATTTTAATAAAATAGTCGGCTGATTTAATGCCGGGTGTGGGAATCGAACCCACACCTTGAGATTGGTAGACGAGAGCCTGTACCTCTACGCCACCGGGCACCTGAGAATTTAAGTATGTAATAAAAAATGGGGGCGCCCATTTAATCAAATACGTTTAAATAAAATATACGACGGCCTCCCCATAAGAGCAATGAGAGGATTTACGTCCCAGTATTGAAGGAGGACAGAAAATCGAGTCGAATGTTCAAGACATAGGTTCATCCTTGTTTAGTCAAACCTCCTACAAACCAAGGATAGACTTATGTAGGAAATGCATTGAAATTCTATAGCCATCCTTCAATATCGGGACAGGAATTTAAGCGGTACCCTCCGTATACTTTATTTTAAACGTATTTGCATTTAATATAACTTTAATAAGTTGCTGTCAACTTGCGGTATTTCCGGAAGTACCACCATATTGAAAATATTTTTAATTGATAGATTTCGTTGTAACACAATGATGTGCAAAAAATCTCCAATTTCGTACATCCAATTCAATAGTGAGAAATCAATGAGTATACGCTTTGACCAGTTAATAACATTAAACATTTTTAAAGGTAAAAAAGTTTCAATGAGCATTAAAGCTTACACAATTGTAACTAACTAGAGAAAAAAGCCAGTGGCGCCCATGTTTTTTTTAGAAATATATTCCAGTGATAACCCATATATGCACGTCTCTGGTGAATATTTCGACACATTTTAGCATTAAAATATGTCGAATGTTTTATTAAAGTAACTTTTACCCTCAAAATATCATTCGTGTCGCTAACAGCACTTGGAAGGAACCGATAATAAATTGAAAAAGGAAGTCGACTTTAACACACTGTATCTAGGAAAGAAAACAAAATCGGGCCTATCTATACTAATATATAAAATCCTTAAGTGACTGACATACTGATTAATCACGATCCTGCTCAAACCACTCAACGTAAGAAGCTCAATTTTGGCATACAGGTTGATTCTAGGTAGAGGTTCGATAAGAAGGGATTTTTCGAAATTCCAGTTCCAAGAGGGTGAAACCACCCCTCAAATATTACAATATCAACGGTCGAGTTTCCGAAAAAACGCTTAAACACGTATATTTTATTTTGTTTTTTTTACATATTTTAAGATTTTTTAAAAATGTATACAGGGTGTTTCGAAAAATCTGGTCATTGATTAATCACGATCGTGCTTAAAACGCTTGACGTAAAAAGCTGATTTTTGGAAAAAAGATTGACTTTAGGGTGTAGAGGTTCGATAAGAAGGGATTTTTCGAAACTGGAATTCGAAGGGGGTGAAACTATCCCTCAAATATAAAAATATTTTTTATTTAAAAACCGGTGAGTTTTTCAGAAAAACTCTTAAACACGTATATTTTATTTTGTTGTTTTACATATTTTAAGATTTTTTATAAATTTATACAGGGTGTTTCATATATTCAAATATGACCATTGAGTAATCACGATTCTGCTTATACTGCTTGACGTTTAAAGCTGATTTTTGGCAAACGGATTGACTGTGGGGTGTAGAGGTTCGATAAGGAGGGGTTTCTCGAATCTCAAATTCCAAAAGGGTGAAAACGCCCCTCAAATATTACAATATTTGTTAATTAAAAACGGTTAGTCTTTCGGGAAAACGCTTGGACAAGCATAATTTATTTAGTTTTTTACATATTTTGAAATTTTTTAAAAAATTATACAGGGTGTTCCAAAAAGTTGGGTAATTTCTTAACCACGATTCTGCTTAAACTGCTAGACGTAAAAATCTTATTTTTGGCAAACGGATTTTTCGAAACTCAAATTCCAACAAGATGAAACTACCTCTCAAATATTACCAATTCCAATTTTTTTTTATAAAATTTTGAGATTTTTCAATATTTTATCCAGTTTGTATGTTAATGGAAATTCTTGCTTTGCTTTATCATCACCATTACAAATGATTAATTCGACGCGAACGAAGTCGCTGGTACAGGCTAGTGTTAATATAAAAATAGACCTTATTTTTACGTGCGGAATACCCGCACGTTTTTTAAACACCCTGTATAATTTAGAAATAAAAACCTACCGTTTCTCAACTCCGTAGCCAAGATATGTCTGGCGGCTATAAGCAGTTCCCTCCTTAAATGAGCCACTTCCATTGGACACAGTGTTAACAAACCTAACATGCCCTGGACCATCATTTTTGAATGGCTCTTTACCACCGGTTGATATATTTTAATGATATAGGCTAGAAAGCTGAGCGTTTTTATTTGAGCTCCCATAAAATCAACGAAAATCTCTTTGTTGAACGTGTCCATCTGGCGCTGTTCTAAAGTAGGTTGTAAAGTTATGGTATCCATTATTAATGGGATGAAATCGCTAACATCTTGCTCCACATTCTGTTTGTATAGCTGGTACATCAGAACAACTATTATAGGTAGTTCTTGAAGCACTTTTAAGGATAAAACAGCTTTTGGAATTAGGTAATACTAAAATCGTACAAATATAAATAATATTAGAACAAAGAGACGGTAATTATTTCCTGTACTATGGGCTGGCAAAGGTTAGTTTTGGGCCTAGATATCCATATGTAAGAAGAGTACAATGCGATTATAATATACTGAACAAAGAGACAACAGTAAAAACGTTGCCAAACGTATGAAATAAACCAAGAAACTGTGCACATTGTTAAGAGACGTGGAAGGGGATACAGCAGATTCGTCGCGGTCGACTCAATCAGTACTTAAAATTCTAGGGAAGGAACATAATGCGTTTAGCTTCACGATTTAATTACGTCTAGTAATATTTTATTTGTTTATTTATTAACGAGTCGTTGTAATTTTCCCTATAGCTTATAAATTTTTAAGTGCAAGTTAGAAACGCTAGCAACTTTTGTGAAAAATAAGTGAAATTGAGTTGGTGTTCGACAGTGGTCGCGCTATTAGAACTCTGAATTCAAAAAATCGATATCTCGAAATCCGTTAGAAATAATTGATTGTAGTTTTTTTTTCAAAAAGTTTCTTAATATTTTTCTGCTATATTTTCTTCGCAGACAGAATTCTGAAATGAAGAATGTGAAAATCTTTATAAATAAAAAAGTAACACAATAATTGCTGAAAATTGCTATACACTAAAAGTAAATGGATGTTTTTTTTTAATTCTGAATGGAAAAAAGCCCATCAAATTTTTCTTATTTAAACATCTTGTAAAATATCCAAACTTCAAAATAAAAAAAGTTTCAATATCTAAAGTGGTTCTTGAGTTATCGCGTGTTATGTGTTAAAAAGTTGAGTTTTTAAATTATCGCGATTACTGACGTTTTATCATTATAAAAAAAATCCTTATAATTCCATTTCAGAAGCTCAGAAACATATTTAATGATTTTATCTAGTTATCTGTTCGAAAAAGTCTTTTAAAAAATGCGGTTTACGATCGTGATTTTACTTTACTTGATAGGGAAAGGCGTACCGGCGAAATGTGGCAACGCCGCAACAGCACAGCGACGCATTTCTCTCATTCCGACTTAAAAAGATCCCTATGCGATTTATTTCCACACATGTAAATACCGACCCAAAAGTAAGCGTTGCCAGCACGGTATAGTTTTCTGCTATTTTGTATTTTTTGAAGAAAATAAATATATTTAAAGTAGATCGTATTGAAGGGAGGAAGAGTTAATCACATCGACCTTATAGATCTATTGTGTGACTCTCGGGGCTTTGACAAAAGCCAGTACTGTGATGGTTTGAAATTTTGGAAAAGTATAAACGGGATTAACCATTTTCGAACAAGCAAAAATTTTAATGAAGAATGCATTTTTCTCAAAATGTCAATAATAAAAAAGTTTTCCCTCTTGTAAAGACAATCCGGGGACAGATTGTATGTTTAAAAACAAATGTAAAATAGCAAAAAACCGTATTGAAAATAATAACCTAAAAAAATAAACTTACTGCTATTGCTGTACCATCTTCATTTCTTTCCTGGGTCTGTATTCTAGTTACCGTAAAAGTTTCATTTAAAAGTTCGTTAATATTTACTTTGCTCAAATCTTCCACCTTGATTTGACTTTTTGGTTCGAAAATTTTCGGCATATGATTAGGCAAATTTAGATAAATCGACTTAACGAAATGTAAAAATCTGGAAAAAAATCTGGTAAATTTTTTAATTTTGTTTGAAACTGTTTGTTTAATTGTTGTGTTATGTATGATTGTTGTGTATGTATGTATATATGTACTGTTCAATTCGTGAGGTTTGGAACTTTCGTCACAGATTGTCATTCTCTCTCTTATCCATGTTTATCACATGAAATGGAAATTTTGTGTCAAAAACGTAAGTCCATTATATTGATTACATCGTACGATTATTTTATTCTTTTTATATACTGATCACATGCTGATCACTATTATTACGGATAAAATATTTACGTCCTTGTCCGATAAGCACGAATAGAAAAGGACAAACATCGTGTTTGTATTACCCGCCGAAATTGAACAATACGGAACGCCGACTGTCAAAGTTGTCGTTAAATTTTAACGGCTCCGATAGTTTCCCGTAAATTTTTCAAAGAGGATTTTTATCACTTTTGATATTTTTGTGGGAGATTTTCTGTGTTTACTGAGTTATTTGTGATTTAATTTGTGTTTAAAATGCCGTCCCGTTTTAGTGAAAACGAACAACGGCTCATATTAAAAGTTATCCAGTATTTCAAACTCGAAAAAAATGCTGGAAACCCATTTTGCCTGTGTCGCTGTTTACGATGTAATTGGACAACTATCAAGTTAATATTTTTTAACTAAATCGAAAATATTCACGTGTTTTATAGAGAGCATCGGAGGCTTTAGGAATTTCACGCACGACTGTGCAAAGAATCAGTTCTAGAGGAATCGTGAAAGATGAAGAACAAAAAGCAGCAACAAGTCACAGAATTGCTTTGTCCCGTGGAATTCCTGCTTATAAGATACATGAACATACAATTAGAACACGTATTTATTCAATGTATGCTGCAGGTAGGCTACAATAAATTTATTATTGTTTAATATTATATGTATCTAATTTTTCACTGTATGGGATTATATAGGGGAACATATTACATTACAAACTTTGCAAGCAAACCTTCAAAACATTGATGATGTTCAGTTGTCTCTGACTATGTTGGGGAAAGGACTTAAATATTTGCAGTTTAGATGGCAAAGTTGCAAGCATTCTAACAGGAAGTATTTAATGGAGCAGCCATATATTGCACAGAAGAGACTGCAATTTTTACGACAATATAAAGAAAATCAAATCTCTGATTGTTCTTTCAGACCAGTATTTCTTGATGAAACCTGGATTTACAGTAAGGGTGGATTTAGAAAGAGCTGGCAAGATGGCAGTCTACAAACAGTTCGTAAAACATCTGGAGAAGGAGTAAGGTACATGTTTTTTACATATTCATTGGTTCACTTATAGGTCAGTTAGAAGGGAACAAATAGAGATACAAACAATAATATATGATAACTGTTAAGTTGTTTCTAGTAAGTAACATATGAGCCATGCACTGCACAACTCAGTTAACTCCACTTTTAAAAATTTTTAAATTTAAGTGTAAAACCAATTGTAATATTCAAACAGTTTTCCAAAAAATAGACAAATAGACAAATAATAACCTCTGATGTTTGGAAAATGTTAAGTTATTAATATACCAACTGGATTTACACTTAAATTTAAAATTTTTCAAAATGTATTGTTCATCACTTAGACAAGGAAAGGGGGGGACGGGCATTACCAGTAGAAATTTTGTGATGGAAAATCGCTAGGCTCCATGCCAAGGCCGTTTGTGAAAAGTGATTCCTAGTTCTTTCTCTCATTACAGATCTTAGAATTGTAAGCACAACAAAACACCATACTTAAATAATAATTATTTCAAGTCTTTAAAAAGCTTTTTACAGCACAAAATACAAAAAAACACACAATTTTTAGGAGCCAATCACAAAATTTGATATTGGCCGTAGATGTCGATTACGCGTCCCCTCTCTTTGCTTGTCTAAGGTGCATGAGCAGTAAACAGCTGATATAACGATAATGTTTCTAACCTAAAGAGTGAATGCAAAGAAAAACATAAAACGTTACATCTGCATAGCAACAAGTGTGCACCAATAAATGCATGGGATTATATAGATTACATTGTAGTTTAACTGTAAAGAAATGTACCTTGTACTTCATTTTTGGGTATGTATGATAGTGATTTTTTATTATTGCATGCTGGGTCAGAAGATGGATTTGTGGAGAATGCTAGCTTAGTTTTCAAATCAGGCACTAAATCGGGTGACTACCATGATTCAATGAACTCGGCAAATTTTGAAAAGTGGTTTGAAGAACAATTAATTCAAAATTTAGGTGATAATTCACAATAAGCTCTTAGGAATTATATTATGATTTTTTTTAAAATTATATTATGTTTAATGGGAAAATCTAATATTGTTAATCTAAAATTTAGATGAACCATCTCTGATTATAATGGATAATGCTCCATACCACAGTACCCTTTTCGAGAGAACTCCAAATCAGAGTTGGAGTAAGGAATCCCTGATTAATTTCTTGCAAGAAAAGGGAATCCAATCACCACCTCTGGCAATGAAAGATCAGGTTTGGAATATTGTCAAGCAGAATGTTGCACCTAAGAAATACAAGTAAGTCAACAAACAGTCTTATTACTTTGACATGAATGCAATTGTATATGCGATATGTTGATTTAACATTATAACTTTATTCCATTGCATTTATTTGGCAGACTGGACGAATTAGCCAATGAGAAAGGACATCGTGTGTTGAGACTTCCTCCATATCATTGTCAGTACAATCCCATCGAAATGGTATGGTCAGAATGCAAGCGCTACTATGATGCCAAGATTAGTGCCATTCATCCTGTTACAAGTGATGCAGTATTAGGTCTTTGGAAAGAAGCACTTGAGAAGGTAGATTACATGTGGTTTAGATTATTTTATATTAAAAGTTTTATTTTAGGTTACACCAGAGAAATGGAAGAATTATATCAGACATACCAATAGCATAATCGATAAAGCCTGGGCCCAAGAACAACTGATTGATGCCTCCGATATTCTACCTGTAATTATCGACACGAATGATTCCGATTCAGATGAGGACAATTATTTAACTGAGGGAGAAGAAAGTGTGTAGTGTTTAGTGTCTAGTATTATTTTTCATACATATTGTTTTATGTTGTACAGTGTGAGTCAGTGACAGAGTAAAGAGTAAATTTAATTAGTAAATTAATTTTAAATATAGAGGGGACTCCAAAAAGTGAGGCAGATATATATTATAAATAATGTTATATACCTAGAACTAATAGTTTTCTTAATATTTATTTAAAAAAATGTGTTATGCCAGCACCGACATGGTAGTGGCATTGTGTAAAAACTTTTCTATGCTAATCACTGGTATGAAAGTATTTACATATTGCCACTACCATGCCAGTGCTGGCATACCAGTTAAATTGGCGATAGCTACAGTATATAATAAATCAACAATCAATCTTTATATACAAAGGTTATAGAATTTTGGGCAGAATCTAAATATAAAATAAAAAATTATTGTATTGGGTGTTACATTAAAAAAATATTATATCTGCCACACTTTTTGGAGTCCCCTCTTATTTAAAATTAATTTTAAATTGTGTACCTGATAGCACAGGATCAGGTTGCAGGATTATTAAGCTCATAATGTAATTAAAATATAATTTTTATATATATTTGTGAATAGGGTAATACACTTTTAACGGGATGCCAATCAAAAAGTGGCCACAAATAGGGGTTGCCACAGTTCGAAGTCGTTCCTACTACTTTATCCGGGTCCGGCAACAGTGAGTCAGGCATCTGTTGCTCCTATAATAAAAAAAATTGTATGAATGCAAACTGAAAGTATGTATTAGGAAGTATTTCATGAAAATATTTTAACTTCTACAGGGTGGGTCAAAAAAGTAAGCGAATCGGAATGATTTTTTTAAATGGAACACCACATATGTTATTGCATTTTTGGCTTCTTTTCTGATCACTTTACATAATCCTAAGATATAATTAAATATGTTTTATTAGTTTCAGAACTATTAGGTACTAAATAAATAGATAAAAATACTTCAGGCTTTTATAACACAAAATATTAAAAGTACTTTTTTAAAATACAAGAAATGTCAGGTACTACTTTGCTATAAATATCGTAATCTTAAACCATACAGGGTGTTCAAAATCCTATGCTAAACTTTCTAAAATATAAAATAGTTGTTCTTCCTTTTTAATGGAACACTCTGTATATTATGTGTTGTTGATGAGGAATTAAAAAATGCACATTTTTTGTATTTAAAGTATTTAAAATCTTTAGCGGTTCTATTTAAAATAAAGCAAAAGAAAAACTGTTTTATATTTTAGAAAGTTTGGCATAGAATTTTTAACACCCTGTATGATTTAAGATTACGATATTTATAACAAATAAAGTAAAGAATAAATATAGTAAACACCTAATATAGTTTTGATTTCAGGACATTTCTTGTATTTAAAAAAGAAAGGCTGAAATATTTTTTTTTTTATTTATTTAGCAATTGTTCTTGAAACTAACAAAACATATTTAATAATATCTTAGGATTATGTAAAGTGATCAGAAAGGAAGCCAAAAATGCAATAAAAATAATCCCAATTCACTCAATTTTTGGAGCCACCCCGTAGAAGTTAAACTATTTTCGACAAATACATCCTAATATATACTTTCAGTTTGCACTCATATAACATTTCTAAGTTGCGGCCATTTTTCATTGGCCCCTGTTAAAAGTGTATTCACCTATTCATAAATATATTTAAAAATTAGGATTTGATTATCTACATGATGAACGTAATAATCCTGCAGCCAATCTTAGACTATGATCATTCTCTAAAATTATTCAATTTAATTTTTTTTTTGTTAGTCTCGAAACAAATGAGATAATGGACTTTATCGTTGACACACCCTGTATCTTAAGATTTATATATTAATATAATATATATTTACTATAATGTCTAGTGGTATATTTTTGTACTGTATATATTATGTTATGTATTATGGAGTCATATTCTTGTATTGTCTGTTGTATTTTTTTTGTACTTATGAGGTTTTATTGTACATTTGGGAGTTTTTTCAGAAATATATAATTCTATATTCTGTTTTCTCTCATTTCCAAGAGTTTTTTGCATATCCCGAATATCTGGCTGACATTATGTTATATTGCCAACACATCTATTTTTTGATCTTAGCTTTTATCTTCACTACACTTTATCTAAATACAGTAAACATAATTTTAATATGTAGTGTTTCAAATTTTAGTAGAATCTAATTTTTAGACATAGAATAAATTTTTAGTAGAATGATTGTAAAGAACAATGATGAACATGATTTTTAATCATTTCTTTTATTATTAACTATTAACTTATTAATACTTTTCTTGTGGTTCTAGAAAACTTTTTCAGAATAAATCTGTAGTTCTTTTCATAAAATTAATAACATTTTTTTATTTATAAACTAAAATAAATATTTACAGCTTACATTGTAGATATAGTGCAAAAGCCAAATTTAACGTTAACGGTGTAACGCTAACATGAATACAATAGCTCCCTACTAATAGCGATAGCACCTTAAATGTTTACATCTATGGATCAACTCAGGAAATACGTGAAAACCAATATGGCGCCGAAAAAGATGACGAAAGTGCCTAAGTTCCCGAATTGAAATATATGTAATTGTTGTGTTGTGATCTTTGAATAAAAAGATTAAAGAAGGAGTATAATGGCTATATATGTATTCATGCATAGTAGACGGACAATGTGCCCTAGGGTGGGGATCCTTGACAGTTCTGTTTGACAATTCATTTGACACATTTGAATTTGATTTGAAATTTTGTGGATTTGTCAGTCTTTAGTGAGCTTATTTTATGGTATTTACTAGTTATTCTAGTACTAATAGTTGTTTAAAGGTAGTAAATTTAGAAAGAAATTGTGGCAGAACTTAAATTAACAGTGACACACTATTGCGATTTATCGAAAAAGACTAAAATAGTTGGTTGTGTAGCGGGCGGTAGATCTCGTTCAAAAAGCGAGGAAAATAATGGAATAACTTTTCGCTAGTGACTATACAGGGTGCTACAAATTCGAGGTACGAGAATTGGTATCTCGGAAACCGTAATAGATACGAAAATGGTTAAATTGGGGCTAAGTTGCGCCTTGGGATGTTCACCAAGATGCTATCAAAAAAGTTTTTAAAATTTCAAGGATTGCTGAGTTTTTTGGAAAAAACGAATTTTTTTGAAAATCAATTTTATTTTTTCCTGTCGTTACTTTTTAGAAAATCAAAAAACTTATTACATATTCTCATAGCCACTTTATTAGGGCTATCTGACAGTATTTTTAGATTTTCAAATTAGCTGATAATTTGTGAGATAAAGAGGCCGACTTCATTTTTTTAAATACGGACCTGCATTTTTTATTTCAGTTTTTGAAAGAACTCGGTCTCCTGAGTACAACGATATGCCACACTTTATATTTTGTTTTGTTTTGGGTACCTTAACAACAACAAAACTATTTAATTATTATTTAAAATATTTTCAAGTCCGACCCTGGTTTCTTAAAATATTTAATCTGATTATATTCATTTCAACAGTATTGATCAGCGCTAATTAAAATTGAATTTGGAATCGAGCCAATTGAAAGATTCAAATAAATAATATTCAGCTCAGCACTTTAAAGATATTACTAGCGTGTACCAGCGACTTCTTTCGCGTCGAATTAATCATTTGTAACGGTGATGATAAAGCAAAACAAGAATTTCCATTAACATACAAACTGGATAAAATTTTCTCACATTTATGTCAGCATGAGAAAAAAACAATATGGCGATATTATTATATAACTTGGTAATATTTGAGGGGTAGCTTCAACTCGTTGGAATTTGACTTTCGAAAAATCCGTTTGCCAAAAATAAGCTTTTTACGTCAAGCAGTTTAAGCAGAATCGTGGTTAAGAAATTACCCAACTTTGCATAACACCCTGTATCTCTGTATCTCACAAATTATCAGCTAATTTGAAAATCTAAAAATACTATCAGATAGCTCTAATAAAGTGGCTATGAAAATGTGCAATTAGTTTTTTGATTTTCTAAAAACTAACGACAGGACAGACAAAAAAATCCGTTTTTCCAGAAAACTCAGTAATCCTTGAAATTTTTAAAGCTTTTTTGATGGCATTTTGGTGGACATGACGACCAATGCTCGTACCTCGAATTTGTAGCACCGTGTATATACTCTGTTTTTTTTCTCAGGTAAGATTTCGACAGACGATAACAGAAGAAAAGCAGATGACGTCCCATACCAATCTATTTATTTTACTGAAAAAAGTTTCTAATATTTTTTAAGTTAACTATGGATAGGGTTAAATATAAATCCGTTTGTTTTTAACCAGTTTTATTGGTTTATTTCAACAAGAACAGATCATATTTCAATTTTATTGGTTTGACGGAACGATGAACGACAAACGGGCGCCGATGCGTATGAACCGCCTTTAGATTTTTGAGGCTTGTCAAAGTCTTGCCAAATTATAGGTTATAATTTTGTGTCAACTTATGTCAAATATCCTGCGTTTTGGAAGATAATGCATTTTGATTCGTATTACTACGTGTGTTTTGTGTCCTTTGAAGTCAAGTGGAGGAAAAATCGAGGGAAAATTAACTGTAGACCCAGAGCACAGTTTATAGTTAATACTCGCTGCCCAGGCAGAAAGTCTTATACACCAATAAAGTTACTATCAATAAAGTTTGTTACCATCTCGTCGTAGATAAGTGCATCTCGTATATGGTACAAGGATCGTACTAAACATATACTAAAAACTGGAGTAGTTGTAAAATTCACACGATAGGTTAATAATGGATTTTAGTACTGCAGAAAAATAATGTCAAAAGGTACTGGTTGAAAAAAATTAAGATTAAAGTTAATTAATCAACCTTTATGGTATAAAATTTGATAAGTGGTATTATTAATAAAATAGTTTTATCTATGTTGTTTTATTTATTCCTGTGGAATATTACAAATTTGTATTTGTACATAAGTTATATTGATAAATATAATAATAAAAGCGGGAAGTTTCTTGAAGCTTGAAAGTAAGAAATAGTTCTTTTTTATATCTTTTTTGGTATGTGGTGTTTTGTTCTTTGTGTTTTAGTAACACGTACCGTTTTTTAAATAAAATCACTCGATTACATTTTTTCAGTTTTATACAGTTTTTTTACAATATTTTGAAGTAATCTTGTCAGTCAGTCAGTCAGACTTGTCAGTCAAATTTTAAATATATTAATTTCCTGCAATGCGTTCCAATTGTACCAACTTATTTCTTTGTAAAATAAAATAAACTACTTTGAAATTAAAATGACAGACACATCTATCACTGTCAAGGATCTTGTTGGACAGACTATAATATATGTACATACGTGTAGTAAACCGATCACTTATAAAATTCATTTAAAATTAACTAATTATATATTTTTTCTTTTATTTACTACTTCTCCAAGAATAGATGTCAAATAATTTAGATATGTCAATTTGACTTATCTGCTTCAATAGCGTATCGGATTTTTGTGTTATAACTTATCTATTTTTATAAGAATTATAAAACTTTTATTTTTTATTTTTATTATTTATTAAACGAATATTTTATTAAACGTAAAATAAAACAACAAATTATATTATATTATTACATCATATTTTTACACGGGTTGAATAAAATTAGAACGGCACTGATAAACCGGAATTTAAGTCGGCCATTTTAGGAGCCCGTCGCGTTCGATCTAAGATTTTTTATATGCTCCTTCCTTAATCTTTTTATTCAAAGGTTGCCATAGTTTAAAATCATACGATTAGAAGAAAATCATATTTTAAATTAATAAACTACTTACTTTTGAATTGCAGAGCTAAATGCCGGTTTGTATTGTTTATGTAACTCTATAATAATTTTTAAACAAATTAATACATTTTCTTCATTATCGATCTCTAGAAGTTTCAACATTAGATTTAAAATTGATGTCACGTACGGTTCTAGATGCTCGTTTGTAGGTAGACGATACAGCATTTCAAGTATTAATTTTCTAACCTAAAAAACATCAGTAAAATGTTTAAATTCATTCATATTTATACACGGTGTCTCATATAAGAATGCACGCTACAGGGGCCTCGTAAACCAAAAGAGAAACAAAGTTGATTCAATTAGAGGATGGATGATTTAAAAAAATAATGTTGATGATGGTAGTCCACACATCAACTTGTAGAGCAGCAAAGTAATGGGAATGTGAAATTTGTATTTTCATATATTTTTTTTCAATATATTTCAATTTTATTTTTATTAAAAGCAACACGTGCAAAATGTTCAGGTGCTAAAAACGATATTGCTAGCCCATTTGTTTATAAAAGGAAAACGAAAACTATATATTTAAATCTTTGTAAAAGTGTATACAAATTAAATATACCACCATTATTTGCGCCCAAACTTTTATTAATTACATACTTAATTGTGTTAGTTATTAACTTATTCTAAATAAAGATAGATTTGAATCAGAAATCAATATAATAAGTTATGAATATGAACGTCTCTGTTGTTATAAATAAGCATTCGTCAAAAATTAAATAAAATTTATAAGGTGTTACTTTTACCACACTATCTAATACACTTACAAAATTCAGTTTTTTAGTATTTGGAGCAATTTTATGGATCAACGCAGACTGTCAATTAATGTAGTTCGAATACTAGGCTCATATTAATTGGTCCTCTTTTATAAATATTAAAACAGTTTTTTTAATTTTTTAATGAACTAACCGAACTGTATCGACAATATTAGTATCTGTACTCTTTGAAAATTTGTTACATCATTAAAAATAATCTAAAATATCAATACCTCATGGGTATATTGATAAATAAGGTCTAAATTATAAGAAAATACATTTTATACGAAAACTCGAAGAGCTAGGAAAAAATGGTACAATACAATTTGATAGACAATTAAATTGTGTATCTGATTCTCGTAAAATATAGAGGGTGTTCCATTTAAATTAAATAAGTTATTGTCGTTTAAAGCTAGTAATAATTTAAAATAAATTCTTAGACACTCTGTATCAGGTAGTATAATTTTTATTATTGCAACAAAAATTTTAGTAAATAAAAAAACTTCAGTACAATATTTGGTTTTAAAAACTTAAGCCTAGAGAAATAAAGCATTAAATTTGTTACTGAAAAAATGGTACAATACAATTTGATAGACAATTAAATTGTGTATCTGATTCTCGTAAAATATAGAGGGTGTTCCATTTAAATTAAATAAGTTATTGTCGTTTAAAGCTAGTAATAATTTAAAATAAATTCTTAGACACTCTGTATCAGGTAGTATAATTTTTATTATTGCAACAAAAATTTTAGTAAATAAAAAAACTTCAGTACAATATTTGGTTTTAAAAACTTAAGCCTAGAGAAATAAAGCATTAAATTTGTTACTGAAAAAATGGTACAATACAATTTGATAGACAATTAAATTGTGTATCTGATTCTCGTAAAATATAGATGGTGTTCCATTTAAATTAAACAAGTTATTGCCGTTTAAAGCTAGTAATAATTTAAAATAAATTCTTAGACCCTCCTGTATAATTTTTATTATTGCAACAAAAAATTTAGTAAATAAAAAAACTTCAGTACAATATTTGGTTTTAAAAGCTTAAGCCTAGAGAAATAAAGCATTAAAATTGTTATTGTATTTTCACAAAAACGTAAATATTTGAAAAACGGTAAGATTAAAGTGCGGTAAATCTTAATCAAATTTACCTTTATTATAATCGTAGAAACTAAAAATGTAATAATATACAGGGTATTTTATTTAAAAAAATACAACTTTGTGGTAATCACTTGGCTACAGTAGTCCGTGTCTAATGAGGTGAATAACCCTGTATATAATACTTACTTGGTGTATGTTATATTCTGCTATAAAATGAGGCTGCCCTTCTTGCAAAATCTTTATGAATGTCTCTACAGCGTGTTTCAAAAACGTGGGATAACGGGTCGAATTTAAAATCAGCTAAAAAATTATATTAACCATTAAAATATCATAGTCGTATTAAAAATATTCTCAATAATCCAGTAAAATTGTATCGCCGTAGAGAGAGTGAAAAAAAAATTACGGGCAAGCTGATTTTTTCAGAGTTTGTCAGCGACTGTCTTCTGAGTGTAAAATTAACAAAATCGGTAATTTTCCCCTTGCGGTTTTTGAGCAATAGGGGTGGTTTTTTTAAAACTGTACTACAACAATATAATTAGACGCAAATTGTATATAAGAACATTCTCTATAAGTTCGCCTAATGATTTTTTTTTATAAGTTTATTATTTCCGGGCTTAGCGGCCGTTTCATGAGCCCTTTGGGGTGGTTTTCAAAAAGTTTGTTTTACAGCAAATTGACCCGTATGAAAGTTGTTCACAATAAATGGACAAGCAACTTTTCCACATGAATTATTTTTGTACCTTGATTATTTTTGGAGATAGCGTCCAGTTCATGAACAAATTAGGGTGGTTTTCAATGTTACTCTTTTTTCAGCAAATTCACCCTAGGAAACTCGTTCAAAATAAGAGTACATATACCTTTGCCTTTTTTTGTAACTTGACTATTTTTGGAGATAGCGCCCAGATCATGAACAAGTGGTGGTAGCTTTAAATGTCTTTTTTTCAGGAAATTCACAAGTGCTATTGGAAAATGGATTCGTGTTTTATTTTCAAGAAATTATTGAATGTTGCTGAAATTGTGGACGTTCAGAGAAAAGGACTGGCAACTTTTTGGGGAAATAAATACATATCATAGGGAAGTTTGTATTTAATTTTAATATGAACACCTTTAAGTTGGTAAATTTGTAGAACTAAACAAAAATTATCAAACTACTCCAATTTGTTCAAGAACTGGGCGCTATCTCCAAAAATAATGAAGCTACAAAAAAAATCATGAAGAAAAGTTGCTTGTCCATTTATTATGAACAACTTTCATACGGGTCAATTTGCTGTAAAACAAACTTTTTGAAAACCACCCCAAAGAGCTCATGAGAAGTCCGGAAATAATAAACTTATAAAAAAATCATTAGGCGAACTTATAGAGAATGTTCTTATGTACAATTTGCGTCTAATTATTTTGTTGTAGTAGTTTTAAAAAAACCACCCCTATTATTTATTTATTTTACATTCAGAAGACAGTCGCTGACAAACTCTGAAAAAATCAGCTTGCTCGTAATTTTTTTTCAAATTACAATTTTATTGGATTACAATTTACCTCAAAGTTTTGACTGATCTCCTGGATCGCCTTCAATTTCAAATCGTCGCTACATTTCGAGTTATTCAACGTTATTATATAGGACATAAACTGGTTCATCTGGGTCGTGTGAGGGTCTACCGCGAGACCCAAACTTGTAGATGGTTGTGCTTGCATTGTAAAGATTTATTCCCTATGGCTGATATTTATAATGCTGCATTTCAGGCTGTAAAAAATAATAAAAAAATTAAATAACAAAGTTTTCAAACAGAACGCTTTAAATAATTTTCCATATTATTTTTCAAAGAGAGCGATTTTAATTTTTAAAGATTTTTTAGTCTTTGTTGGTTCTGACTATGACAAGAGAAATGCTACCTGTTCTTGTTTGCGGTTGTCCTTAGCAACCGTTAAGTTAATAGCGCCCTACAACGGATGAAGGACGCGACCAACGCGATCGTAGCCCGATGCTAGGCAGGAGTGGAGAGTGCCAACCGTATGTTACCTGTCCCGGACCGAAAGGACTTGAGAGGAACTAGAGGATCTAATTAAAAGACTAGTTCACGGGAATATATTCAGTCGGCAGATCCGAGATATAAACATGGCGACGACGACGGATTCGGCCTTGTCTATTGCCACAGTAGGCGTAATTACCATAGAAAATTGTCGTGGATACTGTTTTTGATTTTTAGTTTGTTCTTTGAATATTTTATGGGAATGTTTCACTTTAGGTCCCTAAAATTAAGAAATATCTTATAAAGTGAGGAAAAATGCATTTTTTCTTAAAATGTTCGTATTATTTGCTCCAATTGATTTGGGATATAGTTTTTTAAACTCTGATTTGAGTTTCTTTTTTATTTTTTTTATCTGCAATAAAACTTACCTATATGTTTTTAACATACGCAATTACACGTCTCGTTAGGTTTCGTACATTATAAAAATTATACAGATCATACTGTGAATAGTTCTGACTGACAACGAAACCCATTAGCAAGCAACGGAGATGTAAATGTTAGTCAGGAACTATTATGAACTACAGACCTTCAAGGAACTATTCCCCCGGAGGAACTAGAACTAAGGAAATAGTTCCTCCCAAGGAACTAGAATTCAAACTTCTACCACACACGGTGTTAGTTCGTAATAAGTAATCCTCGAGAATCGACAAAAATCCTCAAGATATACCGAGGATTTAAATCCTCGGATATTTTTCAGTTGAGTAATCCCATCACTACTATACACTAAAGCTATATTAATTTGATTTATACTCTTACAGCATATAAGTTGAATGTTAACTTTGTTGTCGTTGAAGTTGTCTTTGTTAACATCTATCAATATTACGAGCTTTGAAAAGTCATGTGATACTTTCAAATAGTTCATTCTCCATTCCTTTTCAGCGCCATACCCCCTTATACAAGATATGAAGCAACTTCTATAGTTTTATTCAACACACTCATTGTTATAACGGTAAAAAAAATTACGATGAATTTTTCGCAAAAACGCACATAAATAGTATAGTTCTCTACTGAAGTATAGCCTCAGATACGATTGCCGTGCCACTACCGCCAAACCAATAAACCCACTCAAAAATAGGGGTAGAAATTTAAATATGCCAATTGCCGATAGGTTTCTTTTTTAAAGCCCTCCATAACCGTAACAAAATCGATTTTCAACATAAAATTGGCGCGCTTCATTTACACAGCGGAGAATTTTGAATACAGTTTGGTTCAAGTCACCGACGAGGTCGCTTAATAATCATAAAAATAAAGTTTATACATTTGGAAATAAAAATATAATTGACATCAACTAAAAAAATCATATAAATAAAGATAAACAGTTATAAAATGGACGACCGAACAATAGATCTGATTTTTGCTGGTTCTTTGGAGAGTTTGCCGCCAGTCAGTTCAAAAATTGTCAGAATTTTTACTAGTTCCACTTTCACAGGTAAAACTATACAATATACTATACTCGAACAGTTATAATAAAAAATATTTTTAAGACACTACGATGGAAAGGAATACGTTGATGGCAAAATGTTATCCGAAAATAAAGGATTACTGTCGAGAAAAGCATGGACTGGAATTTCAGGTATCGAAAACTTTAAAACAATAATTGATAATCATATACACAAGTGTTGTGATAAAATTGCATATTCAAAAAAATACTATTAAAATTCTAATACGAAAATACAGTGTGATTAATATTACAATGTAAAAAATATCATCAGGCAGGCTTTAGATGATGACAGATAAATAATTCATATACAGGGTCCGGCAATAGTGCGTCGGGCATCTGTAGCTTCTAGAATAAAAAACTGAGAATTTTGTTTAAATGCAAACCTAATATGTACGAGGATGTATTGCAGTAAAATATTTTAACTTGTATAGGGTGGCTCAAAAAAGTGTGAAAAATTTTGAAATACTCTAGATACAAAGTGTTCATTTTTTAATTCTTCATCCATTGAAAAAATAATATACAGGACAGGGTGTTCCGTTTAAAAAAGTGAAGAAAAATTATTTATATTTTAGAAAGTTTGGCTATAATTTTGAACATAATTTAAAATTACCAAATTTTGTAAAGTAGAAAGTAAATACAGACTATCTAAAGTAAAGACCTAATATGGTTTTGATTTCGGGACAGTTCTTGTATTATTAATAATTTTTTAAGGAGGGCCGAAAAATAAATATTTTTAATTTATTTATTTTTAATTTATTATATTTTTGATTTATTTTTTAATATCTCTGAAACTATCGAAATATATTTATTCATATCTTAGGGTTATGTAAAGTGATCTGAAAGGAAGCCAAAAATGCAATAATATACAGGGTGTTCGATTTAAAAAAATCATCCCGATCCACTCACACTTTTTTGAGTCCCCCTATAGAAGTTAAAATATTTTCCTGAAATTCATCCTAGTACATGGTTTAGGTTTGCACTTAAACAAAATTTCCAAGTTTTTTATTCTAGGAGCTACAGATACCCAACGCACTATTGCCGGACCCTGTATGCGAAATTATATAATTTTTTTGTATTTTATAAAATGTAAAAGTTGACACTATCACAAATAAATGAAGGGTCCAAGGAAAACATGATAAACGCCAATTTCTTAATTTTAGAATTTTACAATATCATAGTACTTAGGTCTAACTGGTCCCTACAAAATGTATAAACTCTGGAGCGCAATAAGCTATTATATCTTATGATATATGCCTAGTAAAAATATATATACAGGGAAAGAACCTGATAACCACCAGCCATCCAGGACTCCTCTGTAAAATTAGTACATGTTTTCCGCTGGACCTTTTAAATAAAAGATACTATAAACATTAAAAAATAATAAAATTAAAGTCAGATACATCACGAATCTGCATACTTAAAAAAAATATATGTCATGTGACAAGTGTCTATGTTTAATATGTATTTAATTACTGTGTTAACATATAAAGTTAGAGATACCAATTTTCAAAATTTGTATATAGAACAAAAGAAACAAGACCATTTTTTGAGTTGTTTTTAATTTTTTTCGCGCTACATAAAATAAATCGAATATAACAAAAAGACTCATAGGGAGTTATTTTTTTACTCTACTGTGTAGAACTGTAAAACTAAAATTTTATTCGTGAATACTGTACCAAACCTTAAATAGGTACATCAAATTAAAAAAATTACTGGATCGATGTTGGCGAACTAATAGAACGCCAAAAAAAATAAATGAAAACTTTGTAGGTCATACCCTGTACCATGCGGCGAACTGGCACAAGCAGTTCCAAGGGCAGCATTTGCGTTTTATGAATTGTTTGTAAGTAATGACTTTACCCGCACGATGTTGCCATGTAGCATCAGAATAATTTTCAATTACTGCCTTTTCTTTAATTATTATTCCCAGGACCAGCAAAAAAATCCTGGAATAATAAAACTATACTTAAAAAATGGTCGCTACATAATTATTGTCAGTAAAAAATTACTGGAAAACCTTTAAATATTTATTTTTATGCTGAAAACTCTGTTAGACATTTTTAGGGTGTCAATTTGAGGGTGACTGAAAACAAAAGAGAAGGTGGTCAAATTATGGCAAAGTTTTCATTTTTCCTGGGTTTATTTGAACAGGTATTTTAAAATAAATGGAACTTGCATTGTCACTTTTTACGCGCAATTACATTACAAATCTGACTGTTTTTTTCTTTCCGAGATACGATTATCATTTTTTTTTTGACATCCGGACCTTTGGATTTTTTATTTGATTTTTAAAAGATTATGACCCCATGATTATTATGAAACATATATCAATGCAATCTGGAATATGTACAAAAATCCATGTATGGTCCAAAGTATGATCAGACAGGGGAAGTTCCTATTGGAATCCTTCCTGACATCAAAAGGGCTCAGACAGGGGTTCAGTTTATCACCTACCTTATTTAAAATATATATTCAGGAGGCATTGAAAAACTGGAGAAGGAAAAGTAGAGCTATGGGAATAGAGATTGACAACCACTGTCTATCGACCTTGGTTTTTGCAGACGACCAAGTTATCATTGCAGGTTATAAGGAGGATGCCGACTATATGTTCAGAAAACTTGAACAAGAATACGATAGATGGGGACTCAATATCAACCTCACAAAAACCGAATACCTGAAATTAGGAGAAGAACAAACTGAAGATCCTGAACTACACATACCTGAAATTAAAAGGTGTAGCGAATATAAATATTTAGGAAGTACCGTATGATCGAGAAAAAACGACGTCAACGATGGCTATGAAATGAAGGTCGCTGTCATTTTATATGTAAATTTATATGGGAAATGTCATTGATCGTCATTTCCCAGCCAACTGGACGCCGTTTTTTTTCGATCATACGGTATTATATCTGAAGAAGGGAACTCCAAGAAAGATATACATAGTAAAGTTCAACAAGGTAAGAAAGTAATCGGTCTTTTAAACCCTCTCCTATGGTCAAATAAAACATCCATCCAAACAAAACTAATTTTAACATACGGTGCCGAACGCTGGCAATTTACATCAAAAGAAAGAAGGATGGTCGAGTCAGTGAAGATGGCCTTTCTCAGAAGAGCATGCCGAATATCAAGGATGGAGCACATTATATAACAGCACCCACAACATTGAATCGAGACAGCTACTATGGTATGGGCTCGTAAAATGAATGGGAGGGGAAAGATGGCCAAAAAAGGCAATGGAGTATCGTCCCCAAAGCAAAAGGAAAAGACTAAGACCTACAACTAAGAATGTATGTATTAACGAGAAAGAATGGCAAAATCGAACAATATGGAGGTCGAAATGCGGGATGCGGCAGAAGCTGTAGGACCCCCGCTTTATATATATAAAAGATTCTGACCTCCCAAATACTGTCCAGTTACGTCAAAATACCGGTTCCCGATAGATCACCTAAGTTAAGCGACGTTAGACGATGCAAGTGGATTGTCTGGTGACCGTCTGGAAACTCTGTCGTGCTGTTATTCCATGGCAAGAGTGTAAAATCTATTGACACCCACTGCTTATTCACGCCGGTTCAAGGCCAGATGAGATCGGATATCTCGTAAGAGTCGATATTTAGACACTCACCAAATCGGTAGGCCATTGACCATGATCTAGCCGAGGACCAAGATTCGGATTCCGCGTAAACAAAGTAAGCCCCGTCCAGATTACGTCTTTAGCATCAAAAAAGAGAACGTTAAAAAGCAATTTGAACTTGATCGTGCTTACCCAAAACACGTTGCCTGCTTTTTATCTCTTGCTTACATACCCAATAAAAGTGATCCGTATACTAACCTTTTTCCAACACATTGCCTCTTATGGAAATTTTTCTTATTATACAAATTTTCGACAAAAATCCTGTTCCGTATTTAAAAAAATAAAGATGATGATAGTATCTCGTAAGCAAAACTTCAAATGTAATAATACCATCTTAACAAAGAGAAAAATGACTACGATGAAGTTGCGTTGATTTTGCAACATTTCTATACATCTTTAAAAGTATTTGAAATTTTTTAGTTTTTAAAACTGGAAATAAAATTGCGAAACTTTGCCATAATTTGACCTCTTTAGTATCTCTTATGGTCTCCGAGATCTCAATAGCAACGCTGTATAATCAGCTATTTGTGCACTTAGGTAGTGGACATGCGATGGGGAGTAAGAGACGAAGCAACGGACGATCACATGACCACCGAACTGTGTATGAAAGAAATACAAAACTGTCAAAGACTGTCCATGGGTCCCAATTTTGTTGTAAGTTTCTACAACAATAATTTTAAAACTTTTAACTATTTGTACATACAATTATTACTTAGGTGTTTTTGGGCCAGAAATACGGATATAGACCAATTCCAACCTACGTGCTTTCTTCAGAGTTACAAATGATACGGGACGAATTAGCTGCGACCGGACACGACGCAACCCTCATAGACACTTGGTACCGTAAGGACAGCAACGCTGTACCTCCTATTTCCGTTCTACAACCCATATCGTCCATCTTAATCAATTTTAACAACAAAGTAAGCAACAGGCAACGACATACCAAAAGAAATTTAATTCAACTTGTTTATTAGAAGTTTTTAAATCTAATTTACTATATAATTACTGGAGAAATTTCTTATTTCATTCACTTATGGAGCTGCGCACATATAGTTCATATCAAATAAACTTTTAGTCACGTGATTAAGCTTGACTGGCACAGCGTTGCCCACTTTTACATATTTTCTTTAATTCAAAATATTTTAGGAAATAAAAGTAAATTAATTATAAATATATAAACAGTTATTATTTACATCAACAAAACTCTCCTTCTTAGCAGCACTTAAAAAACACAAAGGGTTATTACTACCTTTTCCCATTCGAAATATCCTAATAAAGTTGAGATGAGTTTTTTTACGGCTATTAAGCTATCTTGTACCACTTCGCACTAGAAGAGGTTCTTAAAATGACAATGTTCGACTACAAGATCTGCTAGTAAAATTTTTAAGCTTAAAGTATCACCAAACACAATTCATTTAAACCAAAAACTCGTAATAGAAAACTAATTCAGTGTCAAAACGAATGACAATGTCAGGAAATAAATAAATAAATGTGGCAACTTGACACTTTTTACAGCAGAGCTACCACCTGAATCCCCAGCGGCCGGATATGTCCATGGTTGGCCACAATGAATTTAAAAATCGCGTTTCGATTACGTAACTAGAAGTTTAATTGATATCGTTTATATACGACATTATAAACAAACCGTGGTTTAGAATTTCCCGCAGAATTCAATAATCCAAAAATATAGAGGGTGCTGCTCAGTTTAAAATAAGCGAATTAACAGGCACTTTATTGGTAAGTACCCAAAAAAGTTAAAAATATTTTAGAAAGAAAGTACAACTAGAAATATCTTAATTAGAAACATTCAAATTTGTATCTATATTAGAGCCCAAAAAACTTTATTAAACCAGTTATCTGAATAATCCCTGTACAGAATGGTCGAAATTGTTCTGTTTTAACAGAGAAAACCTATTTCCTGACTAGATAGAGCAAAACCGACATAGATGTCATGGGCTCGATATCTGAGACACATCTAATGGCCTAACCGCCTGATAATATCTTCACTGCTGACTGAGATACGGGGTCTTTCATTTTTTACCATTTGGAAAATTGTCCATAACTTTTGTATTTCGCGGAATAATAAAATTCTGTATAAATGTTCTTAAGGCACTTTCTTAAGCACAATCCAGTGGCGTAGTCAGTTTTTTCCATACTTGCTTTTTTTGTCAGAAATAATAAAAAATATAATTTTGTAAATGGAAATCATAGTTGGCTATGAACTTAAAAAAATGCTGGCGTTTGACCCTTTCCAGCGATATAAAGTTATATGTATTTATTTCTAAAAATGAGAGAAATATTGCGTTTTTTATCGTTGTGTCGAAGCGGCCCTTGATTTTGTGTTGACCTATAGTTGCTTAATTATTTTTTATCACAATTTAATATTCTATATTATTATTTATCTGCATAATTGAAGACTTTTGAAAAGGTAAATCAACATTCTATATTAGTATTACCATTTACAATTAAAACGCCAGGGTTACAACTGCACTATTAAATGGAGAATTTAGTGAGAATTGGATTGGAACAAAGGGCCTCATATCTTGGCCCCCATATATAGGCCTGCTAGGTTCTGTTATTTAACTCCTTTCAACTTTTTTATCGGGGAAATTAAAAGACCTTATTTATAAGGGAAGAACCATTGGGACGAGAGAAGAATTGCAGATTACTAGGCAAGCTTTTGGACTTATTACACTAGTTCGCCTAATAAATCGTTGTAACTCTGTGCGCAAAAGATGTTTATTGTGTATTCACAAGGAGATGCTCAGTTTGAATATCTTCGATTTTTTTTAGAAAACTATATTCGCCACATAAAAAATACGTTTTTTTAGTCTTGTTATTTGTTTATTATCGATTTCAATTGTAATTACTAATACTAATATAGAATGTTAATTTACCTTTCCAAAAGTATTTAATTGTGCAGATAAATAATAATATAGAATATTAAATTGTGATAAAAAATAATTAGGCACATAGGTCACAAAAACACAAAATCAAGGCCTGCTTCGATATAAAGATAAAAAACCTAATATTTCTCTCATTCTTAGTAATAGGTACCCCTAACTTTATATCGTTGAAAAGGGTTAAACGCCAGCATTTTTTAAGTTCATAGCCAACTATGATTTCCATTTAAAAAATTATATTTTTCATTATTTGTGACAAAAAGAGCAAGCAAAGAAAAAAACTGACTACGCCACTGGATTCTGCTTAAAAAAGTGCCTTAAGAACGTTTTTACAGAATGTTATTATTCCGCAAAATAAAAAAGTCATGAGCAATTTTCAAAATGGTAAAAAAATTAAAAATACCCCTTATCTCAGTTGACAGTGAAAATATCAACAGGCGGTTTACGCCATTAAACGTGTTTCAGAAATCGAGCCCATGACATCTATATCGGTTTTGCTCTATCTAGTTAGGAAATAGCTTTTCTCTGTTAAAACAGACCAATTTCGACCACCCTGTACATGCCTATATAAATATATCCTTTATACAGAGAATTCCGAAACTGCAAGCCGAAGATCAGGCTAAATGGTGGGACACCTTAGGAAAATTTCAGAAATTGTTTCGAAAAGCTGCCGCTTCTTTGAACCAGCAAGGAAAAATGGACAATGATGCGATGCACAACTATTTTATGTCAGGTAAGAATATCAAAATAATGAAAATAAATTATAAAAATTCAATAACACACATTTTAGTTACCGAAAGAGAAGTAATCAATGGTATCTTAAACGTAAAAAACACCAAGAACCATTGCTTGGCCTACGTAAGGATGATCAATAACATCAATTTGCAAAATTTGAAAAAAGCATCGCTGTTCGTCGACATCATCAACAGGAGTTTGGACATGGAATCCTCAAAGTTGCTTGGAAACCTTCGAGACGAACGATTGCCAAACAAAATCGAAACCAGCAACATGCAAAAGTAAGTAGTATTTAACAAACGGATCTGCAACAGCAAAAAATCGATATTGTCATGTTTAACAATAAAAAAAATTGGTCAAGTGTGAGTCGGACTCACGCACGAAGGGTTCCGTACCATTCATTATATATACAACATTAGATACTATATTATTATAAACTTTTTTTTCCGATTTAGCTGAAATTTTGAATGTGTGTATAAGTAATTTAAAAAAAAATGAAGAAACACATTACTAAAAATTGTATTAATCAATAATATAATAATAAATATGTAAAAGTAAAAATAAATATGTAATAATATGTAAAAATTAAAAAAAAACATTAAAAAAAGTCGCCTTGGCTAGGATTCGAACCTGCCTTACTACGGCTCCAACGTCATAGCAGCGTAAAGTCCTAACGCTTTAAACCACGCGGCCACCGAGGACTCTGTGTAAAATTCTTACTTAAAAGATAATGTTTAGTGAAAGTACTTTTTTATTTATAAACATTTATTTAATTCTGTTTTTAGTATTTGTTCTTATAGCGGCAACATAGATACATTATCTGTAGAAATTTCAACTGTCTAGCTATAACGGTTCATAAGATGGAGTTTTGTGACAGATGGACGGACGGACAGCGAAGTCTTACAGCGTTTTCACCGTCCGCGCGGATATTTTTTCAAGATAGCCGTCGTCGATCTCATCCGGACGGAGCATACGCGACCCATGTGAAATTGTTCATTTAAACTTGTGGAACTCGCGGACGGTAAGCGCGGAAGCTGCGCTCCATCTGAAAGCGCTGTCAGTAATAGGGTTCCCGTTTTTACCCTTTGGGTACGGAACCCTAAAAAAGCAAAATTGCTTCATATTACCTAGAAATTAATATATGTATATCTGCTAATTATTTTAACGTAGTTCTTGTTGTTAGATGTGTATTTATTTAATAACTGATATAGTCTATAAAATGAATAACTTTGAATTTTGACCGTTATTTTTTACCAACATGGCAAATATAAAATCCCTCTGTCAAAAAAGTTACTGATATTCTTTAAATTGAGTGCCTGAACGAATCGGATAGGTAACTCTTTTTACTTTCGTGAAATAGAAAAGGAAAATAATAAAACAAGTGTCCGTATTTTTTTAAGTAGCTTAATTACACTGATCATCTTTGTGTTGTTATTTTTTCTCAGATATACCGTTGAATGGATTGGAAGAGAGGGCCTTGACCCAGAAACTCACGAGGAATACTTGAAACATTTTATCACGCACTTCTACAAAAATATCGTAAAACTTGTCGACAGGGCTATGAGAAAAGAAGATTCCAGTGCCCAAGGACAAATTGTAACCGAAATTCTACAACATTTGCACGCTTGCAATAATTCTGTAAAGGTATGCGATATTTTCTGTTTAACGTTTCAATTGATTTTTAATGGTACATATGTATTGAACTTATCTGAGATTTTATGTTATTTATTATTTATTCTACAACTGGTTTCGTTCCTTCAAGTTCCTCTTATTTTTTCCTTGCGTTAAAGCACTTTGCAAAGTTCCAGATTTTGGTTTCTGCTGCTTCCTCTAGTCCCTCCAAAAAACCGTACCCTAAAGAAAGCGTCGGTTTTCCAATGTCAATGTCGGACAATGGCACAGCCGGTGCTCTATGGTTTCTTCTTCCTCTCCGCATTCTCTGCAGTAGTCGTCGTTCAAAATCTCACGAGGTTTACCCCCGTAGGGCAGTTTCCAGTGACGTCTCTAGTAGTTGTTTTGTCTTTTTGCAATCTACCCCAAGCCACACTCTTCGAGTTGTAGCGCAGTCCTCACAATGTTGTCACGTCTCTTGCTGCTTGGTCTTGATGTTAGTTTCTATAGCTTCCTTCAGTGTGTTGAGCGTCACAAGTGGTGGGTCTTCTGCCACGGCCTCTGCCCTGGCCCCCTCTTTGGCGAATATGTCCACTTCTTGGTTGCTCACCACATTGCTGTGGCCTGGCACCCAGCACAGAGTGGCCCCGCCTTAACGCAGCCAAGACAGTGCTTCTCGGCAGTTCATCACAGTTTTCGATCTCACTGATTGCATGATGAAAGCTTGTTAAAGCACCCAAGCTGTCAGAGTATATCACGATATCTCCTATTGGTCTACCGGCGATTTTCTCTCGTATACAACTGGCCGCTTCTTTTATCAGCCTAAACATCTGCTTGTAGAACATTACGGCCATCCGATAGCCTTAAAGATCGTCGGATGTCTAGTTCCCCTGAGATGCCTATACCTGTGCCTCCTGAAATTACGGAAGCATCTGTGTAGACTGCTATCTCTTGGGTGTTCATTACTCGGTTGCTTTCCCATTCCTCTCTTCTCGGGTTGCGAATCCTTTTCTCCAAAATCATGTTTGTTGAGTATATGGTCCATTTTCTGCTCTAGCAGATGTGGACTCATGTTCGCCATAATTTTCCCTATCATTGGCAATATCCTCGAGTGGCCGTAGCCAAAACTATCTAGTTCTATAGATTGGATTCCATTAATTTTTAGGGACCCTCAGCGGCCAGATCCTTCACGACCCAGTCGATTGATTGCCAAGTCCAGAATTACTTCTAGCGCAGCTTGCACTAGCCACCTTTAAGCTAAAAACCACTTGGAATCTTTCATGTTAATTGAACAAATCAAAACCATAATTAGCTTTCCAACACATTTTCTAAGTGACCCCTATTATAGATCTTATTTTACTGGCCTACACATTCTACACAAGCAAGCCTTTGTGTAGAATTTAGGAGCCTTATCGCATCCACTTGCAATGTCTTTGTCCAACACACTTGGTGTTGTCCTTCGTTAGCACAAAATCACGACACACTTCTTCTTGAATCGTTTTATTCAAAGCTACTACCGAATATATCCAACTTATGATTAGCTTTTGTAGGTATTTTATGGGAGAGAAGAAAGCCTGGAGCGTATCCACCAATATATGATCGGTGATTCTGAAAAACTTTTGGTTTTGTATGGCGAAGGCGGCTGTGGAAAAACTTCCCTACTAGCGAAAGCAGCCAGCCTGTCTACTGGGAACGCTTGGTTCAAAGGAGCCAAGCCTGTAAGCATCGTTCGCTTTCTAGGAACTACGCCCGATTCTAGTGCTTTAACTCCCACTTTGATATCGATCTGTCAACAGGTAATCGAAAATATTATTAAACTGTTACTAAACATTTAACTTAGGTATTATAATCAAATTAGGTATTTTGAGGTTAAGTATAAAGGCCATTGTTAGCATTTTCTAGTGATTGTTAACTAAATTCCCAACTTTGTAACATATAAATTTTTTAGGTGTCTTACAACTTTATGCTACCGTTTGATGGCATCCCCGACGACCTGGTACCACTAACTGCACACTTTAAACAACTCTTAACTATGGCAACTAAAGATCAACCCTTCGTATTATTTTTAGATTCAGTCGATCAACTCACAGGAACCGCTGATGCTAATAAAGTAAAAACAATCACATATTATTCTGTATATCGCCATCACCGTATCACAATGTACTTATAGTCGTCAGTGTAGAACACCGTACATTTATTTGTTAGGAAAGATTAAGAATTGATCCTTCCCGAAAGTAGCTCACGACCGCTGAGATCTGAGAAGTCTTCAGAAGCTCCCCACCCGCTAGTCAGTCAACAACGGTTCCCATCAACCAATCAGTGTACCGAACTACTGGCCTTCTTCAGAGACAGCAGAGGCACAACGAAATTGAAGTATACTCCAGATTTTTGTTTATATTATCGACTGTCATAATTGTTAATAGTAACTTTTACTTAGAATATAAGTCATCATTAATTTAATTAATCAGTGTTTTATTTAATTCCAAGGTAAACTTCAATAGTCCACAAAACTGCACAGTTTTGTGGTTTTTTTTGGCGCCCAACGTGTGGCAAATTTTTTATCAAACGTTTCTTTTTTTAGCATCAATTTAAATGTATAAACCACAAAACTAATCAGATTTGTGGATTATTTAAGTTTATCTTGGAGATAAATAAAACAATGATAAATTAAATGAACAGCTTATATTAACAAGCATCGGTTTTCCAAAGTTTCTTTGAATATGGTAGACAATGATTCAGTATTGAAACTAAAAGAAATTCCGACTACCATTGTCTTTATTTATTTTTTCTAATGGTTATATATCAAGTATAAACAGTTCACACTTGATAACGGTCAGTGATAGATTTGACTGAAACGTTGTGTTCTTCTTAGTCGCATTTTCATGTCTGAGAAATCGTGATCTCATGGAATCAGGTACATCTAGTTACTTTTATAGTTTTTCATGTTTGTCGGTCCATTCCTTCAGTTAATAGAGTTTGTAGTGGTGTATTTGTGATTTTTTTTACTTGATTTACCCATCAACAGGCGACCTGCCTCTGGGTCGTTTATCTTCCACCTTTCCTTGTACTATTAGTTTTTCTAGGTTGTCTCCCTCTTGTCTTGTAGTGTATCCAAAGTATTTTATGACTCGTTGGAGACATATTATGGACATCTGTCTTTGTCCTTCAACGCCTTTAGTGTAGATACATTGATGCGTTTCTCTGTCCATGAGAAAGACACCACTGCTCGCTACACTTATCGGCTGATGGAAACCGTTGTTGTCCGACTAGCAGGTGGAGAGCTTCTGAAGATTCCACAGATCTTAGCGGTCGTCAGCTAATTTCGGGAAATATCAATTATCAAACCTTTCCTAAAAGATAAATAAGTATCAATAAGATGTTTAACACTGACTATAAGTACCCACTGATATGGTGGTATTCTCAAGTACCAAAAAGGATTACTGTTTTGAGCCAATAGATAAAAGATATAATGGTTAAAATTAAACACTAAATTACAAACATTTAAGCTCAAAAACATATAATAGATAAATCAAATCTAACTAAACATAAAAAATTAAATCGATCAATTTTCAAGTTACTACATATGAAAAAAAATATGGCTTACTAAACCAAGAGAAATTAAATTTGATATAATATTTTAAGGTATCTTGGCTTCCCACAAGATTGCCGAAACATTGCAAAATACTAGTGTCATGTGCCTGTGAAGAATCTAACCCAGAAGTATCTCGAGAATATCACGTCTTGCGCAGAATGATTGACGTAGAGGAAAACTTCATCGACGTAAAAGCTCTAGGAGAAGAACTGGCCATGAAAGTTATAAAGTAAAAAGAATAATTCATACATCACACGTCCATATAGCTTTCATGTAAGTTTTTCAGAATGTGGATGAGAACGGCTTGTAGGGATCTAACAAATTACCAGTGGCGCTTGGTTTCCAACGCCATAGACAAATGCAGTTTACCTATATTTGTGAAATTAGTGTTCGCTGAAATATGTAGATGGCGTAGTTACACTAAAAGTCAAGACACTCATTTGGCTTCGACTGTTATGGACTCTATTATGATGCTCTTTGAAAGAATCGAGAAACAGGTAACTGACTGAATGCGGTAGACAATAATTCAGTGTTGAAACTAAAAGTATTAAGAACTTTCATTGTCTTTATTTACGTGTTTTGATTGCTATTGCTGACAGCTACGGCGTGTTCTGATTGCTATTACCGACAGCTGTAAATAATACGAAGCCTATATTATACCTATGCTCCGTAGTTTTAGGATTTTGTATAGTTCACAATTGAATTTTCTTGTGTTATCAAAAAATGGAAGTCTGAAATTCTTTTAGTCTCAACGAAACAATATCTTTTCAGCATGGCAGAATTCTGGTTTTTCATGCCCTCGCTTATATAACAGCAGCAAAATCCGGTCTATCCGAATCGGAACTGGAAGATTTAATTTCCCTAGACGATAAGGTACTAGACGACGTCTATCAGTACCATTTACCACCTGTTCGAAGAATACCCCCACTGTTATGGACCAGAATAAGAAACGACTTGCCTAACTACCTTTCCGAAAGAGAGGCTGATGGAGTCAGTGTTATGAATTGGTATCATAGGTACTTACATTAAAAATATAGTAAAAATAAACAAATATAAAATAGAATTTGCCTTCCAGACAGTTCAGAGATGCCGCTAAAGAAAGATATTTTAAAAATATGAATATGGCCCTCTACTTCCATTCGATGATAGCCGATTATTTTTTGGGTATATGGGGTGGAGGAAAACCAAAGCCATTTAAGTATACCGAAATACAACGTCATAGGTAAGTAAAATAAAGGATTTTTCCATTAAAAGGAGCTATTTTAAGTTAATGATGATTTAAGCATCGCTGGCATTCACAGAACATCACTGACATTCCCCCTAATAAATTCACATATAAAATGACAGCGATCTTCATTTCATAGTCATCGCTGACGCCGTTTTTTTTCGATAACACGATACATAGTTATACTTTTTAAGTATAAGTAATGCGTTTTTAATAAAATTAAAATTACACATTGTTGCGGACCCGTGTGGACTCGGCATAACCTAACTAACTAATATGTCCCGCCAGTCCCGCCCCCATATGACCTTAATATCGCATTAAAGAATAGACACCGTAGTGATTCATTCGAACGTTCGAGAACAATCGAGTTCCACTGGAATGGAGGAGTACATACGAGAATATTCTAAACCTTCTCTATGCACCTAATGATCTGTGTCTGTCTAACGTCAAACGGATTATTCGAGAACTGTTTAGCTGTGGGTATATAAGCCGACGCGCGACGCCTGGGGCCTGAGGTGGACAGAAACAAATAGACAAGTACAGTTGCCGCGCTAAATTCAAAATAAATTCTTTCTAGACAAATAGTTATAAATAGTTTGTAAATAGTTCTTTAAGTCTTTTATTATCGTTATTGTTTTTGTTACTTAGTATAGAATAAATTGTTTTTAAATAAATTGTGACTTTCTATCCACACGGAACCGACGAAAATCGTAACAATATTTTAATAAAAAAATCCTAATATACTTTGCTTTACAGATTCAACTTAACTGATAAGGAAGGTATAGCTGACAGAAAAGTACCCGTTCAACCTTTAGTATTCTACTCAAAAGATGGCAAAGTCTCGCGCTATAATTTGCGTAAAGTAAAAATATTTTGGCTATACAGAATTATTACAAATCTAATTTAAACGATGTTTCAGTTTGGCGAACTCCCATTTCACCTGGTTAGGTCGAGACGATTGAAGGATCTTTATGAAAACGTTTTATTTAACTACGAATGGCTACACGCTAAACTATCTAGCTGTCCCTTACAATCAGTACTCTCGGACTACGAAGATGCCGGTGTACATATTGAGGACAACGATTCTAAAAGGTTTGTTGATCTAGATCTGTACGAAATTATTTGCGTTATCCTACTAAAGTAGCAGTTGAATAATAAAAATTAAAGAAGGGGCACATTAATAAACATAAATAAAAATAGGTAAAAATATAATGTAGGATAGACTCAATATTTCGTTGGTTTTGTTTTACGATACCCCTATTAGTTATTAATATTGTTAAAGAAATATACAGGATGGTCTGTTTCTGGATATCGATTCCGTCTGTAATGCATGAATACACACGTGGCCAAAATTATGGCATATAACGATATTTTTATTTTATTTTGGACCTAATATGATTCTTTTTATATTTTTAGACATATTGGCTTACTACACGACTAACTAACATAAAATTAAAAATCTAAGTGCGACTAGGCTGTTATTATAATTTTATTTCATAATGAGTGAAAATCAACAAAAACAAATTTCATTTTAAACAGAAAATATCGAAAGCAATTTTAATTATTTCTCACAACTAATAGTCTGTATTGCCTCCTCGAGTTTCAATGCAAGCTGTGAGACGACGTGGCATGCTCTCAATTAAGATGTCCAGAAGATGTTGAGGAATGGCTTCCCATGTTTCGCGCGCAGCAATTTTCAATTCATTTAAGGTACGAGGGGATCATTCCTTTTGGCAATATGGCGTTTTAGCATGTCACAAGCATGCTCGATCACATTCATATCTGGAGACATCGGTGGCCATCACAATTTTCTTATACCCTCTTCCTCACAAAATTGGGGAGAAGCATTATCGTCCATGTAAACAAATTCATCCCCCACTGTTCCTCGAAATGGATGCACAATAAGCTCTAAAACGTCTCTAAGATATGAGGCACCTTTCTTTGTGCCATCAATAAAAACAAGAGGATTTCGAACTCCGAGCATTATACCTGCCCATACCATAATGTTTCCCCCTTGAAATGGGACACGGGGTTGAGCTGCATTCAAGCGTGCTCGTCTTCCAGATGCTCTCCAGACCAAAGTTCGTCACGAGTCTGACACTAGGCTCATCTCCTCAGCCCATTGTAGTCGCGTAATTTTGTGCTGTAAATTAAGCTTCGGAACACGTAGAGGCCTCCTTAAATGTAATCCTCTGTCATGGAGCCTTCTTGCTATGGTCTTTCTTGAAACATTTACTCCTTCAAGGCGAGCTAACTCATTTTTAATAGCAGTACTAGAAAGAAGGAGATTACGTCGTGCAATTAGGGATATTTTACGGTCTTGCACAGCAGTAGTAACTCTCTTTCTACCTCTTCCAGGCCGGTCTGTAACCTCGTTTGTCTCCCTGATTTTTTTTAATATTCGCGAAACATCGCTTTGGTTAACTCCTACAATTTCAGCTATTGCAACTTGCCGGTAACCCTGTTAGACAGTGTTACTATTCTGACTCTATTAAACTGTGAAATAATGTTTCTAGGCATTTTAAGGCCAAAACAATGGTCAAATTTCTTCTGAAACCAAAGAGACCATAAATCGAAATGTGCAAGAATTTGTAACGATATTGGGTCTGAACGATAAACATTGTTTACCATATCCATTTTGACAAAAAAATGTTTGTTACAGATTATCAAAGCTATGTATAAAAAAAGATTCTTTAAATTCCATTCCGTATATTTTTAAACGATATAGTATGCAATAATTTTGCAATGTGTGTACATGGATAGCATTATACTCCTTCCTTAATCTTTTTATTCGAATCCTGTAACAAATACATAAATTTCTGATTTTTAGAGAACTAATGTTGGTAGCGGATGCTCTAAGATTAGGAGGAGCTGTCTTAGGACAATACCCCAACATGCTGGCCCCCCAACTCATAGGCAGACTTCTACCGGAAGTCGCACCAAATCCAAACATCAAAATGTTATTAAACGACTGCGACAAAAAGGGACCTGTCCAGTGTGCTCTACTACCTTTATATCACTGTCTACATACACCGGGTGGTCCCTTGAAGTATTCTTTGGAGGGTCATCAGTTTGCGGTGTTCTCAATTTGCCTGACATCTGACTACCGGTATATCGTTTCTGTATCGAACAGATTCATAACATGGGATCTATCTACCAGTGATTTAACGAGAGATGTGAATCCTAACATCGAAGGCATTATGCAGCACTTGGTGCTGAGTCCGGATAACAAATGGGCAGCAGCTTACACTAACAATAACCAGGTATGTTTTTACTTTACAGTCCAACTTCTCTAACTAGAAAAATTGTTGCGAGTAATTAAGTTTTAACAATCTGTCACTTGCAATGAAAGAAAATCTACAAAATAAAATAGTTATTTTTCGTAAACACTACTGCGTTAATCCAACGGAAACAACTTGCCAGCAGTGATTTACTAATAAACAAATATGTCTAACGGAGAAAAAAATGCTTTGATATACAAAGCATTTTTTTGTCCTTAAATGCTTTGTATATCTCTTCCCGTCGTCGGAAGCAAAAAAACACAAAAAATAAAGAAAAAAACTATTTAAAATATCTAAATACAACTATTAATTCAAGAACACTTTTTTTTCAGTAGATACGTCTATAAAAACCGTCGACGTTCTGTTGAAGTGTTTGTGAATAGTTTATCACAGTAGTAATCACACCCCGAAATCTTGGTACAAGTACTTCTCAAAATGTTAGGCTTTTTTTGTCCGTTAGGCAAATTTGTTTATTGGCAAATCACTAATTTTTGGTGGAAGATGCTGCGGAGGGTAGAAGCGATATGTCTTTGTGTTTCTTATACCGCTTTCGTCATTTTAGAAGTGTGGTCTGGATTTTAACGTGTAAGACAGAGAATAATATAAATGACCGGTTGACAGACAAAGAGACAAAATCAAAAGGAGCATACAGTGCTGCCGGTTTTTACGTTTGTAGGAAAATTTGTATAGAAAAAAAACTATTTTAAAAACTTTCATGCATACTACTGAAATGAAGATAATATATCTAAGGTAAATATAATCTATTATATTGTTACGAATTCCGTGGGTCCACTATTTAAACTCACGATAAAATACTTAACGAATTTATTTGTTTCACTCTGTACACACAACTTATACTATTTACAACACAACTTATGCAACTACTATTACTCTAACGGTATTTCGCGGTATTTTCAAACTTCAGACTTTCTTCAGACTGCAAACTTCAAACTTTAAACTTGTCCAACTGTCAAAGCGCGGGCCTTATATACCCCCTGGCGGTTGTTTCTAGATTTTTCTAAAGAATTCTATAATTTTCTTTACTTTCTGGCGAATGCGCCAGGTTCCTTCCACGTTGCGATTTTTTAGCAGTATGCAGTTATGCAACCAGTAATACACCTTGACAATATCTATAGTAAGGTTCCAACCCTAGATGCAACATTTTCCATAAACACATTTGATGCAAAATCCGGCAATACCGCAAAGAAGAAATGCATCAACCCAACTTTTATCTCTTTTTAATACATTTCATTTTCCATTAAGCTGCCTACATCAATGTCTTACACGTTGAAATCCAGACCACACTTCTGAAATGACCAAATCGGTATACATACAATATGGATGTATAAAATATGATCAAACCAAATAAACTTTTAGTCGCGTGATTAATTAATCTAATAATAATTAATTTGGCCGGCACAGCGTTGCCAACTTTAACATATTTTCTTTTAATCAATATAGTTTAAGAAACAAACATGACTCAATTATTATTTACATCAGCAAAACTCAGCTCCTTAACAGCACTCTAGAGACATAGGGTCATTATTACCGCTTTTCTGTTCAAAATATTTTAAAAAGGTCGCGATGAGTTTTTTGCAACGGCTATTATACTGCTTCGGCATCTTGTACTACAAGCGCTTCTAGAAGAACAATTTCTGATTGTAATGTCTGATAGTAAAAAAATTTAAGCTTAAAGTATCACAACACAATTCATTTAAACCATAAACTCGTAATACAAAACTAAAGTGTCAAAACGAATCAAAATGCCAGGAAATAAATAAACGTGGCAACTTGACATTTTTACAGCAGAGGTACCGCCTGAATCGCCAGCGATAAATTTAAATTCCGGTTAGTCAGCCCGGCGCCGAATATGTCCATGGTTGGCAACATCGAATTTGATAATCGCGCCCTCGATGACGTAACTAAAAGTTTATTTGGTATCGCTTATAGGTATGAATTCTATATTATGTCATTATGTGTGTGGTACTTAAAAATCTTTAGTTGTGCGTATTTTTGTAATTCGAATTTTCTCTTCGAATTCCAATTCAATATTTGGAGATCCCCGCTCGGAGATACGAGTTAAAAAAGTTCCACTGTATGTTGTTAATTTAATATTCTTCTCCTGAATAGACCGTTCTGCTAAACATGCTGTCCAGCGAATACGTAATTGTTGAAAATCCGTTAGAAGAAGATCAAACTGTTATCGGTATCTTTCTGTTAAATCACAATTTATACATTTACGGGAACGAAGCATGGGTTAAATACGATATGAGAGGAAATCGGGAAGAGGACTTTGTAAGTCCCATGAAACTGGAAGCCTGGCCAATATTAAGTAAGCAGTTTTGCATATACGATTAAAAGAGGTAAGTTATAATATATATTTTATCTTTTTTAGCAATGGAGTTTGATAATAGTTCAGATTACCGAATCATTTTCTGGAGAAACAATCTAGATGATACTCAAATGAAGTTGTTTGAGAAAAACGAAAAACAAGTATTCGAAATATTTGATTTTCATAGGTATTATGTTATCTTATACATACCTGTGATACATACATAATTGGTTATACCGGGTGCGTCTCAAAAGTGGCTCACCCCTATAACTTTATTATTTTTTTAGATAAAAAGAACGAGATTTGGTATATTAGTATATGACATAAATTAGGATTGATTGGTGTATTCAATTGTTCATGGTCACTTCCTGTTTCACAGGAAATGACTACAACTTTTGATTTTTAAATGGCACCCTCGGTATTTTTTTACTTTATTCGATAGAAAATGACATTCTGAATAGAATGACATATCATATGTCAACTTTTGACATTTTCGCTTAATAAAAAATTGTATTTTAAAATTCAATCTAGAGCCTTGGCTATGTTAAAAACACTAACTCTTCATCGAGGAGCCTTGGAAAAATAGATTTGATCGTCTAATGTTTTAGTGTCTTGTCCTGGCCTGTCTCAAATCGTATTTTTAATCATAACTCATTTTTTTTCAAATGGAACGAGGGTGGCTCATTTTCTATCGAATAAAGTAAAAAAATACCGGGGGTGCTATTTAAAAATCAAAAGTTGTAGTAATTTCCAGTGAAACCGGAAGTGACCGAAAACAATTGAATACGTCAATCAATCCTAATTTATGTCATATACTAACATACCAAATCTCGTTTTTTTAACTAAAAAAAAATAAAAAAGTTATAGGGGTGGGCCACTTTTGAGACGCACCCGGTATACCATCCTGGACACCTCATCTCCGTGTTCTGTATTTTAATGCATGCGACAGAGATAAAAATAAATGACCGGTTGACAAACAGAGGCAAAATAAAAAACGGCATACTGTGTTGCCGGTTTTTACCGCTTAAAAATAAACTATTTTAAAAACTTTCATGTGTACTACTAAAATGAAGATAATATATCTAAGCTAAATATAATCTATTACAGCTGTAGTAAAATGAATAACTAATTGTGTAAAATAAAGTTCCAACCCTAGATGCAACATTTTTCGTAAACGCCTACTTGTGCGGTTTGAAATGTTGATGCCAAATCCGGCAATACCGCATAGAAGAAATGTATTAACCCGACTTTTATCTCTTCTTAAAATACTTGATTATTCATTAAGCTGTCTAAATCACTCTCTTACACATTAAAATCCAGACCACGCGTTTGTAATGACCAGATCGATATGTGTTTCAGCGCTATGGTATTAAATAAAGATAGAACAACCCTCTACACTTGTACAACTGAAGATCTATATACTGTATCAAAGTACAGTAAAAATACCGACAGGAAAATATGGGAAAAGGAATGCGATTTACCAAGAAGTGAATCAGATGATGTGGAGGCGATGTTACAACTAAAATTAGACAAACATGATCAAGTCTTATTCGGTAATATAACTTTATATCGCACAAAGGCGATTTTTTTTATTTCAAATTCATTTATTGGAGTGCTTTAATATAGATTATTGCTGGTAGTAAGTAGAACTTTACAGTTGAGGGTTGGAACCTTTGGTGTTACACAGCAAAATAAAAACACTAAATCACCACAATACACCAAAACACTTTTACTTTTACACTGGACGCGCGTTTCGCTAACCATGTTAGCATCATCAGCAGATGATTATAAACTAAAGTACAATCTACAAGTTGAGCGTTTATATACACGCTCAGTGGGCAACGAGTGGGCGTGGCAAAATCTAGCCAACCGAGTCAGAGCCAACTGAGCGTAACAGTTAGATTTCCGCCACTAAAGTAGTAGGAACAAAGAACTTGAAGGAATTGGACCGTTGACTCGGTTCATACTATCTTTACATTTATTAATTCTGATGCTTTCATATGCATCTAATTGCCTGTAATTTGAGACTTGTTTAATTAATTTTAAATTATTAAGATCTATACAATGTTGTTTATCAACAATATGTTCGGCAACGCAAGATTTATCCGGTGTACCGTATCTTACCTGAGCTAAATGTTCTTTAAATCTAGTTAATATTGATCTTCTAGTTTGCCGAACATATTTCTGATTACAATCTTTACAAGAAATTTCATAAATACCCGATCTTTCCAGTGGAGGTGTTTTATCCTTTGGATTACCTAATAATTGTTGTAATTTATTATTAGCACTATACACAAGTTTATAACTGACATTCTTAAAAATTCCTTTTAGACCACGGGATAACTCTCTATCAAACGGTATCGAAAAATATTTAGACGTATCTTTCTCCACTTGAAAAGTCGAATTTTCAGAAATTATTAACCTATACCTACGTTTTCTAATTAATTTATCAACTAGTGAAGGAGAATATCCATTACACTCAGCTACATTCCTAATGTAATCTCTTTCTATTTCATATCTTTCGTTGGAAAGTGGGAAACTAAGTAATCTATGAACTAAGAAATTTAAACTAGCCATTTTATGTTCAACACTATGATGTGATTCATTAGGAATATATCTGCGTGTGGTCGTATTTTTCCTATAGATATCAAATTCCAGGCAATTATTAGTATTTCTAATAACTAATACATTTAGAAATGGTAATCTGTCGTTGTTCTCAATTTCATGCGTAAATTTAATGGAAGGAAAACGATTATTTAACTTAGAAATAAAATTATCTATGGTGTCTGAATGTGTGTCAAAAACAGCAAAAATATCATCCACATACCTAAACCATACTCTTGGAAAATACTCAAACGATCAGTGTCTATTTTTTATAGAATATTTGATATTAAAGAGATAAGTAAAACATATATTTACTATTTACTTAGAGCTATGATTTTGTCTACTTATTTTTGTATCGTAAAGTGATTCTATTGTTTTAAGTTATTCGTTATAACGTTGATTGAAGAAATAAGCAGATGCGCAACCTTATGGGTGATTTCGTAGCACAAAATAGGTCTCAGATGTAGCTGGCTTTACCGTTATATGCCCGAGATTTAGTTTAGCTCTGCGCCGCAGTGCGACGTTTACAGCGCAGCGGATAAAGAATACTTGGAGGCGTATTCTTTAACGCCATAGACATGGAGATTTCTCTCTATAAAAGAAATTTCTTTCTATTATCGCAAAATGCTATTCTGTATGCCACTTCGGCGGTTCTCGTGTCCCGTTCGGTGGTCGTTCGGCATAGAGAAATAGATAGACCGATTTAGGTCTTGCTTTGATGGAGACATTGTTCTAATGCACCATCAAACCTTCTATTCTTCTATTTTTAAAGTAATTGTTTTTATAGGTTAGGTGCGTGTTTATATTTACGATTTACGGTATTTACGACTTGGCCGAAAAAGTTTGTTTACTCTTCGAGCTTCGAGTGTTAAGACTAAGTTAAAATGTTAAAACTTATGAGGACTTTGTGTGAAATAGTTTGCTTGTTTGTTGTTGTTTTTGTTGGAGTTTGGAGTAAAATTAATTATGGTTAGTTAGTTAGATTTGCACGAAGACGAGAAAAATTTATTTCAATAAATCACTAAACTTATTTTTTCTAGCCACTCCACTCGTGGTCACGAATCAAGCATGAATAATAAACGTAAACAAAACAAGAAAAAATACCAAGTCCATTTTGGTCCATTTATTATGATGACATTAAACAGCTGTGCGCCAGGGCTTCCAACAAAAAAACACCAAAAAGCGCGATGTTTTTAGATCGGGTAGTTGTTGATATCTCTTTACTGAGATCACCCGAATGAACTTGGAAATATACTTACCTATAGAATTCGTTTTAGACATGTCTTTTCTATGTCTATCCCTTCTCTATCTCTATCTCTCTATCGTTACGGAATACGCCTCCTGTACTGTAGTTCCGCTTTCAGTGGACAGAGTAGGTGGGTTGTCGGTGACTGTGTTGCCAGAACTACGAATTAATCCGTAGATTTACAGATTTTGGATACACTACGTTAATAATACGGATTTTCTAGCATTAAACAATTTAATATAATATTATATGATTAAACAAACAACGGCGTCAGAGTTGGAATGGAAATAAAGATCGCGGTTATTTCATATGTAAAATATTATGGTAAATGTCAATAGTTGTGATTTCCTAGCCAACTTTACGATTTTTTTCGATCATACGAAATATTTAGTACATACCTATAAAAGAATTTTTAATTTTTGTTGTTTATTCTATGTTTAACACGAATAAATATTCAATACATAAACGCGGATTTTTCATCCAAAGATAGTTTCGTCAAAGGTATTACAGATATTACACACACAGACAGTGGCAACACTGTCGCGTTCAATTCCACGCCGTCTTCGATATGCCTTCGCTAGCCGAATTAGAGAAAATGAGTGTTTTATGCGTTGGCCGCAGAATGAGTAGGGGCTCCACCGTACAGCACTTGAGACGTAAAGGGAAATCAAACCAGCCTTGTCAGGAATTCGCCCGTTAGGTTGCGTACCTTCCCAATTCTTCCAATCACTGGTTATAGTTTTTAAACTTATAGTCATTTTAATTTTAATCGCGATAATTTGCAATATTGCCAAATTTTTGCTGTTATTTGAACAAAACAAAAAAAGAAGAAAATTTGATATTTTCTAAACCAAATTTAAAATTTCCCAAACTATTCGCAAAAAGATACAGATTAAATATAACTACTAAACAATAATTATATTTTAGGAACTACAAGTAATGGTTTTATTATATGGGACTTTAACGTTGAAGATTACGTTGGCGATCACAATGCAATAGTGCTAACACTACCTTACGGCACTAGGAATATCACTACTAAAATGCTACAGTCAAATTCAATAATGTTAAGTGCACGGAAGAATTATGCTATTGCTGGAGTCAGGTACTACGTATTTTGTTAATCATTTTAATTGTTTCTAGTAATGATCAAGACTAAAAAACTCTTTACTAAACAGGTTTAAAGATGTCTATACGTATGTGGCGGATTCATCTCTCCAAAAAATCCTATATGGGTATTTCGCCACTGCAAGAAAATTTGTCAGAAGTTAGGTTTACAGATAGATAAATTTGCCTAGCGAACAAAAAAATGCTTAACGTTTCAGTTTATCACTTTCCGTCGTCGGAAGCAAAAAAAATACAAAAAATAAAGAAAAAAACTATTTAAAATATTTAAAATCAACTATTCGAGAACACTTTAGTTTTTTTTTTAAACAGATACGTCTACAAAAACCGTTGAGGTTCTGTTAAAATGATATTATATCAAGTTAAACTTCAAAATTAACAATTACTACCTGATAACAATTACTTTATAAGGTAAAACCAAAAAGCCCCAAACTTTCTGTATGATTGTTTTTAATTTTTACGTATGTTATGTTCTTTAAAATCAAAGAAGCGATTGCCATACATTACTGTTTAGGAAAGTCTTAATATATATTTAATTTATTTTGTATACTAAAACATCCAATCATTTCTTTATTCCTTTCTCAACAATTACTAACATCTACAGATGCATGAGCAATACATTTATTTTTATTAGATTGTATTAAAAAAGCCTCTTTTATTTTTCTTTTAGAGGCTATCGCTTCTTTCATTATAATTTTGGCGTTATTAAAATTTATTCTGTGCCGTGTTCCATGAATGCTGACAAATCTTAGATTTGTGAAAATCTCCCTTTCTTAATAAAAAAAAAATAGGTTTAAATATTTAGTATTTTTTTTCCATATCAATTTGTCTAATTTGCTAACTCAATTGTTAGTCATTACATTATAGTAGCACAAGGAAGTATTCACAGGGTGTACCAATATTCCGTGGACATATAACTAATACGTATTTTTGGAATCAAAACCAGTTCATTGGACACAATTTACTTCTATACAAAAGCGCCTCGTTTGTCCGTTAGAGGGCGCCAAACTTTAAAAAAATAAACACATTTTTTACGATATTTTAAGAACCGATATTCTGGTTTGAATGAGATTTGGAGTCCCTGTATATAAAAAATAATATCGAACTTAACATTACAGGAAGAACCTATATGTTTGGAGTATCGAGACAAGAAAGCTCGTGAAAATATTAGACGCTCATTTCGGAAGGATAATTCAACTTGAACCGCTAACTATAGGCAACTGGAACAGTATCGTCACATCTTCCATAGACAGAACTGTAAAAGTCTGGAATATTAACAACATATTCGAACAAGTCCACGTGATTGATCGGCACGAACTTCAAGTCGACTCTATAAGGTTAGGTTTATTCTTTTATTATTATGGTATACTTTAATAAAGTATTTGTCTCTTTCAGTCTTTCAGATAACCTAGGGTTGGCTGTTACCGTGACAAGAAATTGTGTGGGAGTCTGGGACTTGAGAGTTGGTAAACTAATAGCTAAGCTAGCAGATAGTCCCTTAGGAGCAATTGTTACCCATGCCATCATAACACCAGATGGAAAGTAATGTTCATAAGAATTAACTTAAATAAATTATCTACATTCAGAATAATTCAACCATAGCTGCACAATCACAGCTTATTCACTACCAGCTGGTCATATTTGCAGTACGTATATGGTAAAAAATTCGCCGTATGTATAGGCCGCATAAGTCGACAGGGCTGGGTACGAATAGGCTGTGATTCGAATCCTCTTCGGTTTGGATATACATTTAATATAAATATAATAAGAATATTTTTCTGAACATCAGCCTATTTTGTTAGATATATCATTTCTGCCGAAACTGGAAACATATTAATATGGCTGAGACTAACCCAACAAGTCATATTTAAAGACGAACAACCTGGAATTAGGCAACTGTCACTTATCGATAATGGAACCAAAATTTTATCAATTTCCAAACCAAGCAATCCACCAGGAACTGACTTTGTTAGAACTACAGCTACGGTTTGTGTGCGAGAAATACCAAGTAAGAATGAGTACAATAGAAATGTTCAACGATACAATATAATGTTTCAATTATAAATATAATTTAAAAACTTTGAATAAAAAGATTAAGGAAGGAGTATAATGCTATCCATGTATTCCATCACCACCTCCACACAAGGCCATTCAACCTTTTCCAATATGACGGAGATAGAAGTGCTTTGAGCTGGTGAAGTGAGTTGAGGTGGTGCTGTGTATTCATGCATAGAGACGGAATCCACATCAAGCACCGCCATTTTTGGCAGTTCTGTTTGACGTTTCAATTGACACATTTGAATTTGATTTGAAATTCTGCGAATGTTACAAATGTAATTAGAATACGTCGGTGTTTCCGTCGCGTATTGCAAATTTTTGTCATCAAATAATATTTATAACTTATTTATTTTTATTAGAAATAAATAATATAGACCCTGGGTGTCAAAAAATTGTATATCTAACATCGGTGGGTGATTCTGCAGATAAAAATAAAACAAAAACTATTCTACATAGAATGTAGAATGTTTAGGAGAGGAGTTAATCACCGCAACCTTACAGATCTATTGTGTGTTCCCCTGTCTTCAGTTATAACGAGCTATAACTCATCATACAGTCGCAGGGCTTTAACAAAAGCCAGTATCTGAGACGGCTCTACAGAGGCCAGCTCTCCATCCTCAACATCAGCCGTACCAAAGTTCATGGCACGAATGGTCGTCGTCTCGGCGCACTCAGTGATAAAGTGTTCTGGTGTTTCCCCATTTTCCCCACAGAATCTGCATTCGCCGTTGTTTCTCAGCTTCAGCCTACTGAGGTGTTCGTTGAGGAGACAGTGTCCTGTTAGAAACCCCGTGACAATCCGAAGATTGTTTTTACTTAAATCAAGGATAACCTTTGATTTTGCTCGGTCGTAAGTTCTGAGGAACTTTTTCCAGTGTCTTGTCTTAGACCGTTGGCGGACACCCATTCCAAGTTACGGATGGAATCTTCCTGATTCTTCAGTTCCGCTTTCAGTTGGTTCCCGTTTTGAAAACAGAACGGTTCTGGTCCAGTTAGTGGAGTGTTTGCTCCTTTCCTAGCTAGATCATTTGCTTTTTCATTGCCTTCTATTCCTTGGTGAGCAGGCACCCAGAGTAGGAGGACTTTATTTTCTTTGCCTAATTTGTTAAGCTTCTCGAGGCATTCTCAAAAGTTCCTATGAACATATGCCCTAAAATGTTTCCCGAAAAAGTTACAGCACTCGAAAGGTTAAATAAAAATAATATATTTTGTTTATTTTTAAGAACATTGATAAACCGTTTTTCCGGAAATTTGGAGCTCTTGGACAACTTCATTGACATGCTCCTTTCTTAATATTCTTATTCAAAGATACTGAAATAATTTTTGAAGGTGGCGAAATGATGTACACTTTTGAATACGCAGTGCGAAGTACCACGGGAGTACCTTTCAGACCCGCAGTGATAACATCTGATAATCAGCACCTAATAGTTTCGGCAGCCGACAAAACAAATAGGGATTGTATTGTCGTCTACAACGCTCAAAATGGAAATCTAGTACACAGAATTCCTTTAAAAATGTGCAGCATTAAAGTAGGACAGTTTTATTTCACTTCTTAACTACAATGACTGGACACAAGCTGGACACGAAAAAAAGACGCAAATTTCTAATTTAAAAAGCAGCTAAAAAGTCAAATAATTTAGCTGTAAATTTCTTTAAAAAATCATCATTATCGGCCCAGTAGAACAAAATATATTGCACTTTAAAATCCGTGAAAATTTTGAGGTGTCTGCTTTTCGTGCCGGTTAGTGTATTCTAGCCCCAGTGAGTTTTTAACCCCTTCTTTAGGATATAGCTGCGTTAGTAGCAATCCCTAACAAAGGACACCTAGTTGCAGTAATGACCGCAGATAAAGGCGCTATCATCGACATAAAAAACAAAAAGCATATAAGATCCATACCAAAATGGGGTGGCAGTATAACAAAAGATGGTAAATACGGATTATACGCTCCGGCAAGGTATAGCAAAGTATGTACAGGGTGGCACCCCTCATACGACGCGGAGGCTCAAAGCAAAACGACACTTATGTATTGAAATAAAATTTTGGAAGGATATTTATACAGGGTTTTCCAATATTCCGTGGACATAGAGCCACTATATTTTTGGAATCAAAATTCAGAGAAACAAAGCACTTATAATTCCAAAAATACGTACTAGTGCTATGTTCACGGAATATTAGGACCCCACAGCCACCTATATTTTATCAAATAATACAAACATCTACTCAGACTAAACATAAAAATTATAATATCTATGAAAATCTGACTGAGAGGTAGGCAACGTTAATAAAATTTTGAAGAGACATGAATTCTCCATTGAATATCCGAATAATATACTGAGTGTTCCGTTTAAAATAAAAGGGTAACATGCATTTAAAAGCCCCTGTATAACTTTTTTTAAATTAATTAATAATTTTAACTACATATGATGCTATACAGGGTAAATTACGATTTAGGTAGGTTTTAATAAAATTTATTCTTGAATTTTAGAAAATGTTAATATGATAAAAAAAACTATATTTTATTCATACGCTTTTCTAGCAAAACTCGCCTTTATTTTTCACCTAATATCCGAAAATCAATAAATATATAGGGTGTTTCATTACAAAAAACACAACTTTGATATGTTACTTTTTTAGGGACACCCTGTAGAACTCTATATGTTTTTAAAAAATGCTTTAAAATGATGTAAATTAACCTAAGTAAAAAACTTAATGTTAAAATCAGAAGCAAAGTCCAAACCACTGTCAAAAATTCTTTATTAGTGACAGGTTACTAATAAAGAATTTTTGACAGTTTTATTTTAAAATTAAGTTTTTTACCATAAGCCACCACTTTGTGAAAATGAACAAACTCTATAACTTAACCCAAATAGATAAGCTACTAAATTTTAATTTCAATAAGAACTGTTGTTCTCCTTGGAGATTCGAAATCATATGAGAGGCGCCACCCTGTATTTATAATTAAAAAAACTCTTAATTTAGAGGTGGACTAGAACTGCTTGAACTGAGAAAAGGCCAGACCGTTAAAACGTACATACCGAAAGTAGCCGAAGGTGTTTTTACAATTATATGCCTATTCAATAAAACCGATGAATATGTCTTATACTATCATAGTGGAAGGAAAACTCTACGAGTATTCAGGTTAAAAAGACTAAATTATTTCATTTTTTTACAGGAAATTAACAATAAACATCTCTTAGAACTTCAGATGCGGAAATGATTGCAAATTACAGAGTCCAAGCTGAACTAACCGCAGTAGAAAGTACACACGACGGTAACGCTTTAGTTTTAGGTACAGTGGATGGCTGTGTATCCGTTCTGGCTATACTAGATCCAGTTAAGAACGATATGATTAGCTATTTGGCTGGAATGCCTTCCCGGGATGAAGAAGTAAGTTTGAACAATGTTTATGCTTTAAAACTAACCTTAAAAACCTCCCTACAGCTAAAATATAGCCATTCAGCATATTTCAGTAAATAAATCAATGTTTCTTAATATACTAGTGTTTCCTACACATTAGTGTATAATAAAAACACTTATTAATCTTAGTACAAGTAAATAAAATTCAAAAAATATAGTCTTCTAGATTTCTATATTGGAACAGAATAATACACTTAGTAGTTCACAAAGGGACGCGAACTTCTAATTATTAATATTATTAATAAAAATCACACTTACCCATTTTCCTAATGTATTCTCTCTTTGATAATACCACAAAAATCACACATTTTAATGGAAAACAAAAATATTTAGATATTTTTTAAACTTTCCAATTTCTAAACATATGACAACTATGACAAATGACATATCGCAACTGTCATAGTTTTAACCAGGGATGGGTGTTTACCAGAATTATATTTTTTTACGTTACGATGTAATTTATTACACTTAATAAATAATATTTATCTTCGTCCCAATTCCTAGGAAATATAATGGAATAAATTAACCATTAAATAATTAAATATAATAAAATAAATTAAATTAATTAGGGCGGATTTACCCAATTTCTTAATTGCTATTCCTTAATTCTTATTTCTTAGTCTCTAATTTGTAATTCTTAATACACAATTCTTTATCCCTTATTTTTTTAGAGACAGTTATCCAATGTCTTAATACTTATTTCTTAATTCTTAAAACTGACACTAGTAGATCAAATCAAATCGTTTTTATTTCGCTGTGTTATTGTGTGCAATGAAGTCCATACAAAAAATTGCAGCACTTTCGGGTTTGTTTATAACCATGGCTTGTTGTGTCGCTACTCTCGTGAATCGCCACCGAGGTTGTAGGCGATTTGGGGTTCGCCCCATGAATAGAAGAAAGGACATGGAAGGCAATTTTGGAACTCTAATACAAGACATGCCTTCCTTGGAATGGGACGAACAACAGTTCACAAAATACTAGAGATGGGCAAAAGTAACCGGTTTTTTGAATAACCGGTATTTTCCTCTAAAATAACCGGTTATTTAAAGGTAGTTTTTTTTCACCAGTTAACCTAATAACCTTGCATTACGTTCAATAACCTATAGCCGATTATTTTTTAAAAAATCGTACTTGTTTAAAACAAGTAACAATTAAATATTAGCTGTTTGAATCGTAAATTTTGAAGAAGCGAACGGCACGGATCTTCCCGATATTTTGACGATAACGGGAGATCCCGCTCCCGCTCCCAAAACGTCAAAATTAAATCAGGCATCAGGCGAACCCTGATAATAATCAAAACAACGGCCGAATGGCCCTGACAGGTAAGGCCGTAAAACAAAGTACTAATGCCATAGACTACTACTAGCCACCAGCTAGCCAAGTGATACGAACCTAACTTCAAATAGATTCTCTAAATTCTATATTTAAATTTTAACCAACTTTAACGGATTTTCAACGGTTCTTCAAAAGTTTTCCATGGTTTCGCCCAGTTTCACCCACGTTTCACCGTAAATATATTTTATTTGTAGTTTGAAGTCTCTCTTGAAGCTTAGACTAAGAATACAAAATTGAAGTTCAAGTAATGAATGAAGATAATCTTTCATTATTTATTCATTTTAATCTCTTTATTTTTCTTTGGTATTTGATTAAAATAAATTGGTTGTAGATTGTAGAACTTGTGAGTTGTGTGGTTTATTTGAACGTTAAGTAATTACTAGTTTTAATATCATATCCATGTCTAGTCAAAAAAGTGAGGTTAGCATTTTTATTTAAACTCATTTTGTACATATACATACTTACATTGCTACAATCTCTATTTAATCATGCGATTTAACTAAGTTTATTATCTAAATTTGAAGTAGACCTATGGTGTGTAGAGGTAAGTAAACCTATAGGAAAACTAAATATTTGGTTTTGCTAGGTTAGGTTATTTGAATAACCGGTTAATTTGTGTCGGTTAATTTTGTCAAGTTATTATTTTTTAAAGATAATTCCGGTTAACCTATAACCGGTTTTTTACCAATAACCGCCCATCTCTACAAAATACACAAAAAATTAACATTTCAAAATTTCACGCATGCGCATCTACACGTTTTCCTTAATCGCTAATTCGTAATCGCTAAAAAGTTAAAAGTTGGGAACTTTCAAAATAAAGAATTACGAACCGTGGTTAAGAATTAAGGATTAAGACATTGTATAACCAAACTAACTGCATAACACGTATTTTATCTTTTTATAATTTAGCGAATAAGAAATAAGAATTAAGGAATAGCAATTAAGGAATTGGGTAAATCCGCCCTTAGTAGTTCACAAAGGGACGCGAACTTCTAATTATTAATTAATAAAAATCACACTTACCCATTTTCCTAATGTGTTCTCTCTTTGATAATACCACAAAAATCACACATTTTAATGGAAAACAAAAATATTTAGATATTTTTTAAAGTTTCCAATTTCTAAACATATGACAACTATGACAAATGACATATCGCAACTGTCATAGTTTTAACCAGGGATGGGTGTTTACCAGAATTATATTTTTTTACGTTACGATGTAATTTATTACACTTGGGATACTGTAAAGCATGTAAAAAAGTTAAGAAATAGATAAATAATATTTATCTTCGTCCCAATTCCTAGGAAGGTAATACCCCTAGGAAATATAATGGAATAAATTAACCATTTCATATTTTAAATAGAAAACAGTTTTAAAGTAGTTCGTTTAATATATGATCAGAGAGTGACCCTCAACTTTTTATATATGATATTGTTTGACAACGGCTATAAAACGGCAGAGATGCTTTTCCCGCCATAATCTGAATATTTTAATCGTACTATTTAGAAAGGGGAATGCGCCTTAACGTGTTTGCGAAATTTTACTGGTTACTTATTGGTTAATTGAAAATAATAATAATAAAGAATATAATATACTCATTATATTAAATAGCATTTTCTCTATAGTTATTTAACCGTGATGGACCAGAAAACACCTTTAATAATTAAAAGCAAATAATACTTTTAAAACTAGCTAAAGTAATTTCAAAAATGAATCTAACAAAATTTAGTATCTATGTAAGTTTTAATGAATAAATGACATTAAAAAGAAAGAAAACATTTTGTATAAATAATATTTTTCTATTTTGCATTTTAAATACAAATTTAAAAATTATCTCCTATACCTGCATTATCTAAAAAAAGTATACTCTTTAATATAAACTATAAACTATTTTTTAGTGGAAGAAGAAAGTTGAAAAAATGAAGGCCCACACCAGATTTAAAGCTGTACAAGCTATAGCTAAACTTTCAACAAGCTTCGCAAATTTAGAAAACAATAATCAACAGATAATTAATATGGATGATGCTTATAATAACGAAAACGCTCAGCAGATATAAAACAGCTTACAAAACAAAGAAAAAATATGCATAGTTGTGATAAAAAAATAAATCCAAAGAGAAAAGTTTTATTATGATATTTAGTTCAATAAAAATTGCCGTTAAAACATATTTTTATAATTTTTTAATTGAGCTCAACTCAAAAAAATTCCTACATCCATTCGCACCTTCTTGAGACACACTGTACAAGAGACATATTTGTGTAAAAGTGTTGATAGTGTGGACAGTCATTTAAAAAATCAATTATACGAGAATATTACTCCATTTATTTTGTACAATTAATTACACATAGAGGCAAATATTGGCTTACATCTAAAAATAAATAAACTTTTAAATTTTTGACACAAGAAGAAATGCTACAAAAATTAGATCACAAAATTAACAAAGATTATATACAAATAATTTTTGGGATACTTTTTATATACTATAATAATAATATTTAATATTTGTTGCTTACATAACTTAATATTCGTAACCTATATAACTTAGTGGAAAAAAGTTGTTTTAAACAATATAAATTTCTATTTTTAGACTTAATCAGTGTGTACTTAAACTGAATAGCTACATTTAACACCAATAAAAATGCTTTCCTTAAAATAAGGTCAGCTTATATAATACCATTGATTTATGACTTACAACACAATACATTTTTTAACTATCTATAACTATATATTGGAGAAATAATTTCAACAGTTTAGCATAAAATAAAGTTCTAATCTTTTTTCTACCTGATTTTTCTAAAATAAAAACTAATAACGAAAAAAATAAACGCACTGGCTAAAAAACCGCCGCCGGTATTGTTAGTGTATATGAAAAGATACCGCCATCCGGCGGCATTACATTTCTATATCTGTAAATGCCGATGGAAAATTGAATTAATTTGACGTTGACGGCGGTATATAATTGCTGTCCAACTGCGGTATAGGTACTGTATTTCATACATCACTGCCGCCGAAATCATAACATAATATTTTTGCATTTTCATTTTTTCATTTGAACTAGGCTGTCTTTGATATTTGATAAAATTGTAAAATAGTCAATTTTAAAATGAAAATATTCAAAGCAATCAGATGTGCATTAATCAAAGAGAGAAAAATGAAAAAAAAAGAGTGAAACTAAAAATAGCAATCAAAACCGCTGCGCGTTTTGATTGCTAGAGGTATATAACACATAAAGTTTGGTAAAATAAGGGCGTTATTTCTGTTTTTTAAAAAAGTATACCGCCGAACGGTTTTTTTATATATCTAAAAAAAACATTCAACAACATTCTTTCGTCAATTGTCTATGCCGGCGGCGGTAATTTAGCTAGTTCGAAAAATAAATGCGATTATTTTATAACAACGCGAACAAAAAATATACACTCAGATGCAAAAAAAACGCAACGGAAATTTTTTTTCTCAAGTTTTCAAAGTGTTATATTTTTTTTACTTTTATCCCTATTTTCATGAACTGTATGTAAATCTATCAACTTTAGTATTTGACTTATTATGCAGGGTTAATTGAAGTGTTGTTTAACTTTAAAACACCCTGTGTTCCTATAATAATATTTTTCGATGAGAACCATGTTTCCTGAACATTTTGTTTTTGACTCATATCAACATATGCCTTGGTTAATTTTTAGGAGCGAAATGAACTTGCCACCAACAATTATTTGCAATTTTTTCAACTATCATTACCTTATAATGTTATTTTTTAATATCACGAGGTGGCTTTGGTGACTATTGTCATATCGACACTGATTAGAACTCTATTTCCTGAATAGATAGAGAAAAACCGACATAGATGTCATGAGCTCGATTTCTGAGACACGTTTAATGGCGTAAACCGTCTGTTGATATTTTCACTGCCCACTGAGATACCGGGTTTTTGAATTTTTTACCATTTTGAAAATTGCCCATAACTTTTTTATTTCGCGAAATAATAAAATTCTGTAAAAATGTTCTTAAGGCAGTTTTTTAAGCACAATCCAGTGGCGTAGTCAGTTTTTTTCTATACATGCTCTTTTTATCAGAAATAATAAAAAATATAATTCTTTAAATGGAAATCATAGTTGGCTATGAACTTAAAAAAATGCTGGCCTTTAACCCTTTCTAACGATATAAAGTTTGTGTAGTTTGTAGTAGTAAAAATGTGTATTTATTTCTAAGAATGAGAGAAATATTAGGTTTTTTTATCTTTGTATCGAAGCGGGCCTTGATTTTGTGTTGACCTAGTTGCCTAATTAATTTTTATCACAAGGAATATTTAGAGAAAATTGGGTTGGAACAAGGGGCCCATATCTTGGTCTGCTAGGTCCTGTGATTTAACTTCTTTCGACTTTTTTACGGAGGAAATTAAAAGAACTTATATATAAGGGAAGAACCATTGGGACGAGAGAAAAATTGCAGAAGGCTACTAGGCAAGCTTTTGGACTTATTAAACCAGTTCGCCTAATAAATCGTTGTAACTCTATGCGCAAAAGATGTTTATTGTGTCTTAAACAAGGAGGTGCTCTTTGATTTTTTTAGAAAACTATATTCGTCACTCAAAAAATACGTTTTTTAGTTTTATTCTTTGTTTATCGTATCGATTTAAGTTGTAATTACTAATATTAATAATCACTATTACTAATAATAATAGAATGTTAATTTAACTTTTCAAAAGTCTTTAATTATGCAGATAAATAATAATATAGAATATTAAATTGTGATAGAAAATAATTAGGCAAATAGGTCAACTCAAAATCAAAGCCCGCTTCGATATAAAGATAAAAAGATAAAAACCCTAATATTTCTCTCATTCTTAAAGATAGATACCCATAACTTTATATCGTTGGAAAAGGTTAATCGCTATTATTTTTTTAAGTTCATAGCCAACTACGATTTAAAAAAATATATTTTTTATTATTTCTGACAAAAAGAGCAAGCATAAAAAAAAACTGACTACGCCACTGGATTGTGCTTAAAAAAGTGCCTTAAGAACGTTTTTACAGAATCTTATTATTCCGTGAAATAAAAAAGTTATGGGCAATTTTCAAATTGCTAAAAAATCAAAAAGACCCCGTATCTCTGTTGGCAGTGAAAATATCAACAGGCTGTTTACACCATTAAATGTATCTCAGAAATCGAGTCCATGACATCTATGTCGGTTTTGCTCTATCTAGTCAGGAAATAGGGTTTCTCTGTTCAAACAGACTAATTTCGACCACCCTGTACAAACAAACAGAAAACTTGTAAAAAATACTCTAATACTTTGTATTGCCTCCCCCGGCTGCTATAACTGTCTGTAGACATCGGTTCATACTGTTAATGAGGAATGAGACTGCAAATATATTGTGTTATATTTTCGCATTCTTCTTCAAGGACCAAGCGAATATTCATAATTTCTACCATCATCAACAAGGTTAATGACTTTTGCACAATCCATAAGAACCATATTCAATCGTACACAACAATAATCACAAAAACCACCTCGTCATTATGAAGAATAACATCAAAAAGTAACGATAATTGAAAAAATTGCAAAATGTTTGTGGCAAGTTCATTTTGGTCTTAAAAATTAACCAAAGCATGTGTTGACATGAGTCAAAAAACAAAATATCCAGAAGACATGGTTCCGACCGAAAAATAATGTTTCAGGAAAATTTACTCACAAAATTATTGCACAGGAAGTTTTAAAGATAGGGTAAAAAACAACTCTTCGATTAACCCTGTATAATAAGACAAATACTAAAGTTTATAATAAACTGAGTTTACGAATTAAAGTTGATATATTTATATACATTTTGCTGAAAAATCAAGGAAATAGGTCTAAAAATAAAAAAAATATAACATTTTAAGCTAGACCCAAAACTTTTCCATTGCGATTTTTTTTGCATCTGAGTGTATTATATATTTTTTCATTTTATATGGTTAAATAACTTTTATTACAATTATAAGTATGTTTTGAAAGATTAGCTAATTTCAACAGTTTATCATAAAATAAAGTTCTAATCTTTTTTCTACCTAATTTTTCTAAAACAAAAATTAATAAAGGAAAAAAATGCAAAAGGAACAAAAAGAAATACTTTTTTTTTTACTTTAAATGAGTAAATATACAGGGTGTTTCAAAAAGCATGTGCCATCACTGGTGGGGAGATCCATCATGTAAAAAGATCCATCATATAAAGATTTATTTTTTATAACATTATATCAACATAGGTCCTATTCTGCTTTGTTTCGTAGCTACAGGCATTGGAGTAACTACAGGGGTGCCCGAGGGTGCCGTCACCGCCCTAGGTACTGCTGGGCACCCCCCAGAGAAATCCTAAATTATGACTCTTGGCTACGTATTCATTTTTATTTGCTTGTAATACAGTAAAAATTACGTTTTCTAGTTTAGTTTAGTTAATATTATTTTGTTGTGTTCAAAAAATGTGTTAATTTTTATTTTTTTAGAAAATTTCTAGGTATTTAAGTAATCTACGAGAACACGGTTTGATAACCAAGTCTATGAAATTTATTGATAGAGAAATTCATGTAAACGTTTTATTCAAAAAATGTGTTTTTTAATATTATTTTTCATTTTTAAAAAAACAAAAACCCTAGGCCCCCCCTGGGCTCAACCCCAGGCCCCCCACAGGCCCACCCCAGGATAAATTGCTAGTTACGCTAATGGCTACAGGGTGTTAAAGTCTTAATATTTTTCGATTTACTACAATTTTCTTAGATGCGCTTTTAACGATTCAAATGAAATTTTAATTATTTTTATTAATCTCATATTTAGATTAGAGCACATGTTTTTTGAAACATCTTGTATGTAACAAAATTAAATATAATTATAAGAATATTTCCAAAAAGATTAGTTATAAAAGTATAATGCATGTAAAAATAGGTATAAGTTTTTTATAAAAATATATTATAAAAGTTATTTTTAGGAAAAAATTAAAAACAATATTATTTCAAATCTACATCACAAGTACTGACTGCCATTATTAACTTGATTAGTTATAGCACTAGATTTACAGTCTATATGCTCAGTTAATCATTAATCATATATTTTTTTAAGTATATCATATAATGATTCTATAAAAATACACATTTATTAGGGAAATATTATTAATACTACAATTACAGTACGATCGAGAAAAAAAACGGCGTCAGAGATGGCTTCGAAATCAAGACCGATGTCATTTTATATGTAAACTTATATGGGAATGTCTACACACTAGGAAATAAATAACTTTTTAAGTAACATTTTAAGGTATTTTTAAAAATAAGACCGCTTCACTTAGAGCGAATTTTAAATTTTTGTAGCTCCCCGATATGGGAAAAGAAATACTTCAAACTGACTAGTTAATTATTTAGAGTCTGACAGTATTCAGACTTTTATCCAGAATAAACATTTCTGAGAAATATAAAATATGTATGTTTTTCTTCCATATGTGTCTAATACTCTTGGACACACTGTATGAATGTAAAATTATACGGTTAATGTCATCGATCGTTATTTCTAAGTCAAATTGGCGTCCTCATGTATAGTATACAGGGTGGTCCGAAATGTATTCCGGAAACTTCGGCAGCATATTCTGCAGATAACAATAAGTAAAAAAAAAGTTCGTATAAATGTATGTCCTAAAATGCTTAGTTTCGGAGATACACGGTGTATAAGTTTCATTTTTATATCGATTTTTTCCAAATAATTTCTGAAGTAACGTCAATATTTGGATGAAAATTGGTGTCTGGGAGTTTTTTGACATGAGAAATTTGATTTTGATGTCAATATGATTCCTACTACTTGTAGATGGGGCCACCTACATATTTTTTAACTAGTTTGAAGAGTAATAACTTTTTGTCTGTACCTGTATAAAACTACTGAGTAAAAAAATATACATTTACGACGTTTTTTACATAAAAAAGGTCTCTTTGTAGAAATCGCTACGAGTAATGGTTCTCAGAATATTTGAAATCGAAATTATCAATACGTAAATTAAACATGTTGACTAAATAGGTATTAAACTGAAATCATAAATTTTAAATGTTTTTGTGCTAAATAAAGGTTCAACAGAAACTTTTATCATAATTTTTTCGACGGAAAATTTATGATTAATTCAAAAATAATCAAAAGTTCCCAAATTTATTATGTAGTCACAGTGGCGGATACAGAGGCGCCCATGGAGCCAAGGCCCCCCTAAGATCTATAAATTGGGTTAAATATTAGGCATTTGGGTTAAAAATGGCGCTCTAAAAAGCATATTCTACATTACTTTTTATTTGGGCCCCCCCTAAAATAAATCCTGGGCCCCCTCTAAAATAAATTCCTGTATCCGCCCCTGCGTCAGTCAAGTAACTACCTACTCTCAACATGTTTATTTTTTGTCAAGAATGACATGTATTGACCATTTCCATTCTAAATATCTTGAGAACGGTTGCTCGTAGCGATTTTTACCAAGAGAACTTTTTTACGTAAACTCAGTAGTTTTATACAGGTACGGACGAAAAGTTATTACTCTTCAAACCAGTTAAAAAATATGTAGGTGGCGCTCTATACAAGTAGGGATCATATTGACATCAAAATCAAATTTCTCATGTCAAAAAACTCCCAGACACCAATTTTCATCCAAATATTGACGTTACTTCAGAAATTATTTGGAAAAAATCAAAATCAAAATAAAACTTTTACACCCTGTATCTCCGAAACTATGCATTTTAGGACATTATTTTTATCTGCAGAATATGCTATACCGAAGTTTCCGGAATACAGTTCGGACCACCCTGTATATCTTCCAGTTCATGGTTTTAATCAAGGTTGAAATAAAAACATTTTATTTACTTTTAAATAAAATATTTTTTAACTCCAAAATTGGTATTGTTTAAAATTTGTTTAACACACCAGTACTCAGGGTATTTTAATACCCCGCACTGTTGAACACCGCACAGTTGTTTTATTTAGATAACTTGGCGAGGGATAGTTACAATTAGTGATGGGATAACTCGAGCGAAAATTCGCTCGAGTGCTCGATTATTAAAATAACCGACATCGCTCGATTATGAACGACCGATGCAAGTTACGAGTTACAAGCGACGAACGCAAGCGATCCTATCGGGCGAATTTGCTACATACATTGCAGATTAGCACTATTTTAGTAAAATATGTTCAAAGAACAGATTGCTCTTTTGATTGGGACCGCATTGTTAAGTATAGGACTATAATACGACGTTATCTTTTGCGTAACTGTGTGACAAAATTTTACCACCTATATCGACAAGGCTTCGATGCATGATCAAGCGAAACTACTCGTCGCTTGGCACTATCATCGAAAGAATATGCGCTCTGCGCACGCAGCTTACTGCTTGGCGGCGACAGCGAAAAACCGTATTATTTAAATACGAGCGAAATTTCGCTCGAGCGATCGCTCGATTATTGAAATCGCTTGAAACTCGAGTACTCTATTATTAAAATTTATCGGTTTTTCCCATCACTGGTTAAAATTACATACCGCCTCGTGTATTCTTTAACCGTAGCGTGTATTTACAGGGTGGGTCAAATTCGACGCTTTTAAATGGAAACACCCTTTTCTATAACAGATAGACGAAAACTAATATCGGTGTCTGGAACTCAATTTTCATCAAAAACATGATTGTAAAAACCGCACATCAATATCTGTTACCGTTTAGGAGTTACGAGCTGTTTTTCAAAAATGTGCATTTTTAACAAATCGCTGTAACTTTTTTGCTATGGAAAATTTTGCATTTCTATGAAAACATTTCCAAAGCACCTTTTTACGTAGAATTTAATGGCATCAGTATAATTTTTTTTTAAATTAATAATTTAAGAGTTATCAACAGAAAAATTGATTTTTTATTTGGGACACCCTCTATATTTTTAATTAACGGAAAAGAATTTAAAATTACCTTTCCAAAAATATAGCACCACTTGATATTTTGTTATATTCCCCTTCGAAATACAGAATTTTTAAAAGTTCGCCACTTTTAACTAGTAGGCTTTGGACCCCTTATTGATGATATGCCCTTAATGGAACTCGAAAACATATTTTTTCAGCAAGAAGAGGCACCGCCTCAGAACGCTGAAGTTATCAGCAAATTTTTGCAGCCAATTTCAAGAATAATTGAATAGCTAACCAAGATCCCAGCCGTTGTGAGCCGTTGTGATCACACCTGACTTAGTGTCCATGGATCTAATCCTATGAATATATTTGCGGAAGAATAAAGGTTCCTTATTCTTCCGTATAATCTAGACAAGAATTAGAAATACTTAGCAGTTATGAGAGGGATTTTCTCACCCCCACTGAGTTAAGGAATTCCGCGAGAATTGTTCAGAAACGGCCCCGTCTGTCCATAACAGAAGATGTTCGATATAACAGAAGACGGTCGAACACCTGTAGCTAAATCTCATGTCTTGATTTGCTATTTATTTTTATTGTTATGAGATATAGTTTAAATGTGTTGATGTTGGTTAAATATATTTTAAATTGTTATAAAATTCTGCATCTCTCATAGCAAATATTATTTTCGTTTTAACTGATGCTCACAGCTAGAATTTTTTTGCATTACAGCCGGTGCCATTCAAAGCCTACTTAATTAAAGCGGGCGAATTTTTGTATACTCTATATCTCGAAGTTGAATCGAGCAAAATATCAAGTGTGTTATATTTTTGGAAAGGTAATTTTAAATTCTTTTCAATAAATTAAAGATATACAGGGTGTCTCATATAAAAAACCAAATTTTCAGTTGATAATTCTAAAATTATTAATTTTAAAAAAATTATACTTAAACCATTAAATTCTACGTAAAAAGGTGCTTTGGAAATGTTTTCATAAAAATACAAAATTTTCCATAGCAAAAAAGTTACAGCGATTTATTATAAATGCATATTTTTGAAAAACACCCCGTAACTCCAAAACAGTAACAGATATCGATATGCGGTTTTCACCATCATGTTTTTGACAAAAATTGAGTTCCAGACACCGATATTAGTTTTTGTCCATCTCCTATAGAAAAGGGTGTTTCCATTTAGAAGCGTCGAATTTGGCCCACCCTGTACAGTCTGTCCAACTATTTAGAAAAGAATTCGACAGACGATATCCAAAAATGACAGAAAATACAATTTGCCTATGAATTAAAATGACATGAGACACAACTGTCGCTCTCGGGGATCCACCCGTTAGATAGACAAAAGGTGTGTTAGCAGATAGTCGCAATTACTGCACCAAAATTTAATAAATACTTCTTTTGGAGGTCGAGGAACCAACAAGATCTACACTCACCAGCACGTAAAACGGGCACCTTAAAATTTTGATGTATTTTAAAGTTTTATATATTTTATTCTAAAGCACACATTTTGATGATTCTTTAAGCAATATGTAGCTAAATTATTTGACTTTTTAGTACCTCTTTCTAAATTAGAAAAGAAAGTTCCCATCTATCATTTATACGAGGGACAACCAAATGATATTTTGGTAAAATTTTGAATTCAAAAATCACTCTATCATCTAGATGCATATTTTATCGATATTTCTTTTTTGGTTCATCTTAATATCTTTATTTTTTGGGGATAATTGCTTTTGAAGAAGACACTAACATTTTTTCGTAATTTTTACATTAAAACCATGCCTTTGCTTTCGTAAAAAAAATTTGAATTAAATATTAAAGTGCGATAAACTTTAATCAAATTTACATTTATTTTAATCGTAGAAACTAAAAATGTAATAATATACAGGGTGTTCCATTTAAAAAAGTACAACTTTGATATATTTTATTTATTTGGGACACTTTAGGTTAGGGTACCTTTTGTAAATAATTTTAAATTGTAACTTTAGTAGTCCACCAGGGATCCTATCTCTTATAATTTCTGAAAATGTAATTGTTTGGCATAGTTGAAAGAAATAGTTTCTCTTATTTTATATTAAAAAATACCGACGCATTCAACATGACTAAACAGAGCTTTATACATGTTTTAAACGAATGTTTCAACAAGTAATAGTGTTTTAAACTCGTTTAAAAAACCTGTTTTTAAATAAAATGTTTTAAACATAACAACCCTGATTTTAACACCACTCAAAATATACCATATGATCGAAAAAAAAAACATCACATTAAAGTACCTGTATTTTAAGTTCGGCCATATCATTGTCAATGGCCTATCAACTTGGCGAGTGTCTAAATCGACTCTAACGCCGTTTTTTTTTCGATCGTATAGTATTCTGAGGACAAAAATTTAAACAAGATAAATTCCAAGTAAATATTTAACGTGATTGAGATAGCAATCATCAAATCCTTGTCCAAAATCTGCTTTTTACTTTTAGAATTTATTAGGAAGCTGCCTAAAATCTCTCAGTTTTCAGCACACTGTAAATAGCACGAACTAAAGTAATCACAGCCGCAACTAAACTCTACAAATAAAAAAGAGACTTTGGATTAATTAATCGGTTAATAATCGTTAACACAACAAGCTGAATCTCGAACTCGTTAAGGAACTCTTTAGCGAGATTTTTTTTTGAAATTGTTGTTATTTCCTATCCGATTGGGTTTCTGTTTAAAAAAAAGAATCTCTGTGGCGCCTTTTACCATCAGGAAAAACCAATATATTTGCGGAAACAGTAACAGACTTATACTTATCAGACAATTCCTGGGTAATTTTGTTAAAGCCTGAAAATTAAATGTTTTAAAATGGTTGATATTTGGTGATATTATTAATACTTTGAATAAGAAGACTAAGGAAGGAGCATAATGCTATCCATGTATTCATGCATGGTGGGCGGAAAAAGCACTCTAGGGTGGGGATCCTTGACAGTTCTGTTGGACGATTCATTTGACACATCTGAATTTGATTTGAAATTTTGTGGATTTGTCAGTCTTTACGGAGCTTATTTTATGTTATTTATTATTTATTCTACTACAGATAGTTGTATAAAGGTAGTAAATCTAGATGGAAATTGTGGCAGAACTTAAATTAACAGTGACACTATCGCGATTTATCGAAAAAGACTCTAAAATAGTTGGTTGTGTAGCGTGCGGTAGATCTCGGCAAAAATTGAGTGAAATAATGGAACAACTTTTCGCTAGTAACGTAACATAAAACAACAAATTACTGAGTCTACCCCACGTCTACTCTACATCATAGTTTTACATTTTTTAAATAAAATTAGAACGACACTGATAAACCGGAATTTAAGTCGGCCATATTTGAGGCCCATCGCGGTGTACCTAAGATTTTTGATATGCTCCTTCCTTAGTCTTCTTATTCAAAGTATTAATAGCGTTGATTGAAGAAATAAGCAAATGCGCAACCTTATGGGCGATTTCGTGGCACAAAACCTATCCGAGATGTAGCTGGCGTTACCGTCAGCCTGTCCGCGAATTCCAAGATTTAGTTTAGCTCTGCGCCGCTGCGCGCTGATAGTCGTTTACAGCGCAGCGGATAAAGAATACTGTACCGTGGTTCTGCTTTCAGTCGACAGAATGAGTGGTTGCCGGAAACAGTGTTGCCAGAACTACTGATTAATCCGTAGATTTACGGATTTTGGGTACAGTACCTTAATAATACGGATTTTCTATCATTAAACAATTTAATATAATGTCAAGGTGTATGTGGCGCTAAACTGTATTGCTGGTTGCCTACCTTACCGCAACGTGTCAAGAAAAATGGCGCATTCGCCAGAAAGTAAAAGAATATTCCAGAATTCTTTAGAACGTTCCAGAAACACTCGCCAGAGAGTATATAAAGCCCGCGCTTGGCAGTTGGACCAGTTTGAAGTTTGATAATACCGCGTTTTAAATTGTGAATTAATTGGCGAAGGTGCCAGTACCGTTAGAGTAATAGTAGTTGCATAAATTGTGTTGTAAATTAGTATAAATTGTGTGTATAGAGTGAGAGAAAATAAATTCGTTAAGAATTTTATCGTGAGTTTAAATTAGTGGACCCACGGAATCCGTAACAATAACATTAAATGATTAATCTACGACAATGTCATTATGACACATTTAACATTGTCATTTGGATGTCATTATGGCTTTCATAATAGCACTAGTGCTATTTTGTGCTAGTTTATTTATTGTAAACATTAATTATAATATCAGTACAATTCACTATCAATGAAACTTTTGTCAGGAAATAAGTTTTATCATCGGCTTCCAACAAAAAACGAGTTCTCTTCTTTTCTTAAAATTCTCGATTTTTTTGACCGAAATCCTTCCGATTTTCTTTTTAGAAATGCAATTAAATGGACATACTTACTAATATCTGTATTTTTCTTCACTGATATAACTGAACGAAGCATGGAATAATATACCCAAAGTGATGAGGCCTTCCTATGTTTTGAAAGATGTTCAAAATATGCCAGGAGAACCTTTTCGTTACTACTATTCTTAATTCCTTTCCCTTTACACCAATCTTCAAGTTTTACATAGGCTTGCTCCTACGTTTGTCTTGATTTTTCGGGAAGTAGGGAATCGACAACGTTTTGCGCAATGCCTTCAATATCCGAAGGGACACTTTCAGAATCAGAATCACCCATATTAATATTATTTTTTGCTTTTTGCTAAAACTGAACGTTTAACACAAAACTGAACATCAATAATTGAGTTGTCAGAGCATAGTGTCAGAGTCAAAATGGAAACAATCAACAAGCACGGTTACTACGGCGTCGACTAATATGGGCACCTGATAATTTTGAATTTTAATTTTTATGAGAATATCTCTGATATTTTAAATTAAATCAAATCTCTTTGGATCGTCCCCCCCCATACACGTTCGATACGAACTTTTTAATGAAACTTGTGTAACTAATCTAACCTAACGTTACACGCGTTTCATTATGATGTTCGTATCGAACTTGTATCATTAATAACTATAAACAAAGAACGGCGTCAGAGATGGCTCGAAAATGAAGATCGTTGTTATTTCATATGTAAAATATTATGGTAAATGTCAATAATCGTCATTTCCAAGCTAACTAAACGACTTTTTTCGATCATACCACATATTCAGTACCTATAAAAGAATTTTTATCTTCGTTGTTTATTCTATGTTTAATACGAATAAATTTTCAATACATAAACGCGGATTTTTCATCCAAAAATATTTTCATCAAATGTAATATGTTATTACATTACAATTAATATGGCAACACTGTCGCTCTCAGCTCCACACCGTCTCCAATATGCCTTCGCTAGCCGAATTAGAGAAAATAAGTGTTTTATGCGTTGACCGCAGAACGATTGGTGTTTCCACCGTATAGCACTTGAGACGTAAGGGGAAATCAAATCAGCTTTGTCACGAATTTGCTCATTAGGTTGCGTAAATTCCGAATTCTTTGAATCAACGGTAATAGTTACATTCAAAGACATCTTAAAGGAGACAAAACTATTTACATTTTATCCCGATCAAACATCGATTTCAACAAAAATCGGTGATGTATCGCCAAAGTAAGTTATAATTTGAGGCGTTAAGTTGCTAAACCCGTCTTATCCCAAAAACGTTGTTTCGAAATAATACGCAAAAACGGTTTTAACAAATGTTTGAAGCGTTATTTTACAAAAAACGTGTGAATTGAGTGGAATCATTGTTTTGTATCACGTTTTTCTAGTAATAAAAATTAATATTTAATTTTTAAAAAGAAAAAAACACAAAAACTATTCGGATAAAACGGGTATTGTTGCAGTATGACGCATATTGCGGGTTTTGATGCAGCAAGATGCTACAGTATGATCGAAAAAAAAATCGGCGTCTATTTGTCTTAGAAATGACGATCGATGGCTTTCCCAAAATAATTTTACATTTAAAATGAAGCGATCTTCAGTTCATAACCATCGCGCCGTTTTTTCTTTCGATCGTACTGTATATTAAATATATCCAAAAATAATAAAGACATACCGTAATAAAATCAACTTGTATCGACTGAGCGAACAAGTTTATAACATATGGAAACATGGCAACTCTGAATACGAAAAATGTGCCTAACATCACCAATCCATTAGATATATACCTAAAAGGAAGCAAGTATTAATAAGTTTAAGTCAATGGCATATATACTGAGTGTTTATGAAATGTTGCTCACCCCTATAGCTTTTTATTTTTTCGGATAAAAAAACGAGATTTAGTATGTTAGTAGATATATGATATAAATGAGGATTGACTGGACTTATTCAATTAGTTTCGTTCGCTTCCTGTTTCACCGGAAATTACTACAACTTTTAATTTAATTAATTAAAAAAAATAAAATAATTAATTAAAATTTAAATGGTACCCTCGGTATTTTTCTACTTTATTTGATAGAACATGACAGATGACATTCTGGATAGAATGACATATCATATGTCAACTTTTGACATTTCCGATTAAAAAAATAGAATTTTAAATTTCAATCGAGAGTATCATGACCATAAATGCAATTTGACTCGAAATACCGTATGATCGAATAAAAACGGCGTCAGCGATGGCTATGAAATGAAGATCGCTGTCATTTTATATGTAAAATTATATGGAAAATGTCATCGATCGTCATTTCTAAGCCAACTGGACGCCGTTTTTTTTCGATCATACGGTACCAAGTCTGTGGTACGAAATTATTCGTAAAAAAAGTTTTTCCAAATAAGCTAATGAGCCAAACTCTTTCCGTTTGAAAAAATTGAGTTATTATTAAAAATACGATTTGGTCATTCTTTAACCGACCAGGGAAAGACACAAGACGAACAAATCTATTTTTCCAAAGCTCTTTGATTAAAAATTAATGATTTTAACACAACCATGGCACTCTAGATTGAAATTTAAAATGCAATTTTTTTAATTAAAAATATCAAAAGTTGACATATGATGTCATTTTATTAAGAATGTCATTTTCTATAATATAAAGTAAAAAAATACCATTTAAAAATAAAAAGTTGTAGTCATTTCCGGTGAAACAGGAATTGACCGAATACTAACATATCAAATTTCGTTTTATTTAAAAAAATAAAAAAATTCTAGGGATGAGCCACTTTTGAGAAACACCCGGTATACCAATTATTACCATTTTGAAGTTTTCAATGCCAACTTTGATAAAATCCCTCTTAGCGACACAAACGGCGTGCTAACCTCCATAAGATAAATATATCCAAAAAAACAATCGCCTAAGCCTCCTCTTAAATACTATAAAAAAAATTGATTTTAAATCGAAAAAACTGATGGAGCAAACTCCTTACTGTGATTACTAAGAATCCAAAACAACCAATAAATATATGATGAAACACTATCATAAAATTACTTGACAAATATGCAGTTATTCTTGCGGTTTTCAAAATTATTTTGTTTTTTATTCCGTTCATTTGAGGTTGAGTCATCTGAAAAAGAAAAAATTCAGAACAAAACACTCATAACAAATAAAAAAATCACACTGGCTAAACAACCGCCGGCGCTGGCGGTATTGTTAATATATCGTCTGTTTACAAGCAAAACACACTAAGTCCAATTATTTTAATTTTGATGTATTTATATCATTTGACTAGATTTCTTTCAGAATATAGATCTATATCCAGGAAAAATCTACTATACCTACTATACCTTCTTAGAATTATTAGTTTAATTTTTAAATTACTTTCATAATCATAAGTCCATAATGGCGTTATATTAGTTCATTAAAAATGTATTCGTTTTTGGACCAACGATATACAATAAAATGATAATATACAATAAAATTCCTGTACTGGTCGGTTAAAGGAGGCCCATTCTTGTCCTTTTTATTACCTTACTTTTATTTTGACAACAGGACCTAATCGCAGAACTTACCGTTGGTTAAAGCAATAACATATAAAATTTGACAAAATAAGGGCGGTAGGTATTTCTGCTTTTTAAAAAATATAATACACCGTATAGACAGTCGTACTTGAAAATTTTTCTTATATACCGTGTGTTTCTCCAAAGTGGCTCTCCCTATAACTTTTTTATTTTTAAGGTAAAAAACAAGATTTGGCACGTTAGTATATGACATAAATTATGATTGATTGACGTATTCACTTGTTTTCGGTCACTTCCTGTTTCACCGGAAATTACTAGAACTTTTGATTTTTAAATGGCACGCTCGGTATTTTTTTGTCATATATTGTCGGCTAATTTATGTCATATATTAACATACCAAATCTCGTTTTTTTTATCTGAAAAAATAAAAAAGTTATTGGGAGTGAGTGAGTGACTTTTGAGAAACACCCGGTATACCGCCGACAGTACTTTAGCCAGTTTGATAAAAAGAGCTTTTAGCCAGTTTGATAAAAAAAATAATACCTTGGCACTCCAAACCCGATACATCGACCATGTGTCGTAAAAAAAATATGCCGCACCGAACCAACCGTACGCCTCTGATATATAATGGGAGGTACGTAAAATATCTCTGGAACAAGAATATCGAACACATGTTAACCCGGTTAAACAACAAAAAAGTGCCTGCACTGCTGAAACGCATCTAAAAAAATTTTAAAAAATATATTCTTATGCTGCTGTCCTCTTCTGATATAGGAAATGCAATAAAAGTTAGTGGTGTACGTCATCAAAATACTTGACGAATGCACGTCGCAATGTTGCCAAGGATACTTTTTTTACTTTGAATTTTGAATGTTAAATAAAATTCGTAATTTTGTAGCCGATTTTTCACTTAAATTGTAGACATAATACATACAGGGTGTTTCAAAAAACATGTGCCATTTCTCGTGTGGAGATTCCTCCCATATATAAGATTTACTTTTTATATCAACATAGATCCGATTCTGCTTTGTTTAGTAGATACAGGGGATTAGTCTTCATTTTTTTTTGGTTTATTATAATTTTCTTCCAAGTGCTTTTACAAGTAATTTCAAGTATTTCTCACAAAAACGTTCAACAGTCAAGCTTTCTAAGTAAATGACACATAATCTCTCTCTTTGTAAAAAATTAGAAAATTAAAAAAAAACATAAAAAATCAATAAAATCACGCAACTATTTTACCGATAACGACTGCCCTGTTCTCCAAGCTCTACTATCAGTTTAATCCAATGACTAAAGAATACAAGGACAAATAACACACGAGACCAAATTATGACCTTTCTTCAAAACAGTGCCGTGGCACATATTTGTCTTAACCGTAGCCACTTGAAGCGATATTTATATTTATGATAAATGTTTTTACTACGCCTATGGTGTATCCGGTGGTATCATACTAATTAATTACGAAAAAAAATGTATTAAAATGTTAACAAAAGATACAACACTAGTATCGACGTATAGCACATATCAAGTACATATAATATCAGAAAAATAATTATCAAATTCAATAAAAAAACGCTAAAAAGTTGGAGTGTATTGTTTATTTCCCTATATAACGTAACTCCTGGCTCTTTCTTATCACTGTGCCTTTACTTGAAAGCTGAACAAATTACCATTGTAATACAGTTTATACAAAGTTCACTAACACAACCACCTATTAAAAATCGCTAAAATTGTCGCTGATGACTCATTCAATTCTGCTGCAGCCTGTATATGGGCGTTACATGTCCTTGTATTCTTTAGTCATTGGTTTAATCGATCTTTCTCGTAAAAAAATTAGACCATGCCTCCCGTCAATAAAAATTCGAAAAATCTGCAACTAGTCAATATAATGAGTGGCATACTCGTTAAGTCCACGTGAACTCTCCACCGCTTGTATACAGATTGTTAACTGGACGGTTACTTATTGGGGAACAGAATGGCAACACTGCCTACATTCCAAATGAGTACTAAGCTAAGCTGCCGACTCGTCCCGTCGCGTCGTCTCTCGACGAGCGGGCCGAGGTTGCCATATTTCAACCATAAAGCTCTTGCCGCGAGTAATACACAAATTAACAACCTGTATAGGTAGCGATCTTTGAAATATGTTGGTGTTTATTTAAATGTGTTTTGTAGTAAATTGATCATATTTCAATATTGTGTCTGCATTCTTGAAATCCCTTTCACAGACACAGATACAGTAGACGCACTTCACTTGATGCGAAAGCGTGCTGTCTTTTTTAACAAGAATATAACTTTGAATGAAAAAGAAATATGACATTATAATAGTGTAGTGATGTTAATATTTCAGAATTTTTTTATTGTTGCAGGAAATTTCTGAAACTTTCGGAAATTTATGAAATATTAGTAAATTTTACAATTTTACATATTTTTTGTCGATACAATAAAGGAATAAATTAGATAGACATTTGATACCAACATGTAAGTGGAAAAAAAAACAATAAACATAATATTAGTTGTTATATTTTTAATAAACAATACATAACCCATAAAAGTCATAAACATAACCCATAACAAAAATCATTTGGTAAGATTTGTATTTTGTGCATAAACCACGAACTATGACTATGAATTTAAAAAAAAACAAAAAAGCACGAAATATAAATTTAAAAAACGTAAAACACAAATAACTGAATTATTCTATTCCGGAATATCAGGCGCCGAGCTGGTCCCATCTTCATAGGGTATTATAGTAGTAGTAGTACTGTCTTCGTCAGTTTCTATTTCCAAATCAGATATATTTGATGTATCATCTGGTTCTGATTCTGAAGGATGGACCTCTACCTCCACGAGTTCTAGTGGTTCTGGAGGAATTTCATGTTGTTGAATATCATGCTCCGTATCCACTTTTTGTTTTTGTAGTAATAATTTATTGTTATGAGCTACGAACATTATTTTACCGGCTCTTTGTGCAGTTAAGCGATTCCTTTTTTTAGTATGGATAAAAGTACTGAAACTTCTCTCTGTGGCTGCAGATGACGTTGGTAAAGACAGCAGAGCAACAGCTAAATATTTCAACTGAGTATTTTTACACATTGCTTGCCACCAACTTAGACAGTCTACATTTTTAACTGACATCCAAACGTAGTCGAGAGCCCATAAACCCGATTTGGCGCAATAATTTGTTACATCTGTAAAAATGGCTTATTATTGACAAACTGAGGATGATTGTTGTTGATATTGTTGATAAATTCCATAGCAGTTATGTGTTCTTCATTGTTAAGGTGCTCTCCCAGGAAACAGGGGTCCAAGAGATTCGCGGCAAAATGCATTGGTTCAAGAGCCATAGGTTTTTTATTTTGTAAGGCGGAGAAGCATTCTTTTTCTTCTGACTTAAGAATCGGCATACTTGATACATTTTCGTTAAATTTTTGCTCAATGTCTTGAATTTTGAAAAGAAATTTCTTGCAAAATTCGGATTTTTACGAATATTCGCGATTTTGGGACCGAATATTTCGGAAATTTCTGAAATTTCCTACAAAATTCGAATGGAAATATTCGCTACCAACATCACTAATTATAAGATAAAGGAAAAAATGCGCTCTTAAGTTTTAAAGAATTTTTACTTATTACAAATTTACTTTGGCAATAGTTTCGACGTCCTTGATGACCTACACGCCTAACTGTATTGATTTCTCTCTTTACTTACTTATTACTTATATCGAATACATCACTGTGACTCAATTTGTAAGCCCTTATAAACTTGCGACCTTCGTGTGTATGGAATTGAAAATTATTTAAAATAATGAACAACGCTGGAAAAAACAATAGACCGCTTCCAAACAACCATAGCCCCCTCCGAATCGATATATGTTCCTCCCAATCAAGATCTCGTAGAATTAAGTATGTCACAGTTAAAGAACACAAAACCAAAACGAATAGTGGATATATTACACTTGCTTTTTTCGCCTGAAATTTAAAAAATAATTTTAATAAAATAGATGAAATTTAAACCTTCTTGTATTTTTGGTGATCTCAGTGTACAGGTGACAAAGTGTCAAAACGAATGACACTGTCATTCGTTTTTACGCCCCGCTTTCTAATAAAAAACTACCGCTTTCCCGTAACTGATGTTTATATATTTATAATTAATTTATTTTTATTTCCTAAAATATTTTGACTAAAAGAAAATATGTAAAAGTGGACAACTCTGTGCCAGTCAAACTGAATCACGTGACTAAAATTTTATTTGATATGAACTATAAATGTCATGGGCTCGATTTCTGACACATGTTAAATGGCATACACCGCCTGTCGATATTTCACTGCCAACTAAGATACAGGTTCTTTTTTAATTTTTGACCATTTTGAAAACTGCCCATGAAGCATAATCCAGTGGCGTGCTCAGTTTTTTTCTATACTTGCTCTTTTTGGTAAAAATAAAAAAATATATTTTTTTAAATAGAAATCAAAGTTGGCTATTTCGACCACCCTATACAGGGTGTTAAATTTTCGTGTGTTCTACAGGGTTACTTGGTTTATGGGTAGAGGTACAAAAATGCGATTTTCACACTGCTGTACTAATTTTTTACGAAACTAAATATGCTACACAAAGATCTATCTAGCCCTCTTAGGTCCTGAAATACAGGGCGAATTTGAAATTGTTGCATTTTTGACTCCTCTCTCTTGATTATCTAAGTTATCTTATAACTTATTGAAAAGGTGAAAACTGAGTTCGATAGGTTTTTTTCATGTAGAATTCAGTGGCGTAACAAGTTTTTCGTTGGGAGCTGTCGTTTTTAAGATATGGCCCAAACTTGTGTGTCTTTATTTTTAAAAGGGCTACTCTACTATTTCATTTGCCTTGTTATGTGCTTTCTAAAAATATAATATACTTTAAACTTATTTTTATAAACAAGGTGCGTTATTTAACTTTTTAACATAGGCGGCCGGTTTAAATTAGCTAATCAAAATAATTAAATAATTTATTCGACGTCAAATTTTGGTTATTGGCTACTCTACGTTAGGTTTTGTGTGTGAAATTATTGCACTAGTGCATCAAAAATATCAATAACTCTGATTCACTTATTATCTAAAAGCTGTACAAGTTCTTTTTCAGTGCAGTTTATTTAGATAACACGATGGAAAGCAAAATTTCCTAGTTAAATTAAATCAAATAAATTAATAATACTAATAACTAGGTTAATTTATTAGTATTTTAATAAAGCACGCTTTTAGATGTTTCAAAAAACTTTTAATAAGAGTAACTTTAACTCTACATATATGTTTCGGCTTGTTAGGCCTTTTTCAAGAGATAGGTTAATTTATGTTAAACAGTTAAATTATGCATTTTTTACCTTTTTTGTGAAAACAGGTGTAGAGTATATTATATTATATTTTTAGAAAACTCATAACAATGCAAATAAATTAAAAAAATAATATATAGGATGTCCCATTTAAAAAAAAATTAGAAGTTTGGCATATATTTCGAAAATGACAGCCAAACCAAACCAAACCAAAACAAAAAACTATTTACGTCATAATTCTACGTGAGAAACTCTACGGGACACAGTTTCCACCTTTTCAATAAGTTATAAGATAATCAAGATACAGAGTAGGTAAAAATGCAACAAATTCAAAATTGCCCTGTATTTCAGGAACTAAGAAAGCTAGGACAAATCTGTGTACTGTATATAGCATCTTTAGTTCTATAAAAAAGTATCATAGTGGTGTAAAAACCGCATCATTGTATCTCATAAACAAGAAACACCATAAAACACTAAAAGGGACACCTTGTACACAATGAAAAAGTTTACATCATTTGAATTAAGTTTAAAATAGAGTAATAAAAGAAAATTAAGATAAGGATTTCTGCAAGTAAGTACATGGTTCTATTCAAAACAAAGTTGTTATACAATACTTTTAGATAAAGTATTTTATATACTGATAAAAGTAAGCTAAAATGTTATACTTATATATTTCATAGCACAAAATTTAGCATAATAAAATAGAAAATTAGTGTTATTTAGAATAGTATATAAAATAATTTTAGGCTTGCACTAATAAGCTACTAATATAGGTACATGCATGCACATAAGTAGCAATTACTTTGCTAAAATTATAATTTTAACCACAAAAGCAAGTGTATATTGAACCATAAAACTAAAAGTAATTAACTATCAAAAAGCTATTAATAAAATATAAGCGGTATACCATATAAGCTTATGTAAAATTTATTAAAGACATTACCTCATTCTTGTAATAATTAGTGGTCTGTAATTGAGATTTTCTGCTCATTATAATAACGACTGTATAAACAAATCAACCAGAATTTAGGAGCTGTTAGAACTTATACGAATAGTTGAATCCCATTTTTTATATTAATTCGATATTTATCATAGAACTTTATAGATTTCTCACTATTCACTACTTATTTAAAATATAGGGTTAGGAAAATGACAACCATATGACAAACTAAAAATTTAAATGTCAATGAAAAAAAATAGGTCAATCGTACAGGTTTTATATATGATCGACAAATTAGTTTTTTGGCCTGAGCTGCCAGAGCTATTTGGAGGCCCGATAGCCTAGATAGCTATGGTCGTTACATAAGAAGAAGACATAACACCATAGCCCCAAAGTGCTCCAAGCAACATCTAGCTTGTTTTTATTTATTTAATGAAAACATTTTACATAAAATAAAAATTTTAAATAAAACATATTTACTGATCTTTAAGCACTAAATAACTATGCGATATGCACAGTTAGTGGTTGGTCCTGCTGGTAGTGGAAAGGCAAGTCTATAAATAATAAATTTTAAGATGTGTGCGTTACAGCCCTTTAATTTTTAGTCTACTTACTGCAGCTCATTAGCTCAGTATGGTGTTGATATTAAAAGAAATATAGAAGTTGTAAACTTAGATCCAGCAGCAGAGCATTTCGACTATGAACCTTTTGTTGATATTAGGGATTTGATTCAAGTACAGGATACAATGGAAGATGAAGAATTACATTTTGGACCTAACGGTAAGAATTGCCTTTTCTTGTGTGTGCTTTATATTAAATACTTTCATATTTTTAGGAGGCTTGGTCTTTTGTATTGAATACCTTTTGGAGAACTCCGACTGGCTTCATGAAAAACTAGGTAAAATATTTTTGTAGACAAAAAAATAAATTATTAAAAATCAGTATATTCTAGGTGATACAGAAGATGATTATATATTATTTGATTGTCCTGGGCAAATTGAACTGTATACACATCTCACAGCTATTCGAAAATTAGTTAAGCAGTTGCAAGACTGGAATTTTAATGTATGTTCAGTATTTCTTGTTGATGTTCAATTCATGACCGATGGTGCTAAATTTTTATCGGGCACCATGGCTGCCTTAAGTGTAATGGTAAATTTAGAATTGCCACATGTAAATATTCTTTCAAAAATGGACCTTCTGAGTAAAACAGCTAGAAAGAGGCTAGATAGGTTTCTTGAACCAGATTGTCATGCAATTTTAGGTACTTATTTGTGTTTATTAGGAGATTCTTTAAACATACACTAAATAGATACATTATATTCCAGGTGACATAGAATTAAATGGAATATCAGCATTTAATGAAAAGTATAAAAACCTTACAGAAACTATAGGCAGAATTATTGAAGACTATTCGTTAGTTAGGTTTATACCATTAAATCTTAAAAATCGGGAAAATTTAAGTATGAGGTTTATGAAATTTTGTTACCTCTATATATTCAGTTAATATTTTTAGGTGATATTCTAATAACAATCGATAACGTCATACAATTTGGTGAAGATCAAGATGTAAAAACTAAAGACTTTGAAGAGGAAGACCCAGAAAATGAAGATCTTGATCTTTCTAATAATTAAGTTTGTTAATAAATGTAAATAATAAGATTCAGTTACCTTTTGTTTGCATATATAGCCTGATTTAACTCGAAGACGTTTACCAATTAAGTCTGGAGAATTTTCTGTTGTCCAGATTCAATATTATTTATAAATATTTCAGCAAACTGATTAAAATGTCCATTATAAATTTTACCTAATTTTTGTTCAGAAGAAACATACCTATTATTTGCTAGGTCTATATTTACTCTCATTCAAATTTCAAGACTCTGAAGAACTTTAACTAGAGTAAAATTATAAAAAACTATGTATTTTAAAATATCCAATTGTTTACATGCAAATGTATTTCACTGACAGGAACATCTTTGCCCAGAACATCTCTAGGTTTATTTGACCTACTCCTCCAAAAGTGCAACAACAAATGACAGTGACATTTGACACGTCATTTCTAGGTTAGTGAATTTCTATTTTGGGAGTGTAGTGTTTATTTATGAAGAAAATAACTCGGAATTAGGAAAATGTTTAAGAAACTAAAAGAAAAAATCACGGAGGAGGTCAGGAGTAGCCCCCAAAGACTTCAACAACTCACGCAAAGCGTTAGTGATAAATTACAAGGCACTAACAGTTCGGACGAAAATTTTTTCTCGATAGGTGACGAAGGTAGAATATTGTTTTATCTGGTATACTGTATATTAAACTAGGTATTTTTCGAAATAATTTGTAGATGCTAGCACCCCAAATATGAGCACCGTTGATCAAGGATTTTCTAGTGTAGCTTTAGTATCTCCAACTTCAGAAGAAAAACTAAGGCGAAGTTCAATATCGTCTCTTGCTAGTGATATATCGTTTCTCCCAAAATATGATGCTGCAAATATGTACCATTTGCAAGTAAGTTAATTTTGCTGTACTCTATACAGGGTTATGTACTACTGGGTTATTGTACTATTTGACACTGAGTATTGTAGCCAAATGATAAGATTTTTAGGAATTGAGAGTGAGGGGATCATTGGAGGACTACTAGAGTTACAATTTAAAATTATTTTCAAAGGGTACAGAGTGTCCCAAATAAATAAAATATCAAAGTAGTATTTTTTTAAAAGGAACTATGATTAAAATAAAAGTAAATTTACCTCACTCAAATCTTACTGTTTTTGAAATATTTACAATTTTGTGAAAATGCAGTAACAATTTTAATGCCTTATTTCTCTATGAGTATTCAAGTTTTTAAAACCAGATATTGTACTGAAGTGTTTTTGTTTACTAAATTTTGTGTTACAATAATAAATAAAAAACTACCTTATACAGAGTATTTAAAATTTTATCTTAAATAATTACCAGTTTTAAACGCAATAACTTGATCTTTGAATCAGAAATCAGTATATTAATAACGTACGCATATGAATGTCTCTGTTGTTATGAATAAGCATTCGTCAAAAAATAAAATAAAATTTGGAAGGTTTTTTTACCACTCCTACTCATATACAAAATTCAGTTTTTTTAGTATTTAGAGCAATTATTAATCAACGTAAATAGTCAATTAATGTTTGACCTCAAATAATGGGATCATATTAATTGGTCCTCTTTTATAAATATTCAAATAGTTTTCTATTTTTTAAAGAAATAAGCTAACTATACCGACAATATTAGTATATGTACTTTTTGAAAATTTGTTAAATCTTTAAAAAAGATCGAAAATATCAACATTCAATGGGTATCTTGATAAATATTGATTAATACACTATGAATTATAATAATATGTATTTTCTACAAAAACCCAAAGAGATAGCTAAAATATTGTAATCAAATTGGATACTTAATTAAATTATGCATCTGATGCACGTAAAATATACAGGGTGTTCCATTTAAATTAAACAAGTTATTGCTGAATAAAGCTAGTAATTATGTAGAATATTTTTTAGATACTCTGTATAAGGTAGTAGTAGTTTTGTTATTGTAACACAATATTTAGTAAATAGAAAAACTTCAGAGCTATTATTTGGTTTTAAAAACTTCTTTTTTTGTTACAGAGGTATAGACACTTTTTTATTTATTTGAGACACTCTGTACCTTTTGCAAATAATTTTAAATTGTTGCTCTAGTAGTCATCCAACCATCCCATCATTCACAATTTCTAAAATTCTAATCATTTGGCTACAATACTCCATGTCCAATATATACATAATATATTAAAATTAAATGAAATATTATCATACATTATACATACTAAATATTTTTAGTCTGATATGGATGTATCAGCCAGTGAACTTGAAGATAACATCTCTCAATCATCGTCAAATGTTGGTCGAGTATCTAAAGAACAATTATATTCTGCCTTTAAAAAATCTCAAATGCAGTACCATAAATATAGAGGTAGATATACCGATCTTGCCCGGCATTATAAAGAGATAGAAAGAGAGATGTCAAAGATGAAGGTACAACTGTTTTTTGTTTAGGTGCAAACCTAAACTATGTACTAGAGGGCCTATTTCAGGAAAATATTTTAACTTCTACAGGGTGCTTCAAAAATGTGTGAATGAAAAAAAAAATCAGTCTTGAAATTAAAGCTATGCTAGTACTTACTATAGTTGATCTGTATTGACCCTGACAATTTGACTCGAAATACCAAGTGTGTGGTACCAAATTATTTGTAAAGAATGCTTTTTCTAAATGAGCCACCTTAGTTCCATTTGAAAATATTGAGATATGAGTTTAAATACGATTTGGGCATCTTTTAACTGGCCAGGATAAGACACGAAAAACATTATACCATCAAATCTATTTTTTCAAGGCTCCTTGATTAAAAATTAGTGTTTTTAACAAAATCATGGTACTCTAGATTGAAATTTAAAATACCATTTTTTAAACGAAAATGTGAAAAGTTGACATATGATATGTCATTCTATTCAGAGTGTCATTTTCTATCAAATAAAGTGAAAAAATACAACGGGTGTCATTTAAAAATCAAAAGTTGCAGTTATTTCCCGTGAAACAGGAAGTGACCGAAAACAATCGAATACGTCAATCAATCCTAATTTATGTCATATAAGCTTTGTTCGGGTTTTTGTTATTACCGATGAAATAATAATACCGCGCAAATGAAATAATGTCTTTATATTTCCTTTTGCGCATACGCATCACAGTTCTAGGACGGTTCAGAATCGGTAATAAGAGAAATCCGAAGTAAGCTATACTAACGTACCAAATCTCGTTTTTTATGTGAAAAAAATAAAACCACTTTTGAGAAACACCCTTTAAAAACTTTTTTCATAAAAACATATTTGTGAGGAATCGTGCCCTAATTTTTTTAAACTACTTAATAAACACCCTGTATGTTCTAGGCGGTCCTAGTTGAAACACAGGATAAGGCAATTCGTAGAGTCACAGAGCTCAAAGAACAATGTTCTCTGGAGCAAAAAGCTAAAGCACACTTAGAAAGCGCTTTACGTGACGAATTAGATGAAAAAGAAATGAAAATACAGTCGCTTCAAACTAAAATTGATCTGTTACAAGGTCCAAACGCTGCACAAAATCCTATTACTATTGATAAACTCGATTTGAGTCATGCAGAGGCAGACAAATTAGAACAATTAACAAAATACTTAAATGATGCTAGAAGCGAGATTGAAGCTCTCAATCAAGAACACAAAGCTAGTACGATAATATTTCAAACTAAAGAACAAGAATATAAAATGAAAATAGTTAATTTAGAGAAGGACATAAGTAGTTTGTATGAAAGAGAGAAAGAAAACAATATAAAATTAGCTGAAAACAAGATGGAGCTTCATAATGAGTTGTTAAGCAAAGATGCTGAAATCAATAAGATGAAGAAAGAAATTGAATCTTTAAAGGTGAGTGTAGGGATTGCATTACCAGTTTATCGAATTACCGGTTTACAAAAAAATCGGTAAATACCGGTAAACCGGTAATTCGATATTTTAAATTGCCGATTAACAGCAAATTCAAAAATCGGTAAACTTGCAATCCCTAGGTGAGTTTAAGTACTAAAGAAAAGGAAGAAAAAAATACGAAATTGGAAAATCTGCAAAGTCAAAATGGAAAGCTTATCGAAAAAATAGAAAATCTAACTCAAAAATGTAACGGCTTCGAACATGAACTTCTCAAAGTTGAAACATATAAAATGGAAATTCAGAAATTGACAGAACAAAATTCAATACTAACTAAAAATGCAGATGAAAATATAAGTCTCAGTGATAATATTAGCAAATTGACAGCAGAAAATAATGGTTTGAGAAGTACAATTAGTGATTTAAAAACTGGTTTAAATAATATTCAGGAAAATTTTAAAATGTAAGTATTCCCATCATACCGTGCTGGCAACTGTTATTTTTGGGTCAGTATTTACATGTGTGGAAGTAAATCGCATAGGGATATTATTAAGTCGGCGTGAGAGAAATGCGATGATGTGCTGTTGCGTCGTTGCCGGTACGCCTTTCCCTATCAAGTAAAGTAAAATCACGATCGCAAACCGCTTATTTCGACTCTTAAACGACTCTTTTTTCGAAAAGATAACTAGATAAAATCATTAGATATGTTTCTGAGCATCTTAAATGGAATTATAAGGATATCGTTAAGGTGTCTATTTTTTTATAACGGTAAAACGTCGTGCATTAAAAACATACATTAAAAATGCGTTAAAAGATAAATTTTATAAAAAAGGTATTGAAACCATAGATAAATGAAAAAGTTTAGATTGGAAAGTGCCCATAAGGACAATGTAAATACTATTTGGCGCTATTCTTACAACGGTCGCTCTCCAAAGCTTTTGACAATTTCGGAGCAGTTCGGATTTTTCCTGAATTTTGTCGCCAAATATTATTTATTCAAATTTATTATTTTCTTTTAATTTTTTAAATAAAACACAGTGTGTTGCATATAAGAAACTTTATTTTATATAAGGACATGTATGAAATGCCTATGAAACATTGGAAACCGGCGCTATGCCACGATCCATGATGGTTTTTGCAGTTCACACAGCTTTTTAAGTTTTTAATGCCACTTTTTCACAATTTTCACAGGGTTGAGTAAATAAAATTTAAATTAAACCCACAAGATAGCAATAATTACTTTGAAAATGGACGCTTTAAACACTTTTCGGTATTTTTTCAATGTGGGAGGTTTAAATTTTGAAAGGTTTTATAATATTAAATTATAACAAGTTTTATAATTTTTGAAGATTCTGACTTTGACAAGAGAAAATTTGTTTCTATTCTTGTGTATTCTTGTTTGCGGTTGTTCTTAGCAACCGCTATAGCGCCCTACAACGTATGCGCCCCAAAACAATTATTAGTTTTGGCGGCAAGCCGAGCATTCCAATCTAAACTTGTTTCCTTTATCTATGGCAATGACAATGACCTTATATGCATCCGTCATCCGTCATTGTTCTCAATTTTTTTTTCTTCAAGATGTTCTCAAAATTCTAATATTTCTCGAGAATAATAAAAAAATCGGAAAAATTAAAAAAAAATGAAAAAACCAACTGAATGATTTTCCAACTTATTTTCTTTATGCTAATTATAAATTTTGCACATTTGCTCATTTATTTTCGTTCTCGGGGAACATGCTTTAAAAATAGATTCTGAAGCATTTTACCACACTAACCATAAGTTTTCTGCAACGAGTATATCATAATTCTTTTGCATTTAATTTTTCAGATTGTCCGACGAAAAAAATAATTTGATCCAAACAATCGAAAAGGAAAAGAAAGAATACGAAACACAAATAGAAAATTTGAGATACAATGCAAAGCAAGGCTTGTTCAGTCTAGAAAAACAAATATTAGAACGAATGAAAACAACGTACGATGAAAAAGAGAAACAATTAAGAAATCAATTTAACCAGAAAATCGAAGAGATTACATCAAACAACAAGGAATTAAAAGAAATTCATTTGCAACTGATCGATAAAGAAAATATTATTAAAAGGATAAGTGAGGAGTTTGAAGAATTAAAAAATAAATTGCGGGATAAGGAGAATAAGTTTGATGAATTGGAAAGAAACCATTTGGAGTTAATTGATGAGTGTAGTAAATTACGAACAACAACTAATTTGTTAGAGACTCAAATAAATGAAGTAACTAACCAAAAAATACAAGATAATGAAGATAAAAAGAATCTGCAGGTAATTCATTGTATAAAGATATACTGATTATAGGCTTGGTGCATTCTCCGCCGGTGCTGCCACCATCGGGGGATATCGTAAATAACCGGCATATACAAATACACGGGTTTAAAGCGAGTATACGAAATAAGTTTATATAATTATTCTAAAAGTGTTAGGAAGTATAATTTGTGAAAATTCTAAAAAAGTATAAAAAATAAATATTTTGATATCTTCAGAAGGTCTAACTGGTATTATAATTTATTATTGAAGCTAATAAAACTTTTTAGATGAGTTCAACTACGGTAGCGAGCATAGTTTTACGCACTGGTTTTGCTAGTGGGGGCATATAGCCCAAAAATAACCCAATAACTTGGGTTATTTTTGGGCTATAACGAAATTTTTTGAACGTGCATAATTATAATTTTAGAAGATATTCATAAAAAATTTAAGCACTAGTTGATTAAAAAAAGAGTATACCATTAATATTGCCAAGTTATATTTTATTCTCTCGTAGTATATGTTTATTTAATTTTTTGAATATGTAATGGTGTAAGGTAACTCTTTTTGAGGCTCACTTGTTTCGTCGAACTGCTTGAATCCATATTTGCTTTTGATCAAATCGGTTTGAGAAACTGTGAAGCTATAAAATGTTAATTTGGGAAAGTTGAATACGCGGGAAAGTTGAGTTATTGAATGTTATTGCGCCCAACAACCACATAATTACGCGAAAACTTCTAATTTCTGCCGTATCGAGCGCTGCGGTCGGAATTTTTAAAATCAACTGAACTGCACCAAGTCTGTTATAAGTATAAGAGTTGAACGAATTTCTTTCTAAACATTAGATTGAGATTATTGTTTTTGTTTTAGAGTTGTTTTTTATTAAATAATTGAATGAAAGTTTTTTCTTATAAGTAATGGTTTGGTTGCTATAAAAACACCTTTAAAATACTCGTTTTTAAACAAAATTTTTAATACATGACAACCCTACTTATAAATATAAAAATTATACTTTTAGGACCATATTAAAACTCTAGAAGATGAGGTGAATCATATTCAGAAAATCTGTAAAGATAAGGAAGAAAATAATGTTCAGTTATCAACAGAAATATTGAAATTGCAAAATACGAATAGAGATTTATTGGAAAAAGTAAGGTAGGAAAAATATATTTCATTTACACACTTTGATCTTATAACTTTCATCATCATCATCATTAGCCGTTTGTCGTCCAACTTTGGACATAGGCCTCTCCCAATTCTCGCCACCGATCTCTGTTCTGTGCTGTGCGTGTCCAATGTAGTCCTGCCACTCTTTTGAAATCATCGTACCATCTCATTTGAGGGCGTCCTCTCATTCGCTGTCCTAAGTATGGCCTCCATCGCTGAATTACCGTGTTCCATCTATTGTCGGATTGTCTAACTGTATGTCCTGCAAAGCTCCATTTCAATCGTGCCGCCCTGGCTGTCACATCCTCCACTTTAGTCCGCATTCTTATCCAGCTATTTCTTTTTTTATCCTTAAGTTTAACTCCTAACATAATTCTTTCCATGGCTCTTTGGGTCCTCGACAGTTTTTCTATATTTGCCTTTGTAAATGTCCATGTTTGGCAGCCGTATGTAAGGATTGGCAATATGCATTGGTTGAAAATTCTGCTTCTCAAATATTGGGGAAATTTCTGATTTTTGAGTATCCACGATAATTTTCCGAATCCAGCCCATGCCAACTTGCTCCGCCTAGTAATTTCGGCCGTTTGGTTTTCTTTTCCTAACTTGATCACCTGTCCCAGGTATATGTATTCTTTAACTGTTTCCAGGGGGGATCCGTTGATCGTCACGTTGTTTTGATTTTCGGTATTTGTCATCATTTTTGTTTTTTGTATATTTATCTTTAGGCCAACATTTTCCGATGCGGTTGTCAGCTGGTTTACCATTGCCTGAATTCCCTCAAAAGTGTCAGTAATTAGGACGACGTCATCGGCAAATCTCAAGTGATTTAGTTTTTTGCCGTTTACATTAATGCCATATTCCGACCAGTCCAGTTTTTTAAAAACATCTTCCATTGCCAAGGTAAACAATTTTGGAGATATCACGTCTCCCTGACGTACTCCTCTCTTAACTTGGATGGGTCTAGTAGTATCTCCTATTTGTATTGTCATTGTTGCGTTCTTGTATATATTATGGATTAAGGTTCTATATCTTGAATCAATTCGGCAGTTGTTCATTGCTTGTTCTACAGCCCATAATTCGACACTGTCAAAGGCCTTTTCATAGTCCACGAAAGCAAAATACATGGGAAGATGATACTCGTTTGCCTTCTCAACCAATACTTTCATAGTCAGCAGGTGGTCTGACGTACTGTATCCTTTACGGAAACCTGCCTGTTCCACCGGCTGGTAGTTGTCGAATTTTGATGTTAGTCTGTTGTTAATGACTTTCATGAAAAGCTTATATACTTGAGAAAGCAAGGATATTGGCCTGTAGTTTTTTATATCACCTCTATCACCTTTTTTGAATAAGAGTACTGTCAGGCTGTTATTCCAATCTCTTGGTATTTGTCCGAGATGTAGACATTCGTTAAATAGCTTTTTTAATATCGGTATCACTATGTCTTTTCCTTCCTTTAGCATTTCTGCTAATACTTCATCTTGGCCTGGTGCTTTATTATTCTTCAGGTTTCTTATGGCTTGTTCAATTTCGAATTCATCTATATCCGGCAGTTCCTCGGATCCAACATTTTCTATTTTCAGTTTTAGTTTTTCTCTTGTAGGGGTGTCTGCATCTTTCTTAGACCTATATAGGTCAGTGTAGAAGTCTTCTACTATTGAGGTGATCTTTTTTTTGTCTCTCTCTTCTTTTCCATTTGGGTATTTTAGAGATATCATTCTTTGGGTTCCAAGTGTTGGTTGTAAGCTTTTTAGACCCCTGTTGCTCTCTATAATTTTCTCCGCTAACGCTCGTTGTGTTCTTTTAGGTCTTTTTTGACTTCTTTTTTGATGATTTTATTTAGTTCATTATATTCCCCCGTATTCATCCTTCCATTCGTCATGAGTTGCCTCCTTTGATTCATCAGTTGTTTCGTTTCCTGACTTAACTTATTTACCCTAGTTTTTGTCCTGCTAGCGACCTCCAATCCAGCTCTGAGGAGCTCCTTACTTATTTTACTTATAACTTTACGTGGAGTAAATTCGTTTCATTCTTGTTGAAGGCATATCAGAGTCATTAGATTATACAAGGTATCTCAGAAATAAGTTCAAGTATTTTAACTGTTCAAAAAAATCCTATATGGGTAGTTCGCCACTGCAAGAAAATCTACAAAATAAAATAGTTTTTTTTGTAAAGACTGCTGCGTTAATCCAACGGAGACTAATAATTGTCAGCAGTGGCTTACAAATGAACAAATTTGCCTAACGGACAAAAAAATGCTTAACGTTTCGGAAAGTTTATCTCTTTATTTAAAATATTTAAATCCAACTATTCGAGAACGCTTTAGTTTTTTTAAAACAGATACGTCTACAAAAACCGTTGACGTTCTGTTAAAATTACATTATAATATCTAGTTAAACTTCAAAATTAACAATTACTATGTGATAACAATTACTTAATAAGACAAAACCAAAAATCTTCAAACTTTCTGTATGATTATTTTTAATTTTTACGTTGTTATGTTTATTTATGTTATGTTCTTTAAAATCAAAGAAGCGATTGCCATACATTACTAGCATCTAGAGATGCATAAGCAATACATTTATTTTTAATAGATTGTATTAAAAAAGCCTCTTTTATTTTTTTTAGAGGCTATCGCTTCTTTCATTACAATTTTGGCGTTGTTAAAATCGATTCTGTGCCCTGTATCCCATTAATGCTGACAAATCTTAGATTTGTGAAAGTCACCCATTCTTAAATAATCTTTATGATCTTTAATTCGAACATTTAAGGGTCTAGATGTTTCACCAATGTAAAATTTGTCGCATTCACATGGTATTTTGTATATTACATTTTTTGTTTGTTGTTCAGTATTATTGGTTTAGTGTGTGATAAAATGGATCTAAGTGTATTTTGTGTTTTGACAGATGTTATGTTATATTGTTTTCCTATCCTTCTTATTTTTTCCGAAACGCCTCGAATGTACGGAATTTTAAGTTGTATATGTATATTGTGTATTGTTATCATTGTGTGTATTCTGACTATGACTTGGGGTTTGTATTTCGTTTAATAATGTTTTAAATATTTTTACAGTTGAGTAACCTGCAAAAATAAATCGTAAAAATTATTACAGCTTCTTTTAATTTATTTTGTGGAATGTGGGAAGTATGGTTACTGGCGATCACCGTAGGGCAACTGGCGATCACCCACTTAAAAACGCACTTTTGCAAAACCTCTTGGATGGTGTGAAATGTTGCAAGTACCGTATGATCGAAAAAAAAACGGCGTCAGCGATAGCTATGAAATGAAGGTCGCTGTCATTTTATATGTAAATTTATATGGGAAATGTCATCGATCGTCATTTCCCAGCCAACTGGACGCCGTTTTTTTTTTCGATTATAAGGTCGTTTTTAAGTATTTCTAGTCGATGTGGCAACAGTGCTGCGGTTCGGGTAATTTAAATTTTTCGGGTTAAGTTAAATAACTCGGTTATTTTTAATTTATTTTAAAAATGGTAAAGAAAAGATATGTTTCTTTTGACAGAGCAGCCTTAAACTACTTGCACTTATTTCTGGGACACTCTGTATATTTTTACACGTTTTAAATAAAATTAGAAAGCCACTGATAAATCGGAAGTTTTTTGATATGCTTCTTCCTTAATTTTTATATTCAAACATTGTGTGAAATTACTTATATCATACATTTATCAACGAAGTTTATAGGATCTAAGCTTACACATTGTTTCTTTCTTTAATTTATTTTTTTTAAATATTTAATTAGATTAGTTGAAGAAAAACAAGAAATGGCAGAAATGATACCAACAGAGAATAACTTACTTGAAATGAAAATACATAAATTAGAGGAAGAAAAGTTATCACTTCTTAATGATTTCGAGAAAGAAAGAAAAATACTCAACGAAATGATAAAAGAAAACAAGGAGGTTAAAATTAAGGATGTAAAAATCAGTGAATTAAATGATGTAAATCATAAACTTGAAGAGAAAATATGCAAATTAAAAGAGTACTTAAAAGCAAAGGAAGACAGCATTGTGGAACTTAATAAAGTATGTTTTTTAATATATATGTCGGCGCCAAACAACGAATTTCGTCGTTCCCTGAAATGCCTAGTCAATTCACGTAATCCCGGCAAATATCGTTAGGCTACAGGCACACGGAAAGCGAGTAAATCGATTTAGCGAATAAAGCGTCTTTTGCGACTAGAAACAAAATAACAGGATTATATAGTCTGTGAAACGAATAACTTTGAATTTGACAGTTCCCGCGGGCTTTTCTAGTGTAAATTTTATTAGGTTAGCAACTTGCGGCCATGCTGATGCAATGCCGTCTCTAATAGAACAGCCTCGGAGCGAGATTTATGACGTCACGCTAGTTAGATACTACGGATTAATTATGTTGTAGAATACATGGAAAACATAATTATTCGTCGTATATGTAATTTTTGGATTATATTCGACACTATTTTTTCATATGACACAACACTGATGAAGGCTATAAACGTTTTTTTTTTTTTAAACCAAAAAATAATGAAAAACCAAATGAAAACTTATTCAGCGTTTTTCCCGAACCTAAATCCCAAGAAAATCAAAAATTTTAGAATAATTTTACACATAAAATGACAGCGATCTTTGTTTCATAGCCATCGCTGTCGCCTTTTCTATGATATTGTATTATTTGCAAATATAATTTTTCGAACATTGATTCTTGCAAAATATACATATAAATTTCGTGAATGCAAATAATAATATATCACTATTAGTAGATATTGAATTTTTTTGTTAAATTATATCGATTTTCAAACCCCAAAATTTAAAATATATTTTACATTTTACCCATTATCTTATGTACCTATTCATTATTTGTATATTGTAAAACATTTGCTGCATTTGTATGGTTCATAGTTTATTTGCCAAAGTATTTATTACTATAAATAGGTATATATATTGTATTTATTAACTGTATATTATATATATTTCATGTAAACCATATCATTTTTAAAATACAAACCAAAAATACGAGGAATAATTATGATTTCCATGTATTCTACAACATATTTATTAATCCGTGGTATCTAACTAGCGTGATGTCATAAATCTCGCTCCGAGACTGTTCTATTAGAGACGGTATTGGTCTGATATTTAGAAATGTCAAAGGCTGATGACATTTTACTTTTGTCAATTATGACATTTCCCGTTGATTTTTGCAAGAAGAGGCAGAACTGTCACTTGTTTTATTATTTTCCTTTTCTATTTCACGAAAGTAAAAAGAGTTACCTATCTGATTCGTTCAGGCACTCATTTTAAAGAATATCAGTAACTTTTTGGATAGAGGGATTTTATATTTGCCATGTTGGTAAAAAATAACGGTCAAAATTCAAAGTTATTCATTTTATAGACTATATAAGTGATACCAATTAAACATTTAGTTGCGTAATTGAGGCCGCGATTTTTAAAATAATTGTTGCCAACCATGGACATATTCGGCGCCGGGCTGACTAACTGGTATTTAAATTTCCCGCTGGGATTCAGGTGGTAGCTCTGCTGTAAAAAATTACAAGTTGTCACATTTATTTATTTATTTCCTGATACTCCTGATATCTGTCATTAGTTTTGACACTTTATTACGAGTTTTTGGTTTAAATGAATTGTGTTGTGATACTTTAAGCTTAAAAATTCTTACGAGCAGACTTTGCAGACCAACATTTAGTGCGAACTGTACAAGATAGCTTAATAGCCGTTGTAAGAAACTCATCGCAACCTTATTAGTTGGTTTTTACCTTATTAGAATATTTTGAACGGGAAAGCGGTAGTAGTGGTCCTTTATGTCCCTTAAGTGCAGTTAAAGAGGTGGGTTTTGTTGATATAAATTATAACTGTTTATATATTTATAATTAATTTTTGTTTCCTAAAATATAAAGAAAATATGTAAAAGTGGGCAACGCTGTGCCATTCAAGCTTAATCACGTGACTATAAATTTATTTTGTATGATCTTTTATAAGAGTTACCCGACCAAAAGCGTGTAACGTTTAGCGCTTCTTAATATAAAAAAACTCTTTCTACACTTTACACGCTAAAACGCTGTTGTTGTCTGTGTGGCTGTGAGCTAACTCTTCAATAAATATAGGGAACGCCTGAGATCCACAGTCAAACGATGTACCAATAATTGAAGACTTTCGCTGTTTGCCGGCAATACGTGAAATGACTAAGCATTTCAGGAAACGACGAAATTTACTATACAGGGTGGTCCGAACTGTATTCCGAAAACTTCGGCAGCATATTCTGCAGATAAAAATAAGTAAAAAAGTTTGTATAAATGTATGTCCTAAAATGCTTAGTTTCGGTGATACAGGGTGTAGACGTTTCATGAAAATTTATATTTTTTTACTCAGTAGTTTTATACAGGTACGGACGAAAAGTTATTACTCTTTAAACCAGTTAATAAATATGTAGGTGGCGCCCTCTACAAGTAGGAGCATAATGACATCAATATCAAATTTCTCATGTTAAAAGACTCCCAGACACCAATTTTTATCAAAATATTGACGTTACTTCATAAATTATTTGGAAAAAATCGAAATAAAAATGAAACTTCTACACCCTGTATCTTCAAAACGAAGCCATTTTAGGACATAAGTATATACATACTTTCTTACTTATTTTTATGTGCAGAATATGTTTCCGAAGTTTCCGGAATACAGTTTGGACCACCCTGTATGACGCCAACATATAACATTTTTTTTATGTTTCTCATGATTGTATCTTTTTAGAATAAATTTAACCTAGAACAAGAAGTAATAAAACTAAAGGAATCTGTCAGAATTCTCGAGGAACATGAGGAAGCAATCGAGTTAGACAAAACCGAATGTAACCTTTTACAAATCAAAGTTCAGCAGCTGGAAAAAGAAAAAGAAAATTTACTAAAATCTTTTGAAAATGAGAGGGAAATATTCGACCACACGTTTCATAAGACCAATCAAGAATTTGATACACACAAAGAAGAAATAATGAATGAAAATGTTAGTTTAGCAAAAGAAAATCTTGAGCTGAAAAAATCTTATGAAGAGTTAAAACAGAAAGTTAGAATTTTTGAAGAACGAGATGAGGTATGAGACTGATTTTTTTATTTTAAATTTAACTGTATTGATCTAAAGCCTCTTCTACACGTAACGCTTTATTTGTCAGTCTTAGCTGTCTAGTTAAAGCCCTATCAAATAAAATCTTGTGTGTATAAAAAAACATTCATACCATGCTGGCAACTTTAAATAAGAAAAATTCGATAGGCTTGGTTTTTTTTTCATTCAAAAATTTTAAAAATCACATCCATTTACTTTTAGTGCATAGCAGTTTTCAGCAATCGTGTAACTTTTTTATTTATAAAGATTTTCACATACTGTCTGCGAAGAAAATATAGCAGAAATATTAAGAAAGCTTTTGAAAAAAAACTACAATCAATTGTTTCTAATGGATTTCGAGATATCGATTTCTGAATTCAGAGTTCTAATAGCGCGACCACTGTCGAACACCAACTCAATTCCACTTATTTTTACTAAAAGTGAAAGTGTTTCTAACTTGCACTTAAAAATTTACAAGCTATAGGGAAAACTACGACTCGTTAATAAATCAACAAATAAAGTATTGCGAGACGTAATTAAATCGTGAAGCTGAACGCATGATGTACACCCTTCCCTAGAATTTTAGTACTAAGGTACTGATTGGGTCGAATCTGCTATAATATCCCCTTCCACGTCTCTTAACAATGTGCACAGTTTTTCGCCGGTTTATTTCATTTTTTTGGCAACGTTTTTACTGTTCTCTCTTTGTTCAGTACATTATAAACGCATTGTACTCTTCTTACATACGGAAATCTCGACCCAAGACTAACCTTTGGCGGCCCTTAGTATAAGAAATAATCCTATTTCTTATATGAACTTTATCAATCTAATATCAAATAGGTCTGAGGTTGGTATAATTTGATCAACTATGAAATTTTAGGTAATCGAATTGGAAAAATCGGAAGCTATGTTACTAAAACTGAAACTACAACAACTCGAAACTGAGAAGTCGGAGCTATTAAACAGTTTCGAAATGGAACGAGAAATGTTTAATAAAATTCTTATCGAACATAAAGAACTCAAGCTCAAAGAAGAACAAATTAAAGAACTGGAAGATAGCAACAAACACTTAACTGAAAGACTTGCAGAGTTTAAAGGTTTTTTGAAAAAGAAAGACGGAAATATTGTCGATTTACAAAAAGTAGTACCTATTTAATTTTGTTTCTTTCAGTTCTTATAACAATTATTTTTAGGCAAAACTAACATTAGAACAGGATATAGCCAAGTTAAAGGAGTCGTTAAGAATAAAGGAAGAAGAAGTGGATGCTATTTCCGTAGAGAAAACTGAGTGTGAATTGTTACAACTAAAATTGCAAGCATTACAGGAGGAAAAACAGAACTTACTAAATTCGTTTGAAATTGAAAGAAAGACTTTTGAAGAAGAGACACTTAAAACTACGCATATAGAGAATAGTTTAGAAAAATTAAATGAAGAAAATTCCATATTGAGAAGTGAAGTTGACACGCTTATTAAAGACAATAAGATTATTCAGGAAAAATATTCAAGTTTATACAATGATCAGAGTAAGTATGTAGTATTATCACAGATTATACAGATTATTAACTTTGTTTTTTCTTTATTGTTTTTCGTGGTTTCAATTTTCGGAATCGGGCACTAGTTAGGTTACTAGTTTGCGCACATAGCACACCCACTTATGGCCTCTAAAATTGTGCACAGCGCCTGACCGGCACAGTTATTAGAGAGATATCGGAAAACCGAATAGCGTCATGCAGTATTTACGCGTACCTTATCATGATTACGATATGCGCGAGTCAATTTTTAACGCAACACCCGCTAATAACGTTACCGACTGACGTAATTTGCGGATTAATTACACCAAACGCTATTTCTAAATAACGTTTAAAAATTGCTTAAATGGGCATGTGCGGGTATTTGACAACCGGGGCCGGCCGGCGAGATCTTTTATTTTAGGTTATGTTTGAATTGTTTTGAATTATTACTTTAGTTTTATTAGGTAATTTGATATTTAAGTAGCTGGGATTAGTTTTAATTAAATAAATATGGCCCAAAATATGGATTCCACCTCTTCCAATATTAAAGAACCTATAGAGAGGCTTAGGTTTACAGCAGATGACGACTTAGCCCTTCTAAGAGAATTTGTTGCTTGTTGCCCTAAATCCACTGGCAGACGTTGAACAATAAAGCACTGGAAATAAGCACTTCAACCCTTTAGTTTTAAAATACCTAGTAAACAAAACAATTTCAAAGTTAGGTTAAGTTTAAATAGCGGACGCGACGCGTACAGAATTCTTTCCGATCCGATAACTATAAATGGAGAGAGTTAATATCACCTCACGTAAAGGAAATAACATCTGGCCTTATTAAGGTCCATGCACGCTATTCGGTTTAGCGATATCTCTATTACGCTGTTTATTGTTATTTTACGCGAGTTTATTTTTGCGCACAGGAAATTTTACTCGTTTGCACATTGTCATAAAAAACAATTTTTGTACCACGAATTAGAGATAAGATTTTTATCTGTATACATATAGTATACCTAATCTGTGGTATTATTAACAAACAAATAACAAATAAAACAAATTACTAAAAAAATTGTTACACAATTTTACCTATAAGCTTGGTTCATTCTTGAGTTCAACTACGGTATCGAGAATAGTTTTACGCACCGGTTTTGCTAGTGGGGTCAAAATCGGGGTCTATTTCGGCTATAACGAAATTTTTTAAAGGTACATAATTATAATTTTAGAAGATGTTCATAAAACATTTAATCACTAATTGATTAAAAAAAGTATACCATTAATATTGTAAATTATATTTTATCCTCTCATAGTATATGACTATTTAATTTTTTGATTATGTGACGAGGCACTTTTACTCACTTTTTTCGTCGAACTGCTTGAATCCATTTTTGTTTTTGATCAAATCGGTGTGAGAAACTATGAAGCTATAAAATATTGTTTCGGGAGAGTTGAATATCCGGGAAAGTTGAGTTATTGGATGTTATTGCACTCAACAACGCCTTAATTACGCTTTCATTACGCGGTAACATTTTTTCGGCTATTTTATTAATATTTGAAATTGTCACAACACAACACGCCGCCTAGATCGAATTCTTTTTCACTTATTTTTTACTACTCGAAACAGCGTTACATCACACAAACCTCGTACCTGAGTGTTTTATAGTCTCAATAAAAGCACTAGCAAAAAACTAAAATACTTTTTACGATTTCAATATTATTTTAATGCGATGAACAGGAACTGAAACCGGGACGGCGCGGCAGCGGCGGCATGAAATATGTATTGATAATTTCTGATTTCTGCCGTTGAAGCGCTGCGGTCAGAATTTGTTGAAATCAACTGAAACGCACCAGGCCTATTATAAATTGAACAGCTTCCATACCATTTACTACTCTCTACATTTACTTATTTTTTGTTATAGATGAAAATGTTGATATTATAAACGAACAGAAGCAACTAATATCTAATTTGAATTCTGAAATTGACGAGCTTAGATCCAACCATGAAACAGAAAAAAATAAAAATAACCACCTTGTTAATAAATTAAGTGATTTAACGCAAGAAATAGACGGATATAAAATAGAGAAGGAAGAAGTTAAAAAAACTTTACAAGCATTCGAAAACAGGATCGAAGAGGTAAAACGAAATGCTGCAGATAGAGTAGAGGAGAAAATAAAGGAACTAGAGGTTCTCGTTAAAGAAAAATCAGTGTTAGAAACGGAACTTAGGAAAAAAATCGAGCAGCATAATTTCAAAAGCAAAGAAATGGGCGTAATTCAGCAACAATTCAATGTACTTATGCAGGAGAAAGAAAATGTTCTGAGCGAAAATAAACATATTAAAATGCAACTGGAAGAACTTAAAAATGCTAATTTTAAAAGTTTAGAATCGAAAGTTAAAGAATTGGAACAAGCCAAAGAACTGAATAAGGTAATAAACTTAATGTTAGTTTCCTAGTTATAGAATGTTTAGCCATCGTTCAACGTCACGTCATATATTGTCGAGCTCTATCAATCACTTGCCAACCAGATGAAAGAGATTGGTGACGTCATTGCGGCATTTCGTAAATTACTGCATTATTCTTTTTAGTAATTGTCATTGTCATTTTATTTGGGGTATAATTTTATTGACGGACATCGATCAATGTCAAAGTTAAATAACCATGTGTCGACTCAGATCAAACCATTACTTATCCCCGTCACATCTCTATAAAATCAGAATCAACAGAGACAATTTGTGTCAGTGTGGAGAGGTTGCTGATGTCTTTCATTTGATAATTGCTTGTCCACACAATTATAATTACCAAAAAATCTTATACTTTTATTTCGACAATGAGATAGAGCAAAAACCAATTTTTCTGCATCCTTTTCAAATTCAACAAGACAGAATACATAAAACAAATCGCTTTGTTTTTGAATGTTAGTAATTTAAAACTCTAAATATTTACTACTAACAAGCCTAACGTCAACTTTATAATAAAAAAAAACTAGCCGCAAATTTGAAATGTCATAATGCACAGTAATTATTGGGACTGTTTAGTACTCGTAGAATGCATGCATAACTGAATAGCCGCAGAACTTAAAGCAACCTGTTTAATAGCCTCAATAATTGTTAGTTGTTAAGAAAGATCAATCAGTGAAGGTCCATAAAACGTGACCACCCAGAAAAAAGAAAAGCAGAAAAAAGTACTTTACCAGAATGGCCCTGGAAGCCTAGGCAACACAAATCTCTCCTGAAAAGGAGAGTTTGAGAAGAAAGAAGAAAAAAAATTGATTGTTGGTGTAAAACAAAAATCAAATTTTTTATCGCAAAAATGCCTCAAAGATTTAACCAAAACGAACAAGGATTTATTCCTAAGCTTATAAATTATTTTTCTGGAGAAAGACAAGAACGGTAAACTAATAGGATTGCTCATCCTCATAAGACGTACGTTCGCCTCTTCCCGCGCTTCAGCTGACAGTTGTGACGTCATTGTAGCCCTGGTCAAAGCCTTCGTGGCCTTGTCATGATAGTGTGTATTATTAGTTGCCTATGGTAAACTTATAAAAATAACAGCTGAGAAATTATGAGTTAATTATTTTGTCAATTTTAAATGTGAAAAAGGTGTCTTTAAAGTTTTTAGAGCTATAGAGTGTATAAATACGTTCATTTTGTGTTGTGGATTGTGACAAAGTGCATACTAAATGCCCACGATTTTATTTATTAATTATTTTAAAGCGAAATATGGAAGTACTCTAAAAGAATGCTTGCAAAAGGTGATGCTGGGACCTGCTGTTCTTAAAAATGCATTATCCGAGTATTTAATACGATTTATACAGTTAATTTTCTTTACTGCATACATATAAGGTATTTAAATAAATAAACTAAATAATGAACGTTTTGCATTCGGTAACCAATAATGCACGTGTGTATTATTGGTTGCCGGATAAGGACTAATAACCATGACAAGGGCTACAATGACGTCACAAAGCGAGTAGTTTTCGCATGCACCTGGCGGACACTTTTGGCTGAATGAGCAGTCCTATTAGGTTAACTGTTCGTGGAGAAAGAGACGCTGGTAGAACACTCTTAGCCTGTGGACTCCGTATATGAAGTAAGTACAATGTAAAGGTGTAATATCCCTATGTAAAATACAAATTAATAGCGTTTTTAAATAATATAGCGAGTTGATGATGCTTTAGAAATAGGAATTTCAACAGTCCAAGGGATGGGTTTGGTTTGGATGCCGAAAAAACGGAACTCGGTCAGTCAATAATATAGGAACGTACTTAAGATTTTCTAAACAATATGAACTAATCTCAGACACGCCCCTTGAAAAACCTAAAACTCATATTTGACATATAATGATGACGTAACGGTGAACGATTGCTGAACAGTCTTTAGGGTAGACTCAATAATTTGTTGTTTTATTTTACGTTGTCAATAAATATTGGTAGTTATTAAAATTTTTATAAAATTATATAATTGTAATAAAAATAGATGAGTTATAATAATTATTTATTAACACAAACATCCGCTACGCTACTGAAGCAGGTAAATGAAATTAACAAATCTAAATTCGTTGAAATTGAATACATGGATAGCATTATACTCCTTCCTTATTTTTTTTTATTTAAAGCTACCATTTGATTCCTAAATTAAATTGCAGGTTATTCAAAACGTCTACGATAAATTAAATCAAGAAGTGTCAGAGCTAAAAATTAGAATAAACCAACTTACATCCGATAACAAAAACGTGCATGAAGAATATGAGAAACTGGTGATGGAACTTGAAGGTCACAAAGCAAGAAATGCTTTTCTGGAGAAGGAGAAATTAGAATTTGAAGAAAAAACAGAGAAAACTGAAAAACACACCGTTGCTTTACAGGTAATTTTTTAAAAATGTGATTTTCTTTTTATATTTTTATTATCATATATAAGTAATACTTCTATAAGGCTAGTATATAATAATATCTATATTTGATGCCAATTAAACTTTTAGTTACGTAATCGAGGGCGCGATTTTTAAATTCATTGTTACACCATGGGTTACTTGGCGACGCGACGAGCTTACTAACTGGAATTTAAATTTCCCGCTGGGATTCAGGTGGTAGCTCTGCTAGAGGTGGGAATTCTAGTTCCTTGGGAGGAACTAGTTCCTTAGTTCTAGTTCCTCCAGAGGAATAGTTCCTTGAACTAGGTCCTTAGATCACAATAGTTCCCGACTAACATTGACATCCCCGTTGCTTGCTAATGGATTTCGTTTTCAGTCAGAACTATTCACCCCCAGTTTACTATTCAAAATTATACAGATCATTATAATTTTTATAATGTATAAAATATAAGAAGACGTGTAATTGCATATGTTAAAAACATATAGGTAAGTTTTATAGCAGATAAAAAAATTAAAGAAACTCAAATCAGAGTTTAAAAACTATATCACAAATCAATTGGAGGAAACAATACGAAAAATTTACAAAAAAATTTATTTTTCCTCACTTCAAGCTTTTTGTTTTTGTCTAAAAATTCAGAATATCTACTTCGTTTTATAAGATATTTCTTAATTTTAGGAACCTAAAGTGAAACATTCCCATAAAATATTTAAAAAACAAAGTAAAAATCAAAAATAGTATCCACGACAATTTACTGTAGTAATTACGCCGCGCCGGTTCGGCTGTGGTTTGGCTGTGACCGAATCCATCGTCGTCGCTTTGTATTATATCTCGGATCTGCCGACTGAATAGATTTCCGTGAACTAGTCTTTTAATAGTTCCTCTATGTCCGGATCCGATAACATACGGCTGGCACTCCCCACGCCTGCCTAGCATCAATCGCGCTGGCTGATCCATACGTAAACTAGTCTTTTATTTAGTTCCTCTAGTTCCTTTAGGTCCGGATCCGATAACATACGGCATACGGCTGGCACTCCCCACTCCTGCCTAGCATCGATCGCGCTGGCCCGATCCGTTCGTACGTAAACTAATCTTTTATTTAGTTTAGTTCCTCTAGGTCCGGATCCGATAACGTACGGCTGGCGCTCCCCACTTCTGCCTACCATCGGGCTACGCGCGCTAGCCGATCCGTCGCCGTCGCATATTCTATATCGGTCACAGTCTCGATCCCGGAACTAGTTCTTTGAGAAACCAGGAGCTAGTTCCTTGCATTCCGGGGTCGGAATAGTTCATTGGAACTAGTTCGTTCACGAATTACACATCTCTAAGCTCTGCTGTAAAATATGCCACATTTATTTATTTATTTTCTGACATTGTCATTCGTTTTGACATATTAGTTTTGTATTGCGAGTTTTTTGATGAATGAATTATGTTGTGATACCTTTAATCTTCAAAAATTTTACTAGCAGACCTTGCAGTCGAGCATTGTTCTTGTTAGAGTGTTTTTAGAGTAAGTGTACAAGATAGTTTAATAGCCGTAAAAAACTCATCGCAACTTTATTAGAATATTTTGAACGGGAAAGCGGTAGCAATGGCCCTTTATGTCCCTTAAGTGCTGTTAAGAGGTGAGTTTTGTTGATGTGAATAATAACTGTTTATATATTTATAATTAATTTACTTGTTTCTTAAAATATTTTGATTAAAAGAAAATATGGAAAAGTGGACATCGCTGTGCCGGTCAAGCTTAATCACGTGACTAAAAGTTTATTTGATATAAACTATAGGGGTATTACTTATATGTATAATAAATCACTTCCTAATTTACAGGATAAAATTAATGATCTGGCTGAACAACTACATCAAATCAAGAAGGATTCTAAGGATGTCAAGCCGTCTAGTACAGACTTAGAAGATATTCAAAAAGATTTTTACGATCTAAAAGAGAAATGTGATAATTTATTCGTAGAAAACAAGAATTTAAAACAGGAATACACTAGGATACAGGAACAATGTGATAACTTTAATAAGATTAAACAAGATTTAGAAAAACAAGTCGCCGATCTAGAGGGACACTACAACGAAGTGCTACACGAAAAACAGCTGCTTCAAGATGAAGTGCAAGAGCTGAAAATATCGCCTATTAATTCGGGCACGAGTGTCACGAGTAATGGGACAAGTAAGTTAGGTAAGAGAAAATATTTCACCTAGATAAACTTTCAAAAATAAATTTGTAATTGTAATTATAATTGTAAATTTGAATTTTTCTTATTTTAATTGACATTAAATCATAAAAATGAAAATATCTAGGAAAGTCTTTGTTTGAGGGATAGGAAAACCTTAATAGTGTTTTAAAGAGAAACGAGTTACCCATTGAATATTGGAATAATATACTGGGTGTTCCATTTAAATTAAAAGAGTTGACTTGATTTTAAAGGCGAACAATTTTCAATACTAATTTTGTCTCACCCTGTATAACTTTTTGGGTCAGGTTTTAATTTGATTTAAAATAATAGTTATTTTAACTACATATTAGGATAAACCAGGTAAATTCTAGTTTACATAGCCTTTATTGAAATTTAAAAATTATTCTTTATTTTTAGAAAATCTTAAATATGTCAAAAACATATGTCATATTCTTCTTTAATGAAAAGCATCTTTATTTTTCTCCTAGAATCCGAAAATCAATTAATGTATAGGGTGTTCCGTTACAAAAAACACTTTACTGTGAAACTTTAATGTGAAACTTTTTGGGGACGCTCTGTAGAACTCTCTATAAAAAAAAATGCTCTAAATTAACCTATATATGCTCATAAAATTTCATTTCAATACAAACTGTCGTTCTCCTTGGAGCTTCCGCGTCGTATGAGAGGCGCCACCCTGTACAGGGTAGTCCGAATTGTATTTGGGAAACTTCAGCAACATGGTCGTTCTCAAAATTTAGGCGAAAAATCTTTTTTTTTAATCTTCAAAGTAAAATATCTTGGTTATTTTGGACTTATTTGAAAAACGGTAAAGAGAAAATATGTTTTTTTTATGGAGATCTAACAGCCCTGAAAATATTTGCGCTTATTTAAGACTCATCCTGTATAGATCTAGGCGCAGACTGTGCTCCGCTGATTGTGTGAATGCGAAATCGCACAGTCGATGTTCTTTATTTTTAGAAAATCTTAAATATGTCAAAAACATATGTCATATTCTTCTTTAATGAAAAGCATCTTTATTTTTCTCCTAGAATCCGAAAATCAATTAATGTATAGGGTGTTCCGTTACAAAAAACACCACTTTAATGTGAAACTTTTTGGGGACGCTCTGTAGAACTCTCTATAAAAAAAATGCTCTAAATTAACCTATATATGCTCATAAAATTTCATTTCAATACTAACTGTCGTTCTCCTTGGAGCTTCCGCGTCGTATGAGAGGCGCCACCCTGTACAGGGTGGTCCGAATTGTATTTGGGAAACTTCAGCAACATGGTCGTTCTCAAAATTTAGGCAATCAAAAAATCTTTTTTTTTTAATCTTCAAAGTAAAATATCTTGGTTATTTTGGACTTATTTGAAAAACGGTAAAGAGAAAATATGTTTTTTTATGGAGATCTAACAGCCCTGAAAATATTTGCGCTTATTTAAGACTCATCCTGTATAGATCTAGGCGCAGACTGTGCTCCGCTGATTGTGTGAATGCCAAATCGCACAGTCGATGTGTGGCATTTTGTAAAAAAAATGTTTTTTTATCTCTTTTATATTTTTAATTTATTATTAATTTTTTTATATTTTATTATTATTTTTATCTCTTTTATTTTATTTTTTTATATATATTATTAAAGTATCTGTATAGGTATTTTGACTATTTCATGTTTCTGTTGCAGAAAATCTAAACATTGTGAAGCAAGAAACTTTACTAAATGCTGTTTCCAATGAACAAAGTACAGACAGCGAAAAGTGGCATAGAGAATTCGAAAACTTAACCGATAAATTGGCACAGTACAAATCTCTCGATGTAACAAATAAAAGTTCGATAGAATTCTACGAGAACGAACTGCAAAAACAGAAAAATAAAAATGAGAAACTCAACAGAAAGTTGGATGAAACGCTAGTAACCTTGAGTCATTGCGCTGAGCTATCAAATTCGACTGAAATTGAGTATTTAAGAAACGTTTTATACAATTACATGTTAGGAAAAGAGAGTCTAGTGTTAGCTAGAGTAATAGCCGCTGTTTGTAAATTTGATCCAAACCAGACTGAAGCAGTGTTACAGAAGGAACAACAGAAACAGACTTTGGTATAATTACTTATAGTGTCCATTTCCTTCAAGGTGACGATTAAAAGGTTGTTCAAATTTACGAGATTTGATATTTCAGACGAATCGGAACGTACTCTAAAGCCCCTTTTATACGTAACGTTTTAACTGTCAGGTAAAACGGAGGGCCGTTTATAAAACTGATGACAGTTCCCAAGACGGTCGTTCGTCTAGCTCCGTCTACACATACCGTTTTACAGCAGGTAGGACGGACTAAAAGCATAAAAAAGTTTTAATATTGCTCAGGGATAAATAAAACAAAATACGGTAATCGCAAAACATTTTCCGATGCACGTCATCAATCATATCGACATTGACACTAAAGTCTATAAACTTGACTAAAGAGGCATGAAAATTGGGCAAAAATGTTTAAATTTGTTGTCTAATTTAAGATACCGAGCAGCTCTTTATTTTACTTTATAGAGCAAATGATTGTAACAGATATTTTATTTAGATTAAAGCTGCAAACATTAGTTTGAACCAAATTTTATTATCGCTATGTTGGTAACATTGCGCCGTGCTCAGCAACGATGTCGTTTATTATTTGATAATTATCATAATGTCAGACATTATTTTGTATAATGTCGTGTTGTTGTTGAATTTTTGTGAGTAATTTTCGTTTTTGCCTATTTTCATAGTCTTTTTTAAAAAATCGTCCTTTAAGTACAAACAATTCTTTTAAGAACTGAATTTTCGAGTTTTTATATCGCATTTCTTGAAATTGTGTGTTGAAAATATGCCGAAGCATTTAAACAGTCGAAGCAAAGAGCTTGTAGCTTCCCTGATAAACTATTTTGAATAAGAACATAACAATAAAAGTTCTTTATTATCCTTGACTGCAGTCAGAGAAGTAAGTTGATTGGTAAGCACATTATACCACTTTCAAAGTTATTTCTACGTTAGTTTTTAATAAATTCTGTGATTATTAGTTTGTGCATTAATGACGTCCTCTTACTTGTTATTACCACTTGTGGTGTTTTAAGATGTACATCAATAAATAAATAAATAACCCATAATAACGCTTAGAATAAATAGTCTTTATAACAGACTAGTTTTTGCCAATATGTAATAAATAAAATAAGCCATAAAACAAATAAATCAATTAATTACTGAAATATTAATTATTAAATTACAAATAAAACGTAAAACTCTTTAAAAAATGATATAATTTATTCCTTCCCAATTTTAAATTAAGATTCATCTCATAAATCCATCACAATCTGGCAGCGCTGTCGTCATCGCTTGTCATTCAAAGTTGTTCCCGTGTATCGGAAATTGTTTTGCGATTACCCTATACTACCAGTTAAAATACTTGTACTTATTTCTGGGACACCCTGTATAAACCCATCCATAGTTAACCTAAAAATTATTAGAAACTTTTTTAGTTGAATAAATGGATTGGTATGGGTGTCATCTGTCTTTTTTTCTGTCATCGTCTGTCGAAATGTATATACGGGTTTTAACACATTACATGTTGAGCTTGAATCGTCATCTCTCGTGAAATGGACTTTATTTACACTTACAGAACATAAAAATAATTATATGTATATTTTTTAGCTGGGCCAGCTGGGACTTCTCTAGCAGTTAGAAAGTGAAACGTAAGACCTAACCTTCTGGTACTCTGCCATATAACACCTCATACAGTTCAAAAAACAGTCACTTATATTAAGTTATCAACATCTATGAGCGTTTTCAATATAAATATTTTAGAAAGAAATATACGAAGAAACTTGGTACTTTTTATTTATATCAGGAATGGGGTATTATTTAGATTTCCCACCATGACCAGTTATAAATTAATATATAATATATAGACTTAAAGATGGTTCTGGAGAGATTGTATATATTTAGGCACCAATTGTGACACAGAATCAAATAAATCTTGTAGACTATCTTAATATAAACAAATCTAATTTTGTAATTCAATCAAATAATCATAACTTTAGAAAATATCTTTCTCTATAAATACAGGGTTAGTCATCAACGATAAAGTTCATTTACTCGTTTATCTTGACAATTTCAGAAAAATTAAAATAGTTAAGTAATGCGAAAATAGACAATTAAAAATTATTTTCCAATATTCATTTGAAGGGTCCAGGGGACAACATGATAAGTGCTATTTTACTAATTATCAGGTTCTTTCCCTGTATGTATTTTTTTTTCTAGGCATATATCATAGGATTTAACTCCTTATTGTCCTACACATTTTGTAGGGCCCAGTTAGACCTACTATAATATTGTAAAACACTAAAATTAAGAAACTGGCGCTTATGATATTTTTCCTCTGGACCCTTCATTTATATTAAGTATCCTTCAAAAAAGTGTGGTGGATATAACTTTTTTTTTTTTTGAATGAACACCCTACTTTACAGGGGTGAGCATATAATGTAGGCAAAAAGACGTTGAATACCCCAGACAAAAGCATAAAATATATTTTAGTCCTAATTACCAATATAAAGAACTAAATACAACCAGCAATAAAGTAGGTCCCAAAATGAATTTGGCAAAAGCTAAAGTAATGTATAGATGACAGAAAAGACATTCTAATCAATAACACAACGCTGGAAAAGGTAGAAGAATATATATTTAGGACAACTAATACACAGGTCAGGATCTCTACTACCAGAAATCAACAGAATAATTAAGTTAGCATAGAGCATAGAGCACCTATGGAATATGAATCTCAGTCATATTGAAATCTAGAATGCCATTTTATCTAAAGAAGAAAACATTCGGGGATGTGTATTACCAGTCATGACCTGTGCATGTCAAACCTGGACACTTAAAACGGACGTTGTAAGGAAACTGAAGCTCGCACAACTCTGGATGGAAGGAAATATACTGGGAATAACCAAGAAAGATCTTAAAAAATTGAGTGGATAATACAAAAAATCAAGATAATAGATGTCATCCACAGAATTAAATTCCTTAAGTGGCAATGGGCAAGACACCTAGCAAGAAGGACGGACCACAGATGGACCATTACACCATGGTACCCACGAGGAATTAAGAAACCTAGAAGAACGCCAAACCTGCTATGGGACCATGATTGGGAAGGCTACAACATAATTGGAAATAGTTGAAAAAGCTGAAATAATCATTACAAGAACTACTAGTTTTAGGTATATAGCATTATATTTTATATAACAAAAGTTAGTATAGCATTTTACGCAGACTCTAAATAAAAATAAAATAACAGGGCGTTACATTTAAAAAAAAACATCTGCCTCGCTATTTTGAAGCGCGCCCTATATACTCAAATATATGTAGTTTTAAATTCTGTATCTTAACATTCCCCACAAGCTTTATGTTAAACATTTTTTCTTGATTCGCAAAATAAATGAAAAATTCTGAACTTTATTGTTGACTCACCCTGTACAGATCACCCTGTATGATCAAAAAGTTTAAATATCAGGTGTGATTTGTATAATGACTAATGACAGATATAAGCAATTCTTATGGGAAAATTATATTAGGATTATTTTAACTGTCAAAATCAAAGCCTGCTTGAACATAAAAAACTTTTTGTTCGTAAAGTACAATATTCTCAAAAACTTTTATGATCAAGTGTGTTTTTTATGAGAGATTAAAAAAATGTTATAGTAAATTAAATTGTATGGCTTTAATTCTCAAAGTCAAAGCCTACTTGGTCATAAACCTCTGATTGTACAGTTATCTTTAATGTAGCTACTATACAGGATGAACCAGTGTTCTCAATAATCTCCATATCAGGTTTTATATTTGAGATTTTTACTCCATTTTTTGTAAAACATGCTGGGAATACTAGCCCACATTTTAAAAATGTTTTTGGTTGATAACTAACCATACGATCGAGAAAAAAAAACGGCGTCAAAGACGGCTGGGGAATCACAATCGATGAAAATGTTACCGAAGTCAAGCTCTAGATGTCATTTACTTGGCCCGTACTCTTCTTTATTTTTTAATGGCGCCTACTGTCAGTTGGCCTTAAGAATGGTGTAGTTTAAAATTTGAGAAAAAATATTTTTGTTCAGAAACAGATTTGTGTGTCTGAAAACGTTCTAACCTTTTTTATTCTTTTCACGTTTCAGTAAATGACATCTAGAGATTGACCTCGCCAAAATTATTGTCGATTATCATTCCCCAGCCGTCTTTGACGCCGTTTTTTTAGATCATACGGTATAATCATACATATGAATGTATAATCTTTGAATTTAACCCTGTATATCTATAAAAATATTTTTAAAATATACGCTACCCTTGCCTACATATTTTGTAAAAATGAAATGGAGTGAAAATCTCAAACAAACACCTCATGTGGAGCTTTTTTGGAACAACATGTATATTCGAAAAATACTATATTGCAATTGCTATTTTTATTATAATATTTAGATATTATATAATTGCAATTTTTAAAATAATCTATTATTTTTAAGATTTAAAAATTTATTTCGCTAAATTAAGTTAGTCGCTAACTAAATGGGATAATACCATGATAATATCCCTGTGAGACCACAAATTAAAATTGTGTATATCGTATTGCACTCCAATTTTTGTAGTATTAACAAATTTTTAGCATTCCTTGTTTTCTAGTATTTTTTTTATTATTATTGGTATATGCATAAAAAATAAGTGTGCAGTTCAATTTACCATTGAGATTTAAAATTTATGACTAAATGTTACACATATATAATTTCATAGTCGATGGACTCCACTACCATACAATAAAAAAAAACGGCGTCAGAGATGGCTCGGAAATAAAGATCACTGTCGTTTTGTATGTAAAATTATATTATGAGGAATGTCATCTATTATTTCCAAGCCAACTAGATGCCGTTTTTTTTTTTGATCATATGGTACCGTATGATCGTAAAAAACGGCGCAGCGATGGCTATGAAGATCGCTGTCATTTTAAGGTACATTCAGGTTGAGAGCGTCGCGTCCGCCCTATTGAACTGGAACTCCGACGCTCAGCGGACGCTAGCGCAACACCAAACGCGACGCTGTCTACCTGAATGGTCTAATTTAAGTTAAGTGAATTGATTCCATTTCGACACGCGGACGCGACGCTCTCAGCCTGAATGTACCTTTAATATAAATTCATATGGGAAATGTCATTGATCGTCATTTTCCAGCCAACTGGACGCCGTTTTCTTTTCGATCATACGGTATTTTATCCTTTAATAACAAATGTTAATGGTTAATTGCAAAAAATACTTATATTTATTTAAAAAAAAACAAATTATTTATGTATTTATTGACTTTCTATTATTTTGAATTTATTTTTGTTAGATGTTTTTGTCAATTTTTATGTACTTTGTTACAATAAAATAACAGATATTTAAAAAAAAATATTTTAATACAAAAGCGTGGTTGAACAAATTATTACCCTTAAATATCAAAACTTACATAAAAAAATCAATCAGCTTAAAACAATACTTATTGACATTAAAATATGTATAAACAAAAAGATAAGAACTTTTTGCTTTGTTATACATACATACCATTGTGCTTGAAGTTTTAATTGCACTAAAACTGTTTTCATATAAGATATAAAAAGTAGTTTACAATAAGAATATATTATACATGTATACTTATATCATAAGGGTGCACAATCACACATTAGAAAACTTATTTTAATTTTGAAAGTTCACCTGATCATATTTTTTTAATAAATTTGCAATAGACACGTACATACTTCACACAAATATATTAATATCTTTCTCTCCGATATAGGAATTCATACATTTCTTCTTAACTCATTAACTTCTCTCACTAGTTTACCACATATATGCCATAAATATTATACTCAAAATCGTTTTAAAAACTCTTCAGATACAATCCTAGCTCTTGCGTTCACAGCCAATTTCATTTCGGAAATTTCTTTATCAATTTCTTCCATGAAGTGTATGACAAAGTCGACAAGCTTATGCTTATACATTTGCTCAGTGTGGAAGTTTGTTATCAGGAAACTTATATCGTAACCTTCGATAGGTTTTCGTCGAAGAACTATGAAGTTTTCCGCACGCCTCATCATAAATCGCATAAACTTTTTGCAGAGAATTTTTTCGATCTCGTCGGCTTGTTTTACGGCGATACTGATACGTACGGAGTTTACTGAAGCCTCGATAAGTACCTAGAAATATTTATTACAGTTAAAAAATACTAATTAAGTAAATTTTACCTTTTCTTTCTCGTTACGTGAAATTACAACTGGAGTGAGTAACAGCTCTTTCGAACTTCTAACCTCTACTTCTGGTTTATTGTGTCTTTCTACCACTTGTGAGCTGAAATTGTCTAAACACATAGCGGCAGTTAATGTATGCCTAACTGCTGTTAGATACGGTTTTAATGTAGCAGACATTTTAATTCAAATAAAGTTTCTTTTAAACAATTTTTGAGGACACACCTATCAAAATATTTGTTGATAACAGATTGACAAGCATTGACAAGTTTGACGACCATTGACGTTTACGTACCACAGAAAGGGCACATAAAAATGGATGAACTTGCATCATATATTTGCATGCTACGCAATCCTAGATCATATATAAATCCAAGGATGGAACCAAGGTTCATAACTGAAATATAAATATTTTTGTTCTGGGAACTTTGGCGTTACTTTATCCTGATAGAACCCTTGTATAGAACGTTTTGGGGTTCGTTTTGGATTTCTTGGATGTTTGCATTTTTTATGCGTTTATTTTTTGATTAAAACAAGGGTTGTATATTGTAAGCCATAGAGTATAATAGTTCCAAGTAGACGTTGTTGACAGATGCTCGACAGTCATCAAAACAATCATGACAGACGTCAATTAAAGAAGAAAGTTTTAAAAACACAAAAATGAAAATGTTGATGTGGACATTTTTTTGAAAACTAGTAAAAGAAATCGGCGAATAGATTTCTCTTTAAAAGATTTAAATTTAAAAAACTTAGTATGTTTGTTGTTTCAAATAAAGAGTATTGAGAGATGCCCTAGGAAATTTACATTTAAAACTATGCGAAGTTTTTACTTTACACTCTCGAAAAGTTAACAGGAAAAGTTAAATTAAAATATATACAGAATGGATTATTTTAAAAAACTAAGGCGATTCGATGCCTACCCTAAAACGATAGAGGATGTAAGAATTCAAACTTTAGGAGGCGGAACAATTACAGTAATTTCAATGGTTATAATTACTGTTTTATTTTGGCTTGAATTTCTCAATTACCTTACGCCAAACGTTACAGAAGAATTATTTGTTGATACGTCTAGGGGCCTAGATCTATCAATTAATATAGATATAACTGTTCCTAAAGTCTCTTGTGATTTTCTAGTCTTAGATGCAATGGATTCATCGGGTGAACAACATTTACAGGTACATTAACTTATTTTTTTCAACACGTAGGTATTGTTTATTATATAGTTATTTATTTTAGATTTCACATGATGTTTTTAAAAGAAGTTTGAGTTTAGATGGGGTGCCTATAAACGAACCAAAAAAGGAAAACATTACAATATCAATTAAAACTAAAAATGAGACAGACAACACACAAAAAAATCAAACTGATTATTGTGGCAGTTGTTATGGAGCTAGGGAAGGATGCTGTAATACTTGTGAAGAAGTTAGAGATGCTTATAGGTCAGAAATATAGTTTATTTATGAAGTCCTTTTTTTTAAGTTAATATTATATTTTCTTTCGTTAGAATAAAGAGATGGGCCTTGGATAATGTTGAGGATATAGAACAATGTAAGCATGAAAAGTTTAATGAAAAATTGAAAACGGCTTTCACTCAAGGATGTCAAATTTATGGAAATTTAAAAGTTAATAGGTACAGATCTATTTAAGTTTTTACAATGACTAAATACAAATATAAAGCAATGTAATCTAATATTTATGTGCATTACCCTTTTCAACAAAAATTTATAATTTTTTTTTTATAAAAATTTTCCTTTTAGAGTTAGTGGAAGTTTCCATATAGCACCTGGAAAAAGTTTTAGTATAAATCACGTCCACGTACACGACGTACAACCTTTTTCTTCATCCGAATTTAATATGACGCACAAAATAAAAACTTTGACTTTTGGAACAATGATTAAAGGTGGGGTTCACAATCCTTTGGAAGACTTTGTAGGTCTTGCAGAAGAAGGTACGTCTTTCATAATAAAACACAAAATATACATGTAAACACATTTTCTTTCTATACTTTTTAAGTACTTTTTTGTAGGGGCGACAATGTTTCAATATCATATTAAAATAGTACCTGTTTGTTACGTTACCAAGGATGGGACGACCGTTTACAGTAATCAATTTTCAGTGACGAAACATCAGAAAGCAGTTTTATTAATGTCGGGAGAGTCTGGTAAGTCAATTGTAATAGGGTTATTCTAAATGTTGAAGTTGTTAAAAGACTGCTAGAACTACAATTTAAAATTATTTTCGTGAGTTACAGAGTGTCTGTGTTACAGAGTGTATGTGAGCTAGGGAGCTGACTCACTGACAGAAAACATATGAAGAGACAGACAGAAGTTTTACTTCAAATATGCGCACATAGTGCAAAAAATAATGCTACCTTATACTGGATACTGGGTGTCTAAAAATTAATTTTAAGTAATTAATAAATAGTACTGAGTCTGTGGTTAGTTCCTTGTGAAACAGTTTTAAGGCTCTAAATCTTAAATAATTAATTAACTTAAATAATATTTTGCATCAGATGCAAATATAATTATCTATCAAATTGTTTTACCTGTATCATTTTTGGCTATCTCTTCAAGTTTTCTTCATTATTCATTTTTCGTTATTTTTATAATTATTCAGATCTTATTTATCATTATTTATTAATATATCCATGCATAGTGATGTAAAATTACCGGTAATTTATAAATCAGTAATATTATGGTAACGTTGGTAATTCGTAAAAAAACTTTTTAAATATTATTTTTGAAGTGATGAAACTTCTTTACACGCGTTGAGAGTAAAAATTCAAGGCCGTGACACACGACATTCAATGACAGCCCCGAGACAGCCGTGACGCGCGAGCCAGCGAGAGGAAACGTGATAGCGGCAGTGTTGCCACAGCTAACCCATTCGAGGTAGATCTACCCCTTTTCGGTTATACCACAAGCTTATTTGATAAAAAAATAAGCTTGTAGCAACACTGGGTAACGATCTGTGCCATGCGCGGCTAGGAAAATCACTATAATAAACTTGAAACTGTACTAACCTTGATTTCATGCATATTTTCATCGATATGTTTGTAGTTTTTGAATAACGGTCTAGGTAAAGCATCTAGCTCATTTCCCAGCTCAGAATTAGAATTTAGAGTTAGTAACTCGCGTTTTCACTGGAGGACACTGGCATATTTATTTCAAACCAATAATCAACGAGAATATTCGTATAATTTAATAACATTATTGTAAATCGCTATAAATAATTGTTTGTAATTGAGCTGTAATTTCTGTATTATTAATCCGGTAAATGATGGAGATAAACAGTTGTGATTGATTAAAAATTTATTTTAAGATGAAACTTTTTTAATAACATTCTGGGAATTGAATAGCCTAGATGGAAAAGGGCCCATTTTTCAAAAAGGTAATTTTTCAGGAGAGACAATAATCCATATATTGGGTCCAAAAACTAAAATTCAATAAATTTTAATAAAATACATGAAAGAGGTACATCATCAAAGTGTATTTTATTAAAAATATGGTTATAAAAAATATGTTTACAGAAAATACAGACTTAAAAAATGGGCCCTTTTTTTTTCAAGTTATAATGTAGCAAACTGTTATAATAAAACAACTAGAAAATATCTCTAACAAATTGATAAAAAAAACACATCTATTCGAAACAGTAACTTATAGTAAACATTGGATAAATATAATACTTATGACCTAACGCTCGTCTGGTTCATCCTCATGTGTACATGTAGCACCAGTCAAGGAACAAATAAAATAAAATGCAATGGCCTTTTCATCTTTTAAAAACTTGCAAAGTTCCTTAATATTTTGTAGCTTGAGGGCGTTTATAGGTAAATCAGCCGAGTAAGCTAGCTTTTCGGGTATAGGGATAATTCGGGTAATTCAACACCAGGTTTCAAAAGGGACAACAAAAATAGCTGCCAAACATTAAAGACTTTGATTCACTTGTAAACTCAAAAAACTTATACTGTGTTATTTGGAATTTCAACTTATTTGTGGTGAAGTTTTTTTTAAAAAACGGTTCTGATAGTCCATTCACAAAGTCTCTCACCATATTTCTTTTAAGCTCAACAACAGTAAACTTAGAACTTATTATGGTGTTCCAATCTGAAGGCGATTCAGCCACTTCTCTTCTTCTTTGCATTTTTTTCTATTATAGCAAAATGCCTGTCGCACGGCAAAAAGCTGCGTCCCCGTTGTGGAAAAAAATGCTGGATGTTTTCCAACTTCCCATTTAGTACCAACGTCTGGCATGGACTTGGCGAAACAAAGGCCCAAATGTATCAGATGGGCCCATGTTCTTCAAAGCGATTAACACACAGCTGATTTTAATACGTTTACAGTGCGTTTAGTGGGCCTTTCTCCTACTGGGCATGAAACTATGAACCCTTCCTGGACACAAACGGTACATTGTGAGACAAGAAATTGTAGAGAGAAACAAGCCCTATAACATAGCATAGAACATTTTAATGAACAGTGCTTTCCATAAAATCAATAAAATGAAAAATATAGGAAATAATATACAGGTACTAATTTCTTTCGAAAATCGACAACTATGAAACTATCATCCCTTCCTGGACACAAATAGTACATTGTGAGACAGGAAATTATAGAGAGAAACAAACCCTATAACATAGGATACAACATTTTAATGAACAGTGCTTTCCATAAAATCAATAAAATGAAAAATATAGGAAATAATATACAGGTACTGATTTCTTTCGAAAATCGACAACTATGAAACTATCATCCCTTCCTGGACACAAATGGTACATTGTGAGACAGGAAATTGTAGAGAGAAACAAGCCCTATAACATAGGATAGAACATTTTAATGAACAGTGCTTTCCATAAAATCAATAAAATGAAAAATATAGGAAATAATATACAAGCACTGATTTCTTTCAAAAATCGACAACTATGAAACTATGAACCCTTCCTGGACACAAATAGTACATTGTGAGACAGGAAATTGTAGAGAGAAACAAACCCTATAACATAGGATACAACATTTTAATGAACAGTGCTTTCCATAAAATCAATAAAATGAAAAATATAGGAAATAATATACAGGTACTGATTTCTTTCGAAAATCGACATCTATGAAACAATCATCCCTTCCTGGACACAAATGGTACATTGTGAGACAGGAAATTGTAGAGAGAAACAAGCCCTATAACATAGGATAGAACATTTTAATGAACAGTGCTTTCCATAAAATCAATAAAATGAAAAATATAGGAAATAATATACAAGTACTGATTTCTTTCGAAAATCGACAACTATGAAGCTATGAACCCTTCCTGGACACAAACGGTACATTGTGAGACAGGAAATTGTAGAGAGAAACAAGCCCTATAACATAGGATACAACATTTTAATGAACAGTGCTTTCCATAAAATCAATAAAATGAAAAATATAGGAAATAATATACAGGTACTGATTTCTTTCGAAAATCGACAACTATGAAACTATCATCCCTTCCTGGACACAAATGGTACATTGTGAGACAGGAAATTATAGAGAGAAACAAGCCTTATAACATAGGATACAAAATTTTAATGAACAGTGCTTTCCATAAAATCAATAAAATGAAAAATATAGGAAATAATATACAAGTACTGATTTCTTTCGAAAATCGACCACTATGAAACTATGAACCCTTCGTGGACACAAACGGTACATTGTGAGAGAGGAAATTGTAGAGAGAAACAAGCCCTATAACATAGGATACAACATTTTAATGAACAGTGCTTTCCATAAAATCAATAAAATGAAAAATATAGGAAATAATATACAGGTACTGATTTCTTTCGAAAATCGACAACTATGAAACTATCAACCCTTCCTGGACACAAATGGTACATTGTGAGACCGGAAATTGTAGAGAGAAACAAGCCCTATAACATAGGATACAACATTTTAATGAACAGTGCTTTCCATAAAATTAATAAAATGAAAAATATATTTAGGATGTTTCCGAATAATCGTGTTTCAAAGTTGCAGAAACAATTAATTCGAATAATGAATTGAATAATGACAAGTGACATCTGTCTAAGAAAGACAGCGATTTAGAGTGACAATTTGGTTATGTAAAATTTGGAGTGACAATTTTGATTATGCAAAAAAATACATATTCTATGAGTTCTACTGATTGACTAACAATTAACATTAATTTAAAAATAAATCTCCAACATGAATAGTGAACAAAACATTTAAACAAAAACAGACCACACAAAACAAATCGTTGGTTAGTAGCAGTAGTATTCAGAGATATAGATGTAGATAATTATCGTTTTTTAATAAAAATTAAAAAAACATAAAATTATAAAGCTAGAATAGTATACGGTTTTATATTAACTCTAATTTTTTTGAAGTTTATAAAAAGTAAAAAAATATATATCCTTCAAATCCTTCAATTTAATAGCTGTTAGTAGGACGTTTCACTTCAAATATGCGCACATAGTGCACACACAATTTTTTATTTCAAAACTAAAAACATTACAAAAAAAAGCAAGATACTAAAACTCTTATTTGACATATAAGTTGACGTATCGATATTTGTTGAACGATGACTGAACAGTCTTTACTTAGTTTAAATCTAGTAATTTAAATTAATTTTTAGTCACCCAGTATAAGGTAGTAATATTTTTATTATAGCATCACAATATCACAGATTATACAGATTATAAACTTTGTTTTTTCTTTATTGTTTTTCGTGGTTCCAATTTTCGGAATCGGACACTAGTTAGGTTACTAGTTTGCGCACATAGCACGCCCACTTATGGCCTCTAAAATTGTGCAAATTATTATATATAGTATATTAAACTGTTATTAGAGAGATATCGGAAAACCGAATAACGTCATGCAGTATTTACGCGTACCTTATTATGGTTACGATGTGCGCGAGTCAATTTTTAACGCAACACCCGCTAATAACATTACCGCCTGACGTAATTTGCGGATCAATTACACCAAGCGCTATTTCTAAACCTAAATAACGTTTAAAAATTGCTTAAATGGGCATGTGCGGGTATTTGACAACCGGGGCCGGCCGGCGAGATCTTTTATTTTAGGTTATGTTTGAATTGTTTTGAATTATTACTTTAGTTTTATTAGGTAATTTGATATTTAAGTAGCTGGGATTAGTTTTAATCAAATAAATATGGCCCAAAATGTGGATTCCACCTCTTCCAGTATTAAAGAACCTATAAAGAGGCTTAGGTTTACAGCAGATGACGACTTAGCCCTTCTAAGAGAATTTGTTGCTTGTTGCCCTGAATCCACTGGCAGACGTTGAACAATAAGGCACTGGAAATAAGCACTTTAGCCCTTTAGTTTTAAAATACCTAGTAAACAAAACAATTTCAAAGTTTTAAATTCAAAGTTAGGTTAAGTTTAAATAGCGGACGAGATGCGAACAGAATTCTTTCCGATCCGATAACTATAAATGAAGAGAGTTAATACCTCCTCACGTAAAGTAAATAACACCTGACCTTATTAACGTCCATAACGCTATTCGGTTTAGCGATATCTCTCTATTACGCTGTTTATAGTTATTTTACACGAGTTTATTTTTGCGCACAGGAAATTTTACTCGTTTGAACATCGTCATAAAAACAATTTTCGTACCACGAATTAGGGATAAGATTTTTATCTGTATACATATAGTATACCTAATCTGTGACAATATAGAGTAAATAAAAAAACTTCAACAACTTTAATATTTTTTTATTTATTTGGGACACTGTACTTTTTGAAAATTACTTTAAATTGTAGCTCTCCTAGTCCTTTAAAGACTTTTAACCTTTAAAGAACATTTACAATTTCTAAAAATCTAATCACTTGGCTACAATACTGCACGGCGAATAGCGTGAAAATTCTAGATAAAATAAAATTACAAAATAAACGTTTATATTTTTTAGGAATGCCAGGTATATTTTTTCAGTACGAACTCTCACCTTTAATGGTAAAATACACGGAAAAAGATAGATCTTTAGGACATTTTCTAACCAACGTTTGTGCTATAATCGGTGGTGTCTATACAGTAGCTGGTTTACTTGACACCTTTTTATACCATTCGATAAAAATGATTGAGAAGAAAATCGAGCTGGGAAAGCTAAGTTAGATTTGCACAGGCACACTAACGCACCACCATGATATAATATGTAATATTAAATAAAGTAATATTTTATTATACCAATTTGTTATAATATTTTATTTCAAGAGTTTTAGTTTTCTATTCTATAATTTTAACCATTTCTAGATGGCATGGCAGTGATCCCTGACTTTTGACCCCCCTGTAAACATTGTGGATAAAACAAGAATATTAATTTTTACTAATCAAAAAGACATAACTATAGCTGGTTATATTGCTAATAGATCTAGTAATTATGCCTCATAGTTTATGAATTATTGCTTCTCAAATTTCTTTAATTTTGACAGTAGATACTTCTAAAAGTTCCACAAATTTTAAATTTGGAATTTTAGGTAGCGGAAGGAAAAAATTAAGTCTCGAAATATCCTCATGGATCAAAAGTTAAGTGTCTATCCGCTACGGGTAACTGATTTTCCAGTGGGCAAAAACAAGAATTAATCAATTTTAAACTGCCTATAAAGGGTTGTCCGAACTGTATTTCGGAAACTTTGCCAGCATATTCTGCAGATGAAAATAAGTAAAAAAGTTCATATAAATGTACGTCCTAAAATGCTTAGTTTCGGAGATACAGGGTGTAGAAGTTTCATTTTTATTTCGATTTTTTTCAAATAACTTCTTAAGTAACGTCAGTACTTGAATGAAAATGGGTTTCTGGGAGTTTTTTGACATGAGAAATTTGATTTTGATGTCAACTTGACTACTATTTGTAGGGGTGGGCGCCATCTACATGTGTTTTAACGGTTTTGAAGAGTAATAACTTTTCGTCCGTACGTGTATAAAACTACTCGGTGAGAAAATATACATTTCCTTGAATTTTTACGGTAAAAATGTCACTTTGTAAAATTCGCTACGACCAACCGTTCTCAAGATATTTAGAATGAAAACAGTCAATAAATGTCATTATTGACAAAAAATAAAATGTTGGGTAGATAGTTATTTGAATAAATAATAAATTTGGGATTTTTTTTAAATTAATCATAATTTGTTTTAAAAAAAAATGAGAATAAAACAGTTTCTCTTGAACTTTTGGCACAAAAACATTTCAAATTTTTTATTTCAGTCTGATAACTATGTAGTCAACATGTTATTATTATGATATTGAAGAAAAATGTGGGTCGATTTCGGCATAATTGGGGACGGGCTACAGGATGATGCCCTCGACGTTTCGAACCGATGCCTCTAAATGGACGAAATCATCAGGATTTTTCTTAAATATGGGTCGATTGGAACCAAACTCGGCACGTGGATAGAGGTACCCGAATGTAGTTCTCAGACGGACAGACAGACCGAAAAAAGTAAGGAGTTTCACCCCAAATATGCGCACATAGTGCACATACAATTTTTTTTGTTTTATTTTTATCTGTAGAATAACCCACTGGAGTTAAATACACTATTTTTTTGACACCTGTAGAATGATCACCCGGTGTATATGCTACTTTTTAATCCGTCGTTTTACCTGACAGGTAAAACATTATGTGTAGACCATAGATAAAAGAAAATAATCTTATATTAAGATAGATATGAAACTTAATAGTAAAATTTTGGGTCAAAGCGCCCCTCCGTGTTCTTAGTAGAGACTACGTTTAACCCAGCGCCTTCGCCTTTTCTGCTGTAAATATTTTTATGTTTATATTTGATTTCAAAGAATTTAGTTTTAAAGTTACACTGATATATTAGTATATCAGAGTAACTTTAATAAAACATAAGAATATATATATTTTACAGTTTATTAAATATAAATTTTGACTACAAGGTAGAAAGTAAATCACAATATTTGATAAAACTTATAAGTATACGATTTTTACAGTTAATAAATAATAAAACTATTTCTGACTATGATATTTAAAATTTAGATAGATAGAATATTAAAAAACATACCGGTATTTGCAGACGCATGTCCAAATTCAATAAAAACCAAAATTTTTCCTGCGAAAATCGGGCTTTTTTCACAGAAAAGGTATTTTTTGATTTATCAATAATCATTGTCAAGTTGACAATATACAGGGTGTTTTCTAATTAGTCTAAAAAATTGTGGTGTGATTCCTCATGTGTTCTTAAAACGATTTTTATATAACCATTGGGTCTAAAGTACTTCCTTTCTGATTACAGGGTGTTAAAAATTAAAAAAAAATCGATATTTTGCTTAAAATAAATGGAACACTACTGCTTTTTTAAAGAAAATATATTTGTTTCTTGACTGGCCATCTTTTTCAACAAAATTGATCTTTTGAGTTTTTCTTGTTCATCAAACGGTTGCCGAGAAAAAAATAAATATACTTATTAAGAGCCCGCCTTAAGCCGTTTTCTAACGAATTTTTTTATTTTTTAGATTAATTAGGAAACACCCTGTATATGCATATAACTGGCAACCAAATAAACTAGTAACCTCTAGAAATTATTTTTCCTACCACTAGCGACATACCGTGTTTTTAGTGAGTACTAAATTATTTTATCAAAATTTCACCATATAAGTTTCCAGGCAATGGTGTAGACGGAGCTTAACATTTATCAAAATATTTGAATTTAAAATATTATAAAGATAGCCACGTGCCTGTTACTTGTTAACTATTCATACGTAATTATTGAAAAAAAAATAATTTTTAAAATTTTAATTCTTTAGATATAGGTACACTCATATTTTTGCTATCGTTGTTTTAGTTGCAGGCTTACAGGTATTGTATATAATTTTAGATAAACTATTTCTTATCGCAGCTTAAAGAAAACCTGTTATTTGTTAGTTCCATACTAATTATGCATAGTCATTTTTTTAACGAGCTAAAATAAAAAAATCAGACCTTTCGATGTATAAAAGTAATAAATATTGATAGTATACAACGTGAATAAAAGTATAAAAGCTAATATGAGGGCAGTAATGTTGTTAATAATGATTATTTTTGTATGCACCGAAGTACTGAATGGGCATATAAAAGGTAAGATTGAAGAAGAAAAAGAAAATACGAAAAAAATCAATTTTTGTGGTATTTAGCGGTGGCTGGCAATTTTGATGTTCTATATCTCTGATTCTGGGCATGGACAGACATGGAACCCACACCAAATGAAGGGTCCAGGGGAAAAACATGATAAGTGATAAGCGCCATTTTACTAATTTTACAGGAGAGCACTATATTATTCTGTGAATTACTGTAAAAACTTTTTTAATAAACATTTATATAAGAATTTCATTTCGATTGTAGAAAAAATGTTGTGTGCAACATGTGCAAAAAGCTTATTTGTTGCACTCAGCATGATTCATGCGTCGTGCAACAAATAAGTATGTCCTTTTTGCAATAAGTTACACAAATAACTATTTTTTAACACGCATAATTAAAAAAATCTCAAATTTTAAAATTGTTCTTAATAATTCAAAAATATTTCGTGTAGGACCTACATAAGTTAACTCGCTAAAATTTAGTGTGGGTTCCATGCGGAAAACCCGAGAGATATAATACGGAGTGTCCCATTTTCGTGTATTCTATATGTTTTTTTTTGTATTTACGTGTAGAAATACAAAGATGCTGGCTGTTTGCACCATCACTGTGCTATTTTTTTTTATGAAAAAGTTAAATAATATATATTTTTTACCTTGTTCGTGAAAATAAGTATAGATGTGGTATAGACTATATCATTTTTTCAGAAACCTTATAACAAGGAAAATAAAATTAAAAAATTATATACAGGGCATTACACCTTCATATACAGGGCACTAAAGGGTTAGGAGAAATATGTTTGTAGCATCTTTAATTTCATAAAAAGTAGCATATAGTATTGTGAAAACCGCCACTTATAAACGAGAAACCTTGCAAATCACCCGAACATGGGACACCCTGTACATCACAATTGCGTTGCTGCGGTTTTTGTAATAAGACTTTATTACAGACGGAAAGAAGAAAGGACCTATTAAAAAGTTCCACGATAGATTTTTTCAAAATATTACCAATACCACTGTTACCAATACTACAAAACCTGTTGATGTATGTTTGGGAAATACCGGTAATGAAGGTTTACTGTGTTCAGCTCAGTGCGCTAAAAGAAATTACACTGTAGGATTTTGTATAAATAAGTGCTGTAATTGCGTATAAAATGTTATTTAGGTATAATATAATGTAAAATACCTATTAGGGGTTGAAAAAAAAACATCAAAAATCAAGATTTTTAAGAAATAAATCTTGATGTTTATTTTTGTTTTTTTTTTGTATTAATAAAACAAGTTGTTTTTTCGTCACATTTTGTTTTTTTTTGCCATTCTTTAAATTTTCATGAAGATATACCAAACAATCGAAAAAAAAACGGCGTCAAAGACGGCTGGGAATAACAATCGATGATAATTTTGGTGAGGTCAAGCCCTAGATGTCATGGCTTACCCTTTTTTTATTTATTATTGGCGGTTACTGCCAGTTATTGGCGTTAAGAAGGTTGCAATTTATTTTTATACTGAGTAAAAATGATTTTTAAGTGGTTTAGTTTAAAAATCGAGAAAAAATATTTTTTTGGAAATAGATTTGTGTGTCTGCAAACGTTCTATCCTTTTTTAATCTAATTAGTGTTATTTTTTGACAAGTTTTTTTTGTCTATTTTTAGTAAATGGCGTCTAGATTGACCTCTCCAAAAGTATTATTGATTATCATTCCTCAGCCGTTTATGACGCCGTTTTTTTTTTCAATACGGTACTGTGATGGTACTTATCCCATACATTTTATTTGTGAGAAAATAAGTAAGTTCTAGTAGCTAGTAAGTTTTAGCTCTATAGGTAGGTACATAGAGTTCTATATAAATTATTATAAATCGACTAGCTGTCTAATGAATAGGCTGTGATTTTTTATAAATAAATACAACATGTTTTTTGCTGTATTTATTTATTCTTTTGCTGTATTTATTTCTTCTATCATTGAATTCCTATCGATGTTTTCACAAAAAAAAAATATCAAGAGAATTATTATATCATCAATTAAAAAAACTTTTTGTTACAACAGGAACTGTTTTACTGGTTATCTACATAGAGAGGTCAGAAGATTCTAAAAGAACAAGTAGGTGCCAGAAATTTATCTTTGTTTACAAACAACTCGTAATTTCTCACACATTATTAAGTCGTTAATCTTTCAGAGAATTTAGTGAGAATACCAGCGACCGAGACTAGAGGAGTCGCTGCGAGAGCGCTAAAATTTTGCCCGTCTTACGTAAAAACAATCCTGCTAAAATTAGAAAGTTGCGCCAGCGATCTCTTTTTCATATACTGAAAAATCAACATGGCGCTGAAAACAATTGTTGAGTGATAATCGGATTATAAAACAGGTATTCTGTTCGTAACATGGATCGCAAGAAAACCGAGTGATGTTTCTGTGTAAATGTAGTTTATTAGTTTATGTGCTAGGCCCTTCCACGTTCAGCAGGTAGGTCTTTGACCTTTAAGCAAATAAAGACCATACATTATCAAGAAAAAAGGGGCATTAGCCCGATTTTTATACACCTCTTTTTCGGTTCCAGATAGCATAGGTGCTAGGACTCAGAAATCTGTCGCCATGGCAGACAGTCAGGGGCAAACAGTTGAATATCAGTGGGCCTACTCGATCATGGATTCCAGTCGTGTCTCCACTTTTTTAATATCCATGTTGCTCATAGTGTATGGTAGTTTTCGAAGTTTAAATATGGAACAAGAGGCCAGAGATAGAGCGCATGGGTCCACAAATTGTCTTCTGAATCCATCGCAAACTGTTCAAACCGAGAACAATGTGCAAACTTTGGATACAATGCATGCATTATGTTTGCCATTGGGGGCTAGCATATCGCTTTTGGTCATGTTCTTTTTCTTTGATTCCATGCAGATGCTGTTTGCAATTTGTACAGCAAGTAAGTACCTTAGTATTTAAAGAACTTCATTTACCATAATATTGACAAAAAAATAAGTGTCAGAGTTGGCTTGGAAAAAGATCACTATCATTTTATATGGCAAATGTCACTGATATTCATTTACAAGCCAATTTGATGACTGTTTTATTTAATTTATACAGTATTTATCAGCTAAAATTAATCAAATACACCTCAAATAATCTAATTTCGAACTCTGTTGAGCAAAGACATAACTTTCACCAAAATTGTTTCATTTATTATTGTGGTGTAATGCTTTTTTTTATTAACAGTATTTCTATTTTATTTTAAATTTTTTAAATAGGTATCTTACTTTCCTTTTATCGTATTTCTATCAACCTATTAACCTATTTTTTTTTCATTCAAAGTGAGAATGCCAAAGTGAAACCTTTAAAAAATAAGATTATGAGCTTTATTGTTCTATAGGCTGGAAGTTTTTGCAAGACATAGTTAATTGAATTAAAATATAGTGTTGTCATAAGAAAATAATACGTAATGTGTAAAATGCATGGCCAAATTTGAGGAGGTGATTGGTCAGGAAATGAATTGTTTTAAAGATACCTACAGGATGTTAATATTTTAAAAAAATAGTTTTTTTGCAAATTTCTTACTTATTTTTTTTTAACATCACTAACATCAGTGTTATAAATTGTAACTATTTGCAAATTGAAATTAGATTTTTTAAAGTTTTTTTATTGGGGTTCCAAACCCAAAAGTTACATTGATTTGGTTATATTTTTTTTTCTCAAAAAGTGTTCTAGGCATGTTGAACAAGATTCAAAAAAGTTGTATTTTTAGATGCATAATCTAACAAATTTTCTCTAAAAAATTTCTAGCAACCCTAATATTCAATCAATTAATTTCAAACCCTAATATAGTTTGAAAGAGCATTTGAATCTGCTTCGATTTATTTAAAAAAATACAGGGTGTTGCATTTGAAGTAACGAAGTTTTTATATAAAATATATCCTTAAAATAGATCAGCAACTTTTGATAGCCCTGTATAAATTTAAGGAACCAATACCATTTTTCAGTAAAGTTTATTTCTCTACCTTTAAACTCTGCATAATAATTAATTCTGAAAAGTAATGTACAGGGTGTTAATAGTCGATTCTATTGTACCATGCAAATTTAAATATCTTTAAATATCTCAAAAACTAAAGATTTTAAACATATTTAACCCTTATAATAAATGCCTTTTTTTGGGCCCAAGAATCCAAAAATGAAATAAAATACCGGGTGTTCCATAAGAAAAAATATAACTTTGGTATGGATCTTAGTTATGAAACACCCTGTATATTTTAAAATCATTTTAAATTGTGCATATTGTCTCCCCATATATACCCATAAAATATTTTGTTTCTACATCTTTCCGGTTTCGGATAATCAACCGAGGCGAATGAGGTGCGCCACCCTGTATTTTCATGGCTGGTAGATATCTCAATAAAAGAAACATATTTTCTCTTTACCGTTTTGTCAAATAAGTCCAAAATAACTGAGCTATTTTACTTTGAAAAATAAAAAAAAGATTTTTTGCTTAAATATGTATTGATTTTCTGCGTTTTCTTTTCCTGTAAGTTTAATATTCTACCTATGCTGCCATAAAATCATGTTATTATGCTTTTCAACTCAAAAATAAAAAAAAAATAGATTTTTTTGAAAAATAGCTAATTTTCAATCAATCAATATTTTCCCTTTGCCGATTTCCAATTTTTTTTGTCCAAAAATATAAGTCCAAAATAACCGAGTTATTCAAGTTTGAAAATTAAAAAAAATTGTTTTATTTTTAAAAAAAGTTGTGAGCCACCGGATTTTTTCTGTATTTGCATCCCTTCTAGTGCCGTAACCATGGTAATATTTGAGATTGAAATTATAACATGGGAAAATTTCTTTGGAAAATTTGCAGTGAACAGGCAGTTCCAAAAAGTTTTTTAAAACATACAGGAAAATTTTAAAGAAAATTAACAATAATTGTTCATTTGTTCATTTTTTTCAAAAAAAGATGTTGACAATTATTGTCAACATCTTGTTTGCGAAAAAAACTCTTAGTTGTGTTCCTGGGGTAGAAATGTACCACCATTAAAAATATTTTCACTTATTTAAGATTTACCCTGTATTATTTACTAGTATGGTATGTTTAATATACAATATGTCCCCAATTGTCTTTACAAGAGGAAAAGTTTTTTATTATTAACAATTTGAGAAAAACGTATTCTTCATAAAATTGTTTGCTTCATTTAAAATGGTTAATCATACGTTATTCCTACCGTATGATCGAAAAAAAAACCGCATCAGCGATGGCTATGAAATGAAGCTCGCTGTCATTTTATATGTAAATTTTTATGGGAAGTGTTATTGATCGTCATATCCCAGCCAACTGGACGCCGTTTTTTTTTTCGATCATAATAACAGTATATTCGCAGTTTTTAAATCAATGTATTTAATCTTATTTTTCATATTATTGTGACTACATGACTACAATTCAAAACAATAAAATGTGAAGTATCTAATATTTGATGGTTTCAAAATATTATTTTGATTAATACATATCTCTTCTATGAAGCAATATGCACATTTTTTCATTAGCGAATCAACTGTATGTAATAAAAAATAATCAGAAAAAATGCAACGCTTTTGTACCTTTAAACAATAGGTACTGTGAGTATTCCTAATAAATTGTGTAATGACAGTATGGCGAAAGAGTTAATTACTTTAGACAATACATACTTTAAAATTTTTAAGATATCTTTTTCTATCTGTGAATGATATACAGTGTGGTCCGAATTGTATTCGGGAGTATTCGGCAGATAAAGACGGGTAAAAAGTTCGTATAAATTTATGCCCTAAAATAATTCGTTTCGGAGACAGGGTATGGAAATTTCATAGTAAATTCGATTTTTTGCAAATAATTCCTGAACTAATATCGATATTTGAATGAAAATTGGTGTCTGGATGTTTTTTTGACACGAAAATTTTGATTTCGATGTCAATTTTCGTCCGTACCTGTATAAAACCACGTAGTGAAAATATATACATTTCCGCCGTTTTTACGTAAAAAAATGTCTCTTGGTAAAAATTGCTACGAGCATCCGTTCCCCAGATATCTAGGATTATAGAAATTATCAATACATGTCATCATGGACAAAAAATAAACATGTTGACTAGATAGTTATTTGAATGAAATGATAAATTTGGGAACCTTTTATTTTTTTAAATTAATCATAATTTTTGAAGTGACACACGGCCTTGAGTGAGGTTACAAACAGAGTGAACCGCACCTCGATATCTCCCTGTTATATGTCAGTGGTCCCTTACTCTTTCATCTCCTATATTAAATCGCTTTTCGCAAATATTACAATGCGTTAACCGATAAAACTCAGCTTCTTGTACGCTACTGAGAGTAGGCACGGATACAATATTTTTCATAAATCGATTGTAGATTGATTTTCAATCAGTCTCTATATAACCAATCTATGGAAACTTTATGTGCATCAGGCCCTCTAAAAGTCTTGAAAATCGACTGAGAATTATCAAAATCGCATTTAATATAATAGACAAAAGAATAAGGAACGTGTTGGTGTGTTTCCACCGTATAGGAAATTTCAGGATCCAGCTCGTTTTGCTCTGTTTGTAAAGGTTCCAAAATAGTTTCAAAATCAGCGTATACAAAACAAAGGGTACTTTTAATTTTTGTTCGAAATTTGTAAATTTAAGGATATTCTCGGGAATATTTTCGCCATATTTATTTTTCTTTAAATTATCCGAAGGAGTTTCGACTATAACATGGCCACAATCATATTTTTGATGATTTTCTAATTTAATATCTGAAGAAAAATAAACCAAGCAACCATCGCATAAGAATTTTGAATGTTGTTGGCCTGAAAGTTGGTTTGAGATTAGGCGAGACATATTTCTTATTAAACAGTAATGATTATTGATTATTGCAGGAATCATCACTGATTAATTACAAATTAACATGTCTATCTACCTTATGAGATCTAGTAAAATACAAAGGACCTACGATCTACAACTTCAACAATATTCCTATCATGTTTATAACCCTTCTCGAGCCCATAAACATTCATAGAAATATTATTGAGTTGTTCGAACTTTGAAATTTGTTTCAAAGATATCGGAAAATCTAAACCTCTCACATCCAATTCCTCTTCAAAAGGTTGATAATTTTGAACTCTGTTGGCATGCTGAGTCCAATGAATTGGGTGAAAGGCAGCTGAAACCGATCATACTAAACATTTTTGATCAGTGTTTTGTATGTTCAACACACACAGCCTTTTTCGAGCGAGCGTTTCGTTTTTGAGCTAGCGAGAGGAAAAGTGATAGCGGCAGTGTTAAATCATCCTTCAATTTAATAGTTGTTAGCAAGAAGTTTCACTTCAAATATGCGCACATAGTGCACACTATGATAAAACAGTTTCTGTTGAACCTTTGACACATTAACTATAGTAAGTTTACATCATTTTTTAAAAATATTTTTATCATAAAACATACTTTTGTAAAAGACTGTATATTGTTACATTGTTACAACTAAATTAAACGTTCATTTATATATTTCTCTCTTTTTTTTGCAGTAATAGCAACAGTGGCTCTGGCCTTTCTGCTCCTTCCCATGTGTCAATACATCATAAGGCCATGTTCGGACGGCAATAAAATCTCGTTTGGGATATGTGGACGGTTCACGGCAGCTGAACTGCTTTCCTTTTCCTTGAGCGTCTTCATTGTATGCATATGGGTACTAACAGGTAATACTATACTTTTCCTTAATCTATTTATAGAAGCTATAATATTTTTTTTTAAAATAAGGATTTCTGGCATTGTCGTTAGACGAATAAAATTGATTCTCTATCAGCTCCCTTCCTTTTATATAAAATATTATATGATGTAAATGAATAGGACAATACACATGCACACTATCCGTTCCGTTTCCCTTCCGTTCCATATCCTTTCCTTCCATACATTTTTTTGGCGGACGCGGACTGACTGAAGCGTATCGGAAACAGCGTTGTCAAGTTCTTACATCTGTGCCAGCTCTGTTAACATTTTGGTGCTATTTATTTATTCTTTCACCTCTTAATTAAATCTATTACCTTTTTCAAAAGATACAAGTTTTTAAAATAAAACTGTCGTAATGATATAAATTGTACAATAAAAAGTATGGAACTGATACGGAACTGAAGCTTATGTATAGCCTCAATACAATAAAAAATGCGGAACGGATATGGAATGGAAACGGAAGGTACAGTGAGAATCAACCTATATGTATCAAATTTCAGAAATTCTAAGGAATGGAATTTTTCCGATATATCAATAACTATATTTATCGATATATCGTATCGCGATCTATACCTATCGATGTATCTATAGATAGCATTTCTATGAGTATCGGTTATTGATAACTATCGATATACCGGGTGCGTCTCAAAAGTGGCTCATCCCTATTACTTTTTTAATTTTTCAGATAAAAAATCGAGATTTGGTATGCTAGTATATGACATAAATTAGGATTGTTTGACGTTTGACGTATTCAGTTGTTTTTGGTCACTTCCTGTTTCATTCGAAATTACTACAACTTTTGATTTTTAAATGGCACCCTCGGTATTTTGTTACTGTATTCTCTCTCTGAATAGAATGACATATCATATATCGTCGGTTTACAAGCAAAACACACTAAGTCAAAAAACGAATACACTTTTAATGCAATTTTTAATGAACTAATATAGCGCCATTATGGACTTAATGAATATGAAAATAATTTAAAAATTAAGCTAATAATTCTTAGAAGGTATAGTCGATTTTTCCTGGATATAGATCTATATTCTGGAAGAAATCTAGTCAAAGGATATAAATAAATCAAAATTAAAATATTAATTAGACTAGTGTGTTTTGCGACGATATCAACTTTTGACATTTTCAAATATGGTTTACTTGAAATTGCAACATGCGGTTCATAACGACAATTTGACTCGAAATACCAAGTGTGTGGTACCAAATTATTCGTAAAAAATACTTTTTCCAAATATGCTAATGAGCCACCCTCGTTCCATTTGAAAAAATTGAGATATGATTAAAAATACGATTTGGGAATCTTTAACTGGCCAGGACAAGACACTAAAAACACGAGATCATAAAGTCTATTTTTCCAAGGCTCCTTGATTAAAAATTAGTGTTTTTAAATGTGTATCACTAGATTGAAATTTAAAATACAATATTTTTCGCGAGTATGTCAAAATTAGACATATGATATGTCATTCTATTTAGAGTGTCATTTTCTATTGAATAAAGTAAAAAAATACCGAGAGTGCCATTTAGCCCTCAACGGGCGTGGCGAATTTTTGTAACGCTTATGGCGTGCTGCAATTCTTTTTTTTAAGTTTACATTACATGATGAAGAGATTTTATAAAAAGCTTGTTTTTTTAACACTGTTTACAATATATTCAAACTTGTGAACAAACAATTTCATTAATTTTCAACAAATTAATAAGAACGGACACAAAAATAAAGTAAAACGCATTTTTTAGGAATTTTTGACAACAGAAATATAACTTGGCTAAGAAAGCCATAGAAATTAAAAACATATATATTTTATGATTTTACCGTATTATTAAAAGTACAATCAACTGAAATGTGAAGCTAAAGTAATAAACATAAATTATTTTCAACAAAACTGCAAACCTTGAATGTACATAACTTTTTCAAATACAGTTCATGCTAATATAGGATCTGCATTTGCCGCACATGGATCGTGCACATTTGATTCATGAGATTTTTGTTTTTTGTCATTTCTTTATTGACATATGGTTGCCATATACCACATCTCTTTCTTTTCTGGTATTGATTATTCAATTTTCTCTCTTCTGTAAGTAAGAGACTCAGAATCGGAGTTATGGTTACTGTTCGGAGAAAAATCAATGTCTCGATGGTCTTCATCTCACTTAAGCCTCTTTAAGTTGATCAAACCTCTCAATTAATGCTTCCTCAAAATTAGCGTCCGAGTGAGGGACACTTTTTAGACTACCCACCATCCTAATAATGTAACATTCTTGGCGTGGTGGTGCCACACAGACCCCAATGAAACTTTAGCCCCCGCTGGTAGGAACAATACTTGATAAAATCAAGTGCGCCTTTAACAGTTGCATATTGGTACCCTAACTTAAAGGTAAATGGCGCGGCGAGGCCTAATTCTTAAACGTATATATTTTAGAGAGGTTTAAATAGTGCTTGGGGTCCGCTGGAACCCACCACGCCACACAGTGGGGTATTTGACACAGATAGTTGATCGAAATTTTTTTATGCATACCTTATATAAATTATTGCTATTTTCAATTAAAGAGGAAATAATATGAACAAAAGAAAGGATAATTCGTCGAATCTAAAAAAAGAAAGAAAAATCACTGTTCCAGTGTTTCCACGGTCAATGCCACTAATGCCAGTAGTAATATCGCAACTAATACTACTAATGCTACGACTGATCCGCGAGCAATGCCCATACCATAAAGTAACTAAAATAAAAGAGTGTTTGAAAGGTTGTCTAACTTGGCCATAATGTTGCATAGTTCAGTTAGGGCTCCAAAGCGTCGCCACCTGCTACCTGTCACGTGTCATGACAAGATTGACAAGTGACATGACAGCAAATTATTTGTATTTTGCAGTTGTTTACAATTATGTTTTGAATTTTGGAATTTTGTTATTATTTTGTGTAGCATATACTTTGTTTGTTTGTTTTGTGTTTGTGCGTACAGAAATGATGGAGGAAGTTTTATTTCCCGAGGAACTTATATTTCTCTATGATTTGAACTTTGTTTTGTGCGATGTGTTTTACGGTCATCATGTAATATTTTGTTCAGTCGATGATGTGATTTGAACACGATCCAGGAAAGGGTATCATGCAAAGCAAGTTCGATATGTAAAGACATTGCCCATCTCTGAACTCGATGAACGTAAAACGAACTGACTATATATTCGCGCCTTGATTTCACAGTGTTGAACATTTGCTACCTCAACTAAACTTCAACTGCTGAGTTTATAAATCCAACTTACAGGTGAATTAATTTTTGATGATGTCTTATTTAAATCTTAATCTGTTATAATAGCATAGATTGCAAACCCTGCGATCTTATATGGTTTGTTAGTGGCGTTGTTAAATAAGTTTTATAATACTATAGGTTAATCGAGGGGTAAACCGCTGGTGTATTTTGGTGTACAAGATGTTGGCATTTTTGGCGTTTTCGTAGTATTATTGGTATTAGTACTAATTATTTGGCATTAGTGTACAGAAATTCATCAGCGGTTTACCCCTCGAGGTTAATTCAGCATATGTATATGTTTTATATTATCAAATATAATTTAGCATTTAACTGTAAGCATTTGAAAAGTGTACAATAGTTTATATTTTTCAAATATTCCGTTTTTAAAAATAAATTTTCATTATATTTTTTGCAGTTTGATTTCGTAATATTTTTAAAAACACAAAAAATTTTTAAATTCACATTTAAACTGCCCGCCTTTTTTGTGGTAGGTAATGCAGATACCTATTTTACCGATTACGTCTGTCATATTTGTATTAGTTCAGTTAGGGCTCAAGGGTGCGCTACAATCGATCCTCGTTAAACGTGTTGCCTACTTTTGACTATGGAAATGACAACTCTTTTATTTTATATTTCTCTATGGCCCATACCACTAAAGTCGCTACTAATGCCAAATTGTGCTATACTGCTAATGGCACTAATGCGATCGCTTTGTACACAACAATGTCATCGCGGTTTACACCTCGCATTAGTATATCACTGATTGGCAAATTAGAGGAAACCAAGAATGTTTTTCTCATTTTATCAGCAAAGTCGCAGTATTTTATTTTACTGTATGAAAGCCCAATGTTTACTAAGTAAAACGTATATAGACAATATGCTGAATTCTTCGAAATGCGCAACTAAATCTCTAAGTATAATAAAAATGTCACAAATTTAATCAAATTTTCTGAACGCCTAACTTTTAGTTGCAAAAAAAAATCATTAGTATAGAGAATATCAAAATAAATAATACGTTTTTGTAGAATACATACCTGCAGCTTGCTGAGCCATTTTCAATCAAAACAATAATATGAACGTAAAAAGAGCACAAGAACAACAATTTATAATTTTAAACATACCATTTAGCCATTTACCTCTTATCTGTGAGAAGTAACAACTTTGACGTTTCGTTGAAACAAATGAATGCAACTAAACACACCCATAGCAACGCATAACTTGTCATTTATCTTTTTTTGGGAAATCTTAAACACATTTGCTTTTTTGAATTTCGATCACCTTTTTCATGCTAATACCCCACCGTGCGCCAGTTGAGGGTTAAAAATCAGAAGTTGTAGTCATTTCCGGCGAAGGGCACCAAACTTTAAAAAATAAACACATTTTTTTAGATATTTTAAGAACCGTTATTCTGATATTTGAATGATATTTTGGGTGATTATGTTTTGCTGGAAATGACGATCGATGACATTTTCCATATAAATTTACATATAAAATGACAGCGACCTTCATTTCATAGCCATCGCTGACGCTGTTTTTTTTTTCGATCGTACGGTATATTATAATAAAATTAAGTAGCTTATACCGTATGATCGAAAAAAAACGGCGTCCAGTTGGCTGGGAAATGAACATCAATGACATTTCCCATATAAATTTACATATAAAATGACAGCGATCTTCATTCCATAGCCATCGCTGACGCCGTTTTTTCTCGATCATACGGTACTATGTTGCTGGTTCTTCTTTTATTTGATCAAGAGCGTATTTTGATAAAACAAGAAGTTTATTAGACTAATTTTTAGTGCCGTCAGGGTATATCCCGTTAGAGTGTTTATAAAAGCGTAAAGATAACTAGATAATATAAGAAAATAAACATTTATTTAGAGGCAACTATAAAATAATAAATTTGTATATTAAGCAACAGCTTTATGAAGTTAACAAAGAAATTATGATGTACCTATGGCGCTTGCTGTCTTTACGGTAGCAACCTTCCGCGACTATAGAATCATATTATTATTACGTTAATAATAATGCGAAACATGGACCGCAATTACTAATTTTAAATAACTATTAATTATTATACAATAAGAAAAATATATAGTTACGCAAGTCTGATTTTGGTATCATTGAACTTTACGGCTATATTATTTGCCGAATTTGTTTATCAGAATAAATAGACGTTATAGGTGTGTATTGTTTGACTATGAATATTAACTAAAAATGTGTTAGGTATACCTAACGTGGCGACAAAGTTAAATTAGTAGTATACAGGGTGTTTCAAAACAAATAAGAAAAACTTTAACTTTAAATAAAGGTTTGTTTCACAGGGTCCTGCTGTACGTCGGGCATATGTAGCTCCTTTAATAAAAAAAACTTAGAAATTTTGTTTAAGTGCAAACCTAAAGTATGTATATACTAGGATGTATTTTACAGAAATATTTTAACTTCTACTGAATTACTCGAAAAAATTGTGAGTGGATTGAGATATTTTTTTAATGGAACGCCCTGTATATTATTGCATTTTTTGCTTTCTTCCTGATCACTTTACTTAATTCTAAGATATTATTAAATATGTTTTGATAGTTTTAGAGATACGTATCACTAAATAAATAAAAAATATATATTTTTAGCCTTTTTAAAAAAAAATTGTTAAAAATACAAGAAATATCCTGAAATCAAAACTATACTAAGTGTTTAATATAGTTGGTCTTTACTTACTTAAATATCGTAATCTTAGATCATACAGGTGTTCAAAATTCTAAGCCAAACATTCTAAATTATAAAATATTTTTTCTTCATTTTTTTTAAACGGAGATTAAAACGAAGAAAACTTATTTTATATATTAGAAAGTTTGTAACGATGATTAGATAGTTTGCAACGACCAATTGAAGAGTTTGCTGTTTGCCGGCAATATGTGAATTAACTAGGCATTTCAGGAAATGACGAATTGTACTGTTTGACGACGACATACGTATATTATTTTTTATATTAGAAAATCTTTTTTAAATAATTATTAATGTTGTTTTACTGTATCTTCAAATATAAAATCTAATGTTTTTTTTAAATATTAATTGTTTTTTTTTTAACTTAAGGTCACTGGTTACTAATGGACGCTATGGGTATGGGCCTATGCGTAGCATTTATAGCGTTCGTACGCTTGCCCAGTCTGAAGGTTTCGACGCTGCTCTTGACTGGTTTGCTTATCTACGATGTGTTTTGGGTATTTTTCTCCTCGTACATATTCAGCGCCAACGTTATGGTTAAGGTAATTTTATTTTTTTGATAAAAGAATGTTCTGAAACTATTAGTGAGTGCTTTACTCAGTTCACTGTAGACAAAACTGTTCTATAAAACTGCGTGTGTGTGATAGGTAGTACAGTTAATAGTTACTTCACCACAGGTTAACCTGCGTGAAATAACCTGCACAGTCTGAAGGCACAGTCAAAGAACTGAGCGTCAGTGGGGGCTCTTAGAGTGCTCATAACGCAGTTCCATTGGCCACGGTTTAGAATCGCTGTTTCATCTGCGAATTTAAACAAGGTGCAATGATTTAAATCAACGGATTTCTTTTATTTTAATCATGGATTTAAATAAAAAAACCAACGTGTTTGAAAACTTGGCAGAGATTTATTTTTGAAAAGTGCCAGAAATCCGTTATACAAATACATTTTATTCGCAAACTCTAGTGCAGAACTAGTTTCTTCTGATCAGGTTATATTTTTATTCTCGAGGACTATAATCAATGTCAAAAAATATGCTGGTGTCAAGGCTGTTTTATATCTTTTTTGAAACAGCTGAATGTTGATTAAACTAACTTCTGCCTTCCCTAATTTATCTTGTTCATTCAAAATTTCATTTCATTTATTTTATTCTGCAATAAGTACTTTGCACTTTGAACATTAGATGGTCTAATTTTATTCTCCGACTTAAGACAGTCATGACTATTTCCAAAAAAAATCTCTTTGATCCTTTGATCGGGCCATTTTTTGCGGAAATAGGGGCATCAGATAAGTTTATAGAATAAAATATATCGGTGACCGATGTGGAAAAACGACACGCGAAATAGAAATGTTAATATTATCGATATCGGATTTAGCCATTTAGGATAGGATAAATTTAGAATAGGATAGGACTTTAAATAGAAAATTGATTAAAATCAAAAAATTCCGATTCAAATAAAGAAAAATCTGATTAAAATAAAAAGGGGTTTTAGTGTGTCGGTTTTGTTTTGTTTATTATACTCCCTATTTACACTCTGTATACAAACATAAAATGAAAACTGAACATAAACTTGATTTTTTTAGGTGGCTACTAGACCGGCTGAAAATCCCGTGGGTCTAGTTGCACGGAAACTGCACATTGGGGGCGTTGCCAAAGAAGCCCCCAAACTTAGTCTACCAGGAAAATTAGTCTTTCCTAGTATACATAATTCGGGACATTTTAGTATGTTAGGTATGTATCAGAGTATCAGATAATGTCAACAATTTTTACATACAAGGTGGCTCTATAGGGTATGCCATAGGGCCACTCTGAAGTGTAATGTAGCCCATGTAGTGTATAGCGAGAGTTTCAAATTCGATTCTCGCCATTGGGATCTTGGAAACAGTAAAAGATACAGGGTGGTTACTGTCAAAATAAACTCGTAAAAAAGAAATTAAAAACGAAAACCGGAAATTTCAGTTTTTCTTTCATATTTTCGGAAATGACAAAAATAAGTTCAATTACTAAACGGATTGCCAATGGGCTCACTAACGGGCAACTTTACCCCAATTTAAGCCATCCTGTATCTCTTACCGTTTCAGAGATCCAGAGCGAATTTTCGCTCGAGTTATTCCATCACTAATCCCAATGGTGAGAGCCGAATTTGAAACACCTTGTATAATACTAATTTTTATATTTAAAAAACGGTATATCCGTCACATTTTTCGATGCTCTCCGTATACCCTAAAATATGAAAATGTTACCAAATGAATGACTTAAATAATTGTATGTAACCTTTTGTGTAACTCTGCTCTGTGGCTGACTCGATTTCGAAAATTATTTCTACCAACGTCTGTTTTCAGGTCTTGGCGATATCGTGATGCCCGGTCTGCTGCTGTGCTTCGTCCTGAGATACGACGCGTACAAAAAGTCCCAAGGTTTGGCCCCGTCCGGTTCCAAGCTCACGTACTTCCACTGTTCGTTACTGGGCTACTTTCTGGGCCTCCTGACTGCTACAGTCAGCTCGGAAGTGTTCAAGGCGGCCCAGCCGGCGCTGCTCTATCTCGTCCCCTTTACGCTGTTGCCATTGTTGACTATGGCTTATTTAAAGGTAGGTACTCTTTGCTCTATTATTATTTATTTATTAATATACAGCACTCAACAGATTACGCCTGTTATTGAGTGGGTAGGTAGTACAATATAAAAAATACGACAAACACATAAAATCACACACAAAAATAATAAAGACAATTAGAAAAACTTTCTGCAGAGATAACAATAAAATTAGGCACAAAATTCAAGTACAGAATGCAACTAAGCTCTTCAAACTGAGGTTATAACAACCGAAGCCAACGGTTGAAAATATCAAATTTGTCCTGATGTACGCGAAGAGGCCACATAAAATGTAAAACTATGTATAGAGCTAGGTTAGGTTTAGTTAGGTTGCTGGTATTTGGGATCATGTTTGATCCCTCACTCGGAGGCCTTGGGTCCATTGCGTTACCCTTGTATTGTTGTAACAAACCTTCCGCTCATTCTTTCTTTGCGTTAAAGCACTTCCAGTTCTTTGCAAAGTTCCCTATGTGGCTAATGTTGGCTTCTGCTGCTTCCTCTAGTCCCTCCAAAAAAACTTGCCCTAAAGTTTCAAAGCGTCGGTATCCCAGTGCCGGACAGTGGCACATCAGGTGCTCTATGGTTTCTTCTTTCTCTCCGCATTCTCTGCAGTAGTCGTCGCGTCGTTGGAAATCTTCCAGTAATGACTCCTACAATTATGCGTATAGTCTGTCCAACGAGAAGATCCTTGACAGTGATAGATGTGTCTGTCATTTTAATTTCAGAGTAGTTTATTTTATTTTACAAAGAAATAAGTTGGTACAACTGGAACGCATAGCAGGAAATTAATATATATATTTAAAATTTGACTGACAAGTAACTTCAAAATATTGTGAAAAAAACTGTATAAAACTAAAAAATGTAATTGAGTTATCTTATTTAATAAAAAAAGGTATGTGTTAATACAAAACTAACAAAAAAAAAAGACACCACATACCAAAAAAATATAAAAAAGAACTATTTCTTACTTTCAAGCTTTATAAAACTTCCCGCATTTATGATTATATTTATCAATATAACTTATGTACAAATACAAATTTGTAATATTCCGCAGGAATAAATAAAACAACATAAATAAAACAAACTATTTTATTAATAATAACATTTACCAAATTTTATACCGCACAGGTTGATTAATTAACTTTAATATTATTTTTTTTAAAACCAGTACCTTTTGGCATTATTTTTCTGCAGTACTAAAATCCATTATTTATCTATCGTGTGATGTCGATATTTATGTGTTTAGTATGTGTATGTTTTTAGTATGTGTTTAGTATGATCCTTCTACCATATTCGAGATTCACTTATCTACGACGAGATGGTACACGAACTTTATTGATAGTAACTTTATTGGTGGCTGCTTTGGTGGCTGTATAAGACTTTCTGCCTGGGCAGCGACTATTAACCATAAACTGTGCTCTGGGTTCTACAATTTTCACTTGATTTTTCCTCCACTTGACTTCAAAAGACACAAAACACACGTAATAACACGAATCAAAATGCATCATCTTCCAAAACGCAGGGTATTTGACAGAAGTTGTCACAAAATTATAACCTTTAATTTGGCAAGACTTTGACAAGCGTCAAAAATTTAAAGGCGAGTTCATACGCATCGGCGTCCGTTTGTCGTTCATCGTTCCGTCAAACCAATAAAATTGAAATACGTCTGTCATTTTTTAAATAAACCAATAAAACTGGTTAAAAACAACAAGAGACGACGCATGACGGATTTATATTTAAATCCATCCATAGTTAACTTAAAAATTATTAGAAACTTTTTTTAGTAAAATAAATAGATTGGTATGGGACGTCATCTGCTTTTCTTCTGTCATCGTCTGTCGAAATCTTACCTGAGAAAAAAAACAGAGTATACTAGGTTCTTTTTGTGCTCTAGTAGTTGTTTTGTATTTTTGCTATCTACCACTGGCCACAGTCTTCGAGCTATAGCGCAGTCCTCACGATATTGTTACGTCTCTTACTGCTTGGTTTTGATGGTAGTTCCTATAGCTTCCTTCAGTGTGTTGATCGTCACAAGTGGTGGGTCATCTGCCACGGCCCCTCCCCTTGCCCCCTCTTTGGCGAGTCTGTCTGCTTTTTGATTGCCCGGCACAAAGCACAAAGTGGCACCCAGCACAAAGTGGCCCCGCCTTAACGCAGCCAAGACAGTGCTTCTCGGCAGTCCATCACAGTGTTCGATCTCACTGATTGCATGATGATGCTTGTTAAAGCGCCCAAGCTGTCAGAGTATATCACGATATCTCCTATTGGTCTTTCAGCAATATACAACTGGCCCCTTCCTTTATAGCGTAAACTAGTTTTTTAGTTCTTAGTTCCTCTGAGAAGATGCCTATACCTGTGCCTCCTGAAGTGACGGAAGCATCTGTGTAGACTGCTATCTCTTGAGCGTTCATTACTAGGTTGTTTTCCCATTCTTTCTTGTCGGGATGCGATTCCTTATCTTTTCTCCAAAATCATGTTTAGTGAGCATATAGTCCGCTTTCTGGTCTAGCAGATGGTGTTCGTCATGATTTTCCCTATCATTGGCAATATCCTCGAGTGGCCGTAGTTGGTCTGGTTCCACAGATTGGATTCTCTTAATCTAAGGACGCCCTTAGCGGCCAGATCCTTCACGAGCCAGTCGATTGATTGCAAGTCCAGAATTACTTCTAGCGCAGCTTGCGCTGTGTTGTTCCTTGCTCCAGTCTTTGCTCCAGTTGTACCTAGATGTGCTAATCCCTGTACTTTTGTGAGGCTTTTTCCATTAGTCTCTTTATGTACCGCTTCCGACCATACTAGTGCTTCATAGATGATAATTGGTCTAACGACCGTACTGTACATCCAGTGTATAATGTACGGTTGCAAAACCCATCTTCGTCCAAACATTTTCTTGCATGCATAGAATGCATTTATTCCCGTTATCATCCTTACCTCCGTGTTCTTTTTCCAGGAAAGCTTCGAGTCCATTATGATTCCTAAATATTTTGTTTTCTTAGCAAGTACAAGTGTCTTTCCTTCCAGCTTTGGTAGCGTGAACTTGGGTATCTTGTAGCAGTTGGGTTATAGGAGTCTTCAGAGCAGATTCCATGATCGTCTGCAAGTCTTTGCCAACAATCTGTATTAACACGTCGTCTGCATATGCCTTTATCCTAATTTCCTTCTTTGTCTTCCACAGCCGTTTTTTTTTTAATTGTATGGTATGTTTTTGTATACTTTTTACAGTAAATAAATAAATAATTAATCAATTGGCTCCACTGATTTATATTTTTTTGTTTTAGGGCGACTTAAGACGTATGTGGTCGGAACCTTTCAAATCTTTAAGTGTGTCGAAGCATTTACAAGATGTGTGATAAAAACTCATGGTACAACTGTTATAAATGTAGGAAATAGTTATTCATTGGAAGAGATGATGATAATAAAAAGAGCGAATATTAATAGAATATCAGTTCCTTTACGATCAGTACTTGCTTTCAAAGTGAACGTGGAGTTACATTGACGTAACTATTCTAGCTTTAATTATTATTTAAACGAACAAAAAGTGTTTTATTCTTTATTTATAGTAATGTTATTTAAATTACAAAATGTATTGGAGTGTTTAAAGAGTGTTATTGTCTAACTGCAACATTAAATTATATTATGCAAGTGGCAAGCTTGGCTTGGTCAAATATTCTTGCAATTTTTTTTCTGAACACCAGATACTATATTCGGTTAGACCTTTAAATAAAAAGATTAAGAAAGGTGGTAAAAATGGTAAATTTAATTTCGGGATTAAACATACACCGGGATCCCGGTTTGGAAACCCTATTCAGAACCTCGGAATTGGTGGGATAAATTAGTGGTTTCAATTAGCGTAGAAGTTTGTTCCTCTAATTTGAATGTAAGCATTCCGAAAGTCAAAATTAGTGGTAGGAATTTTCAATTAGTGGAAAAAGTTAACAAACTTTTAACTTTTCCAATAATAATACTTCTAAATTTTATTATATCACCCGTGAAAAGAAAATGTGGTTAGAAATCAACAGTTTATTGTTTTGTTAGCTAAATATTAGGTTTTTTCTATGGATACAACTGACTACCGCAAGCTGTTGTTAGGATATTCTATTAATTTTAATTGTGTTTTTTTTAGACATTGGTGAATGATCGTAAATTAAGTAGTATAAAGTGTAATTGAAACCACTAATTTATTTCAGTAATTGCGAGGTTCTGAATGAAGCTATAAGCTTCTAGATTTACTGCCTCCGAACATAACCAATGTGCATGAATACACAGCATTATACTCCTCCCTTAACCTTTTTATTCAAAGGGTTAGACAATACAAATTTATCAAGGGCGGCTCGTCACTAAGAGCGTTAGTGCGCGCGCACTGTCAGAGAAATCAAGAAAAAATGAGATTTTATAAAATCTTAATATAAAAAATATATATATATATATTATTAAATTATGGTGCATTTTCACAATTTTTTTTGCTCCAAGTTTGACAAACAGTCAAATTTTTTTGTGGTCCTAATATTTGGTAGTAGCGGACACCCGTTCTTATACTTCACGAGCCGCCACTGAAAGTTATGCATAGCATATATTTAAAGATTTTGTTTTTGGACAATAATGTAGAGAAATTTATTGCTTATGTTTATTTATGATTCAAATGGTTTTGTAAAAAAAATAATTGAGAGGGAGAAATGTTATATATAATATGATTATAAATAAATATAATTAAACAAATTGAACATACCCGGTGGCCCATTAGTGCGAGGAAGTCCAATATCGTCGTTGTTCACAAATATATGAAAAAAGTTTTATACAAATAGTATATACAAAATAATTTTATGCTTAATCCAATTCCGTACAAAAAAATGTGAGTTGCAATTTAAAAAAAAAACTGTAACATCTTGTGTACAACAAAATATTTTTGGGATATGCACCTTTTTATACCATGCATTTTTTTATATCTTCGTCAATAACGACGATATTCGAATTCCTGACTCTAACGAGAAAAAATAATTTTGGCAACAAATTTACTTGCATGTGAAGCAAACATAGACAAAGTAAATAAATTTCGATTGGAATAGTCGGCTTCCTGCCAAAACTTAATAATTGTTTTGGATCGCATCCATTGTAGGGCGCTGCTAGCGGTTGCTAATAACACCCGAATACAAGGACAAGTAGCATTTTTACTTGTCAATGTCAGAATCTTCAGAAAATTAGTCTGATAATCTAGTCAGAAAATTAAAAGTTAAACCTTGATTAAACCGCCCTTGTTGAAAAATTCCAAAAACAGTTTAAAGCTTTCTGTTTCAAAGTGATTATTGCGATCTTTTGAGTTTCATTTAAATTTTATTTGGACAAACCCGTTATAATTGTGGTAAAGAAGAACAGCACCAAATAGTATTGACGACTTATCTAGGATGTGAAGCAAACGTTAATTTTACTAGTGAATATCTTAGGTGAATATGTATTTTTGTAGCCAAATGTTTTTTCAAATCTTCCATAATCATTCAACCCTGAGTATATTCTCTCTCTATCATAGAGTATTACAATGACATTTTTTTACATTAACACTAAACATAATTTAGACAATATAAATATTATTTAACATCACATTTTACAATTTTTCTTCAAATTTTTTCATTTATATTTTTTTTTCATTTGATTTCAAGTTTATATCATAAAAATACATGGATTCAATTTTACTCAAACTACAGTCTCTCTATTTTTTACTAAATAATCCTATAGACTTCATCCATGCTAGCTAATTTACAAAAAAAATCTACTAGATACCATATGATCGAAAAAAAAACGGTGTCAAAAACGGCTGGGGAATGACATTCAATAATAATTTTGGAGAGGTCATTACTTGGCCCGTACTCATCTTTATTTTTTAAGGTTGTAATTTATTTGTATATTGAGTAAAAATGTTTTTTAAATAGTGTAGATTAAAATTCAAGAAAAAATAGTTTTTTGGAAATAGATTTCTGTCTGGAAACATTCTATCCTTTTTAATCTTTCTATAATTAGTGTTAATTATTGACAAGTTTTATGTCAATTTTTAGTAAGTGACGTCTAGAGATTGACCACGCCAAAATTATCATCGATTGTCAACACTAGGCGTCTTTAACGCCTTTTTTTTCGATCGTACGGTATTTATTATTGTATTTTCTAACTTTGTAAATATTTTTCAATTCGGTTTTCTTTTGAACAAACTAGGGTCAATATTAAGTGATTGTATAAAATTATATATTATGTAAAAACATACGTGTATATACAGGGTGGTTCAGTGTGTCATCAGGTTCAGGAGATGTTTACTCCTTTATCTTTTGATCCAAAATATGTTTTTTAAAATTTTATCCAAAAAATGACAGAAAATACCATTTGCCTGTGAATTAAGATCACAACGGTCACTGTCAGGGAGTTTCTCGTTGAACGGACTATAGAGCATTTTTAGAACACTGGATTGCCCTGTACAGGATGTCCCATTTTCATGTGTTTTATGGGGTTTCTTGTTTATGAGTAGAGATACAAAAATGCGGTTTCGCATTACTGTGCTTTTGTAAAACTAAAAGTGCTACACATAGATTTGTCCTAGACCTCTTAGTCCCTGAAATACAGGGCGAATTTTAAAATGTTGCATTTTTTGACCACCCTTCGTATCTTGGTCATCTTATAACTTCTAACTAAAAAAGGTAAAAATTGTGTCCCATACAGTTTTTCACATAGAGAATTAGTCACAGTGATGTGTACACCATCTTTGTATCACTACTCATGAACGAGAAACCCCATAAAACACGACAATGAGACACCCTGTACTACATATACATATAAAATTACTTATAAAACTTAGGATACTTTTAAATTACTTTGTATATTTTTTACAAATCTTGTACCTACTGCTTTACTAATTAACTTTAACAGTATCATGACTGACGCATTCTTTAAATATTTTGATTTTTTGCCTTTTGATGTTGACTATTTTAATATTATATATTTTTTTTACTGCAAACATTTCAAAAGACAGAAATATCTGTGTGTGTGATATATGTACATTTTTTTTGTAAAAAATAGAAATTTTGCTTTTGTTTCTTATTGCTTTTTTTGGTGAAATAAAATCTGGTGAATCGAAAAAAATGGCGTCTAAGACTGCTGGAGAATGACAATAGATGATAATTTTGGCAAGGTCGAGCGCTAAACGTCAACGTCTTTTTTTTATTTTTTAATGATGCTTGCTGCCAGTTGGTCTTAAGAAGGTTGTAATTTATTTTTATATCGAGTAAAAATTAGTTTTAAGTGGCGCAGCTTAAAATTCGAGAAAAAATATCTTTAGAAATAGATTTGTGTGTTTATTTTTTTAGTGTTAATTTGTGACAAGTTGTGTGTCAATTTTTAGTAAACGACGCGTAGATATTGACCTCGCCAAAATTATTATCGATTGTCATTCCTCAGCCGTTTTTTTTCGATCATACGGTATTTTATTAAAAATTTATTTAATTAAATTTGTTTTTCCTTTAAAATTCCAATTTTGCCGTATCTATAGAGGCTAAAAAATGATATATGCCATTAATTTTAGATTTTCTAAAAATGGGATATATTTACAGAGCAATGGTTGAAATAGTTGGCTATTCTGATTTTACTCGTTTGGTTTGCTACAAATGTAATAACGCGACATAGCCTTGACCGTGCCTTGACGCACGAGCTAGCGAGAAAAAAAGTGGTGGGGATCGTGTAAACACCAAAAAACATTTGATTTAAAGCTAAGAAAAGCATTATAATAAACTTAATAGTGTACCTGGGTACCAATATCCTCTGGTTGCGTGCTAGGATGTAATTTTTCATACATATTTTTATCGATAGGTTTGTAGTTTCTGAATAACGGTCTATGTAAAGCATTTAACTCATTTGCTAGATCCGATTTAGAACTATTAGAGTTAAGCAACTCGCATTTTCATTGGAGGACATTGTCATATTTGTTTCAACCCAATAATCAACGAAAATATTCGTATAATTTAACAAAATTACGGAAAATCACTATAATAAATTCGAATTGTTAGTTAGGTTCGATCTTTTCTCTTCTTAAATAAATTTAAGCGTTAACGTTATTAGTCATTTGCATAAAAGTGTGTAATTTGGGTGGTATTCCACAAAATTTGCAGGCTATTGAGGAAACAGAAAATGTACAGATTACAGAAATAAATTGAAAATAATACTTATATTAAGTGCATACACATTTTTTTTTATATTGATCGCTGAGATGAAAGTAAAATAAGCCGTGAATATGTAAGTATTTCTTTTCCATGTTGAACACTACAGTTATATTAAAAAATAGTATTTTGCACATTGATAGATATGTCGATTTCACGACTAACCGTAATTGTTGTAAATTTTCAAGATAAAGCCAAGCCAAAAAATCTACATCAATAAATTGACATAATTTGATAATTTTTTTAGCATGACTTCCAATCACTAGCCTTAAAATACCCCAACACAGTATTGCCAACTACTTCATTCATTGTTGATCGCTCCATATATGTTATATAATGATATGATTTAATCTTCTAAATCCACTTAATTTGTATTTTTTTTATTTCATATTGTTAAATATGACATCATAAAACGTAATTAAAATGCCTATCTTTATTTCAACAGTTATTTCAGTATTTAACCCATTTTTACACAAATTTCTTATACATATAAAAATTGTATGTAGAGAAAAGTAACCAAATATGGAATAGTATTTCCTAATATAGAATACCGCCATTTCTTGGAAACGAATATGCGTAATAGCAATTGTTTACATGTTTGTTTGATTGTTTTAGGAGTTTTTTCTTGTCTGAATATGTTTAATAAAAATTCTGATATACATATTGATTAGTTTGAAATGTTTGTTTTATAGTTGTCCATATTTGGGTACCTATTCCAAATTTTATACTTAAAATATGTAACAGAAAACAGTTATTAAGTTATGTGTAACTGTATGACTGATAATAACTAAGAATACAAAATTTTGATTTACAATACTTTTTTTATATAGTGCAAAAACTAAATGGTATTCCATATTTGGTTATTTTCCTCTATTATAGAAAGTAAACTTGTTTAACTTGAAAGTTAAAAAAATTCAAAATATTTTTATGAGTTTCAATATCCTACAAAATAGAATATCACATTTTTTGAAGAATGACACGGTAATAGGTTTATTTAATATTTGTTGGTCACTTTACTACTGAAACACTCTGTACCGTTATTTTTCAGAAGTGGTTCATTTCTATAACTTTTTTATTTTCCCAGACAAAATAAAAACGAGATATGGTATGTGAGTATATGACATAAATCAGGATTAATTGACATATTCAATTTTTTTCAATCATTTTCTGTTTCACCAGAGATGACTACAATTTTTTATTTTGCATGAAAATTACACGATGAATCGAATGACATGTTATTTTTGTCAACTTTTGACATTTCCGATTAAAAAATTGTATTTAAATTACAATCTAGAGTGCAATTGCTGTATTCTTATTGAAAATTTGACTCGAAAGATCAAGTATGTGGTACATTACAGTAAATTATTCATTAAAAAATCATTTTTAACGTCATTTGAAACGTCGCAAAAAACATTAGACTATCAAATGTATTTTCCAATGATTTTTGATTAAAAATTAATGGTTTAACACAGACTCTAGATCCAAATTTAAAATACTCTTTTTTTAATTGAAATTGTCAAAAGTTTACATATGACATGGCATTCTGTCTGGGATTACCGTTTAAAAATCAAAAGTTGTAGTAATTTCCGGTGAAACAGGAAGTGACCGAAGCTAATTGAATACGTCAATCATTCCTGATGATTTATGTCATATACACAAATCTCGTTTTTTTTTATCTAAAAAAAATTAAAAAGGGATTAACTTTTAAAAATCACCCCGTATTGGGAAATATTTAAATTTGTTATATCTAACAACTGAATAATTATATTTAGTAAAGTTATTGATTTCACATTTTTTAATTTTGAGCAATATTTATAAAAGCCTGTTTTCTTAATTAGTAAATATTGCATTACTAAAAATATTCTTGATTGGTAACAATAAACATTGGTTAATCTTAATACTATTAAAAGGTACAAGTGTCTATATCTTGTCGTTAAATGCTTTATTATCATTTTCTTTATAATATCGAATAATTAAAATTATTAAAAAATCATAATTTATACGAAAAAAATTAACCTTGATGTAGATATTTTGTATCTGTATTATCCATCTTTTTTTAGTAGATAATTGTAATTAGAATTCTTTTTCTGTGATAGAGACAAAAAGTCCTTGTCTTTCCTAAGATCACAACATAACATTATTTATATTATAAGAAAATTAGACTGTATTTATTAAATATTAACTGTGTTTTTTTATAATTTCTTAACAACTAACATTTGAGACCCAAAACTACTGTATGATCGAAAAAAATCGGCGTGAAAGACGACTCATTTACTAAAAGTTTTCATAAAACTTGTTAAAAATTAACAATAATTATAGAAAGATTGAAAAAGGATAGAACGTTTCCAGACACACAAATCTATTTCCAAAAAAAAATATTTTTTCTCCAATTTAAACTACACCATTTAAAAATAATTTATACCTACTCAATAAAAAAATAAATTACAACCTTTTAAGGCTAACTGGCAGTAAAATTAAAAAATACAGAAGAGTACAGGCGAAGTAAAGACGTCTAGGGCTTGACCTTGCCAACATTATTGTCGATTATCATTCCCCAAACGCCGTTTAACGCCATTTTTTTTTCGATCGTATGGTATTAGGTTATAGAGAAACCCAAAATAAAAAACAAATGAAGGATCCAGGTGAAAAACATAATAACATTATTTCTTAATTTTAGGGTTTTACAGTATTATAGTAGATCTTACTAGTGAACTAGTCCTTAAAAATGTATAAACCCTGCAGGCGAATAACCAATAAGGTGTTAAATCCTGTGATATATGCCTAGTAAAAATATACATACAGGGGCAGAACCTGATAACCATCAGTCGTCCAGCGAAATAACTTGAGAAGTCCATTCCATTTTATTGCAGTCTTTTTTTCCATTCCACATACCTCCTTTATCTATTTCTTATACAGGGTGTCCCAGAAATAAGTGCAAATATTTTAACTGGTAGTAGAGTTCAACCCTAGAAACACGCCTATGAAGTTTTTTCGCGAAAAAAAAAATTGAAAGAAAGAAAAACCAGAAAAGATCCAGTGGTTCTCAAAATTTTAGCAAAAAATCTTTTTTTTTTGGAAATTTTCAAAGTAAAATAACTCCGTTATTTTGAACTTATTTGAAAAACGATAAAGAGAGAATATGTTTCTTTTATCGAGATCTACCACCCCTTAAAATATTTGCACTTATTTCTGGGACACCCTGTATATATCTCTCATATTATCATTCTGTGAAATATTCTATTAATTTATGTATTTCGGAGTTATCAGCCATCACCAGAGCCAACACTTACTTGTATCATTTTTTTATATTGTGCCATTCTATGTCAAGGCATTTTATTTCTATTGTCTATTTTAGAGTTGTAATTTTGGAAACATTTTCATGATTTTTTTAATTAATCATACAGACAGAGTTAAACTTAATAATTCTTAAATATAATTTATTATTTGTCTTTTATATCGATTGTATATTCATTAACACTTCTACGTATTTGATTTCATTTCTATTGATGCCTACATAGAATAATTGTATAGTTTTGGATTCTTTTTCTAATAGATTTTGTTTTCTTTCCGTTTCTAATTCCTTATAAATTGAGTTTTTTAATGGGATATTGTACTGCTTTGGAACAAGGATTTTTTTGGGACAGCTGCACTTCAATTCAACCATCCAGTTCAAGAGACAAGAGGCCATTGGCTTGATAAATTCAACATTCAGCAGTAGAATGAGTTGAAGAGGAACGAAATAACTTTAGGTAATTATACAAAAAGTTTGTAAATATCTTGTAACTGTATACTAACATTGTATTTTGTAAAATATGTAGATATAAATTATAATAAAATGAAATACTATTTATTTCTTTTTTTACAGATTTTGTACAAGAAATCGATGGATGGGGCAGTACATTTATCCTTTTGATGAATATTACCAACAATCAGGACATCTGCACTACAATTTAACCACTCTCTTCAAGATGCCCTTAGGTTGATTAAATTCAACATTCAACAGTGGATTGAGAATAAAATTCATCGTTGAAAAGGAAACTAAATAATTTTAGGTAACTAATTATACTAAAAAGTGTTTTTTTTTCTACTCAAATATATTTAATAAATATCTAATGTTACTGTATTTTGTAAAATATTGTTACGGATTCCGTGGGTGCACTATTTAAACTCACGATAAAATACTTAACGAATTTATTTGTCTCACTCTGTACACACAACTTATACTATTTACAACACAATTTATGCAACTACTATTACTCTAACGGTATTTCGCGGTATTATCAAACTTCAGACCTCAGACCAAGAACAGTTAACCTAATTAGTTTACCGTTCTTGACTTCAGACTATCTTCCATCTTCAGACTTCCAACCACACTTCCAACTGTCAAAGCGCGGGCCTTATATACCCCCTGGCGATGGTTTCTGGAATTTTCTAAAGAATTCTGTAATTTTCTTTTACTTTCTGGCGAATTCGCCAGGTTATGCAACCAGTAGTACACCTTGACCTTAACATTTTCTTTTACTTTCTTGCGAATTCGCCAGTTATGCAACCAGTAATACACCTAGACCTTAACAATATCAATATGTAGTTAGAAATAATTAATTTCAAATAAAGTATTTTTTGCACCCAATTTACTTTAGTTCCAGGCAACTATAAATACCCTTAATTGTATATAGAGTTGTCTATAAACGAATTTAATTATTTTTCATCACTTTTTTAATTATAATAATAATTCAAATTGCAAATAAAGCTAATTTAACCATATTTTTATCTTTGTAATACTATTAAAAAGGTTGTTTGTGTTACGAAGATCTTATAATATTTTATGTACCCTATCAATTTACTGTTTATTTAAAATTATAGAAGTAAAATACAATATGATCGAAAAAAAAACGACGTCAACGATGGCTATGAAATGAAAATCATTTCTAAGCCAACTGGATGCCGTTTTTTTTTCGAATATAGGGTAGTTTTTAATAAAGTTTTTTAGCGAACAATTAATTATTTTTTTTTTGTTTATTTCTTACAGAACCAAGACTTTCCAGAAGGGTAACCAGAAGATTTATTTACTTCCAACATAGACATCAGTATACCCATCAACACCTTGGATTGGATATACTTTTAGTATTACTATTGTTAATAAAATATAAGTTAATAAATAATAATTAATAACAAATGAGTTTTATTGGACTGAAATATGTTATACTGTCTAATCAAGAACAAATAGAAAATGGCATTTAATTATCACAAATAATTATATTCTAATACTAAACAACACTTAACAAGTTGTTCTGGAATAGACAGTATTCTATACACATCAAAATAGATCAAAATCTAGCATTTTAAGATACTGAATAAAAATTTGTCAGAACTGGTTTCTTCAGGACTGGTTTTTCAATTTGGAATGGTCAGATATTTGATCAAAATTTTCAACTAAATGGCGAATGTAACTGCTTACTCCTGGTACCGAAAAATACCTCCTCGCTCTTATATGTTCCTGATACAAGTTCAAGATTTCTCACTTTTTAATTAAAGTTGCCAAAAATAATTTCAACCCAGCAAATTTTGGAGTACCCGGCCAACGAGTTAGAATGAGTTAGATTTTTTCGAAAAACGTCAATCACGGCCGAACTATAATAGATATCGATGAACGGAAGACGGCAATCGATAGGGAATTCAATTCTCTATAAGGGAGCAAAATTAGGGGATGATCGGAGCAAAAAAAATTTTGGCCACAAATGAAGGAAGGTTGGTTACCCTTACCTCATTTTCCGCGAAAAATATTTTTTGTCTCCGATCATCCCGTAATTTTGCGCCCTTATGGAGGGTTGAATTCCCTATCGAATGCTCTATTGCGTTCCTCGATATTTCCCTTATTTTTCGAAATATTGGGGCTTTAATTTTTAAAACGAGGTCGAATTGCTAGAGATAGCAAAACTATCGTTGACCGATGCTATTGATACTAAATTTACGCCCTACCTCTTCACTCTTCTGCGTTCCTGATAGAAATCGGCAGTTTTCGTGCAATATTTGTCAAAAAGTTAATTTTCTTGGAGTTGTATCGGGAGTACATGAGAGCGACTAGGTAAATATACTATCTCTTCACGCTTATGTGTTCCTGATAGAAATCGGTGATTTTGGACAAGGATTAAAAACGATCGTTCAATTTTTGTTAAAAGCTGAATTTTCTGGAATTTGTATCAGGAGTGTTTAAGAGCGAAGAGGTATATACTTTATGCTATAATTTTTGCTACAAGCTGAAATATGGGTAAAGAGGAGGTAAAGGTAGGTATTATTTTCTTTAAAAATACTGTCTATTCCTGAATAACTCATACATTATTTTGTTTGATAATTAGATGACTTTCTATTTGTTCATGATTAGACAGTATTTCTAATATATTATGTTCAATGAAACTCATCTATTTTTAATTATTATTGTTTATTAAGTATAAAGTAATTATAAGAAATGAAGACTACAGGAGAAAAACGATCTAAGTCACATTTTCTTACTTTTGAGATATATGATTTTGAAACTTTAAAGAAAAGACTAAAGAAAAAGAAATAATAAAATGTAGCGAATCGTAAGAAGTTTTTATCAATAGTTATATGTATAGACATTAACTGATTAACAGACAAAACACAAAGAAAAATAATTTGTAGCAAATTTGTTAGATAAAATAAAACTCGTATTTGCTTGGTTCGATGGAAAGTGCCTTGGAATTGATTTGTTGTAGAAAATCGCTGTAAAAAGGAAAAAAAATAATATTATATTTCATAAATTATGCTATAATAATTGTGTTTATTATTTTTTTCATATTAAGATTAAATAATGTAGGTACCTTAAAAAATATGGTTAGTGTGTGAAACGTTTCTGTATTTCTATATACTCAATGTAGAACAAGAAAATTATGAAAATTGGAAAAATATATAAGTTTTTAAGGATGATGTAATTGAAATATTTGAAAGCAGTTTCAAAGTGAAAAAATCTATAGAAAGCAAGCAAACTATGGGTACTTACATTTGAGCAATGCAAAAATAGCGGATTAAACAGGCCTTAAGGAACAAAATGAACTCAAATGGTGCACAGAAAAACCACTTTTTCTATCAAAAAATTAGAAAAATTGTAAGAGCGACACAAGGACACCGCTAATAACGGAAAATGTCGCACCGTCAATGTTGTCAGATTGAACACAATGGTAATTTAATATATTATTTATTCCATCGAAAAAAAGTGTGTAATATATGTTTATTAGATTTATCAAAAGATTTATCGTGATTTTGTAATCGGTTTTGTAATACGGCTCAGTTCATTTTATATTTACAAAAATAGTGATTTAGGAGGACTTTGCTAATAACTTGGCAACGTTGGAAACACGATAGTTCAAAATTTTCTCACCTTTTTCACAATGGCGCCACCTGCACTCTTCTTCTTTTTCGAATTTTAGGTCTTAAACGAACTGTAACCACAGAATAAAAGTATAGTTCTTCCTCTTTTTTTATAATTATGTCCAAAACTCAGGTAACCACAGATTTGACATAGATTCTTCTTTCCTCTTAAATGGCTTGAACTTATATGGGTTATCCAGCTAGAGTACCTATTCTTGACCACTTGCATCTTCAAATATTGCTCGCATATCCGAGAACGCCATATAACAATGCATGTAAATGCGCATACGCAAAAATAATCTAAAAGGAGAGTCCAAACTGTATAATACAAAAGCAGAGGAGAGACAAGTTATAAAGTAAGAGCTGGCTGAATTCAATAAGAGCAAGTGACCTAACTTCGGAAAAGGAAGAACATGAAGTTAGGCGTATATCAATGACACATGACAAATGACAATGACATTAGTAAAGTGACTAACTTCAGAATGTGTATCTTTCTTTCGCCATAATTTCTTTCAAAGGTAAGGTTCGAATTGGTAATTTATAGTATTTTTTTAATAATCGTAATCATCTAACGAAAACTTCTTCCGAAAACTATTGTACTCTTTTGAGAGAATTGTTTTTTTAATATTGAAATTTATATTTTCACAATATATAAGTATATTGGACTTCTTTAATAACTTTTGCCATGTTATGTATACAGAAATACAATAACATATTTTTTATGTTAAAAATCAAATTTAGTCAATTCCTTTATGATGATTTATAATCCTTAGGACACCGCTGAATATGTTTCTGTCGATAATATAGGATACTGAAACTTCAGAAAGAAAAAAATGGCTTGTTTATATTTGAGATATGCACTAATTACTAATTTTAAACATTGCGATTTATAGATGGCCCCAACAGAGAAGCAGCCCGCCAAGGGCAAGAAGGTAGGAAAATCGAGAAACTATGATCTAGGAAACGGCATAGTTAGGTTTTCTCGAACCAAGATGTTTCATAAGAAAGCTTTATACAAATTTATTGGTAAGAAAGTAGCCGCTGAAAAGAAACCTGTTAAGCCACGTGTTATTGAGAAACAAATCGGTGGCGAGAAAAACGGAGGAAAGCGTTTTGTTTTGGTAGAAAAGCGTCGGGCAGTTTACCCTACACAAGAGAGGTTAGTAAGTTTTTTTAAAATAACGATTTTTTTTCCATTACTGTGTTTTGTCTATTGCAGAATCAAGAAGCGACCAGCTAAACAATTATTTAAGGACCATTCTAGAACATTAAGAGCCTCAATCAGCCCTGGAACAGTACTGATTCTTTTGGCTGGTTCACATAAAGGAAAGCGTGTTGTTTTCTTGAAACAACTTAAATCAGGACTTCTCCTTGTTACTGGTGAGTACAATTTGATGTGTGAATTTTTAAAATCGTCATCATTTTATTATTTATCTGCAGGTCCATTTGGTATTAATGCATGCCCTCTGAGGAGAATCAGTCAAAGATACGTTATTGGTACACAAACAAAAATTGACATCAGTGATGTTAAATTACCAGAAACTCTTAATGACGAATATTTCAAGAGACAAAGACAGAAGAGGGCCAAAAAAGAAGAGGGTGACATTTTCCAAACTAAAAAACAAGTAAGAGTGATTTATGATTTTACTATATAATAAGTAAATAATTATGATGATTTATCTTAGGACACCTTTGAATAAAAGTGAAATTACTAAATATAACTACTGAAATCCTGTATAAATGATACTTGAATTTTTTTAATGAATGTATATTTTACTTAAGTTTATTTAATTTTAGGGATATAAAGTGAGCGATCAAAGAAAAACTGACCAGAAAGAAGTTGATACCCAAGTATTAGCTGCAATCAGAAAACACCCAGACAGGTAAATATTTAAGTTCATTATTCTTCCAAAGATAGAATTCTTGCAGTGATTTGCATATTTTACTGTCAATTTTTTATATATCTGTTGACTTCATTAATTGTCCTGTCTAATGCTGTTAAACTATTTCTAAATGATACTTAACAGTTTCGCTTCAGGACTAAAGTATAGTAAAATTTACCATAAACTTTTTCACCATATGAAGTTTATAAAATCTTTTACAACAAACATGGCATTTTTAATTTTTAATGCTTGATTAATATTCATTTGTTGAAAAATTATCATTAATCTTTTTTTTATAGGAAAGTTCTTTTGGCGTACTTGTCAGCAATGTTTGGCCTGCGATCCAGTCAATTTCCACACAGGCTACAATTTTAGACAGTAAGAAAACCATAGTTTATTGGTGATTGTGTTGTACATTATTATTTCAATAAATTGTGGATTTATTTAATTTGTGTTTTTAATTTTTATTCTTGTATAAATTATTTATTGTAATTAGTAAGACTGAGGGAATAAAAAACCGTTTAAACAATATACAAGCTTTATTTATAATATAATGGCACCAATAATAATATAACATTACTCTCAAAATGGAATATGTACTTTACACCAAAGTGTCCAAATAAAAATATCTTACAAATATTGAAATATCAGACTAGTTGGAATATTTTATACATTGCTTAGAATATTTCGAAAAAATCACATGAAAAATCTTGCACATAATAAAACAGTAGTTGTTCAAATTTACAAAATGTAATTATAAAATATCTTTGGTTTGACTAAACCTAATGTTAAAAAAGCCTTCTCCAAAATATCTTTACAAATGATTTTAATACAAGTTTTTTTATATTGCTAGGGGTGATAACTTTATGGTTGGTTCACACATTTACTGTCCTCCATTCACGCAGTTGTGCAGCTCTGAATTGTTCAAGAACGCGAATCTCACTCCATTCAATTGAGTCATAAAGTTCAGAACTGTTCCGCGCCATATGAATGCACCAGGCTACTGCGCACAGCTCCTTTCAGAACAGTTCACGAGTAGCCCAGGGCGTAAAGCACTGGAACTTGAAGTTCGCGAATGGGGGACAGCAATTTAAAGTATTAGTCCTAACCTTACCCTCAACATTAACCTTGAGAACTTAAGGAAATGCCATTCATATTTTACCACGAAGAAAATTTAGTATGCGCTTACAACTCAAAACGTATTTATAAGTTAACCTAACTTTACAAATATTTTTAGAATTTCAGAAAAAGAGAAATGTTCACTTGTTTATGAATAAACCTTAATGATTTCTAAACGAAAGCATAGATGACCATAGGTTTGTTCCAACACAGAAATTTGTATCGTTCTATAACGGTAATTGGGATCGCCGGCATAGGATTTGTACGCATGTGTCGACTTGGACAGTTCTGTTACTATACCATAATTAAAAATGTAAGTTGGAACGGTTTTTTTCAACTGATCTTAGAATCAAATGACTAAAGAATACAAGGACAAATAATAACATCCAAGACCAAACTGTGAACATTCTTCCAAACAGTGCCATGGAACATATTTTTCTTAACATAGCCGCTTGAAGCAATATTTATATTTTTGATAAATGCTACGCCTATGGCGTGTCTGGTGGTATCATACTAATTAATTCCGAAAAAAACGTATTAAAATGTTAACAAAAAGTGCAAAACTAGTATCGACGTAGAGAACATATCAAGTACATATAATATCAGAAAAATAATTATCGAATTCAATAAAAAAAAAAACTAAAAAGGTGTAGTGGACTGTTTATTTCCCCTATAAAACGTAACTCCTGGCATTTTCTTATCATTGCGCCTTTTACACTTGAAAGCTGAACAAACTACCATTGTAATACAGTTTATACAAAGTTCACTACACACAAACAACTACTAAAAATCGCTAAAATTGTTGCTGATGGCCCGCTGATGACTCATTCGATATGTCCAAAAAAATGGCGTCTAAAGGTACGCGCACACTGACCAGAGCCGTACGCGCCGCATCGACCGAAGAAAAATATTGTTTGCGTTACTTTCAATAAAGGTGCGCACACTAGCCAGAGCCGCACGAATCGCATCGACGAAAATGCGGCCAGCATTGTTGGGCCAGAATGATTTTCGGTAAATGCGGCTAGTGCTGCTGACGTCACACGCAATTCCTTCCACTCTACGTAGCGTAGGTAGCCGAAAGGAGATTATAAATTCAATATGCTAAGAAAGTTCCAAATTTTTCATGGGTTATATTGAAATATTGAAAACTTTTTAATTCATCCGCAATTAAATATGGAAATAATGTGAATTTTTGCCAATATTGTGAACCTATAACTTCCGATTCTTTCTCGTGATTTCTTCTTCTATTAGCAAGGAGCTCATAATTATTTCTTGTTCGTTGTCATTTAGTGTCGAGAAATATTAAAAAAACACGCTTATCACCGCAGACAGGATTCCGGAAGCGACTGATGAGAAATTCGATTGGTAAATACGGGTGTAGTAGGGGCAAAAAGAAACAAAACAGCGAAAAATGCGGCGCGTTCGGTACGGCTCAGTGTGCGCGCCAAGAAAAAAAAGTGCGATTCGTGCGGCGGGTGCGTCTCTGGTCGTCTTAATGTGCGCGTACCTTAAGGTCACAAATTCTGCTGCAGCCCGTATATGGGCGTTACATGTTCTTGTATTCTTTAGTCATTGATATAAACTCAGGGTTAGGTTAGGTTAGGTTTAGATTAAGATCAGAAGTGTGAACCAGCCATATTAATATTAATTGGCTAAGAACTAGTTCAAACCTCGGTTGTTTGTGTTTAAATACAATCAATTTTACACATCTTTAAAAAACTAAATATATGTAATACTAAAGTAACAAAATAAATAATTACACTAAGTATAAAAGTTTTAAAATACAGCAATCAAAACGTAATATGCCGGACGTGATAACAAAAGATTTTTAAAATATAACAACATTTAAAATTTAAAAGGACAACAATAATTCTTTTCAGGGAACAAATATTTTTTTATATTTATTAGGCCTTAAGCTATACTGGAGTTATGTATTTCTAAATTTAAAGAAAAAAATACATATTAGTAATGTATTATAGTTTCCATTTTTGAAAAATATAGATTTTATAAATTTCAAAAAATTACTTTTCACTATTTATTACTATGACGACGTAGGCTTTGGATTTCCATAGAAAGTTCTTTGACCATGAAATGTTTTCGATCATTCTGTATTCTGTCTTAAATAACCAACAATTCATTTTTTTTGGAAACCAGACATATTCAATCATTTTTTTTTTCACTAAATCATGCGTTACGTATAAATTCTATATAATCTCGTAAAAATAAGGATCATATATCCTGTAATTATAAAAAGATTCATTTATTTATTATATTAATATCTGCGAATTTATATCTTTTAAGTTGTTGATATAAAAATATGGCTATTTCAAGGAAACTGAGAAAATACTTATTTTCGAGTTTCATTTTTTTTACAAATCAAATATAAAATAATAACTATAAAGACAAATATTAAAAACAAAATTCAATCTCTAGCAATTTTTCATCTAGTGATACCATCTAGGAAATTTGTTACTTATCAAACAAATGGAGATTTTTCAAACTTTGTTTGTAACTGCACGTTTTTTTTCAAATTTTATTCGGAATATACAGGATGTTTCTGGCTGAGTTTGTATTAGAAGTCTCTACAGTATGTCTTCCGATTGTCTTTACAAAAGGAAACACTTTTATTAACGTTTTGAGAAAAAATGCATTCTTCATAAAAAATTTTACTTGTTCTAAGATATGGTTTATACTTTTCCAAACTTGTATAGCGTTTTAAGAAAAATAAAAAAAATATGAAAATTTGGAAAAGTATAAACGAGATTAACCAATGTCGCATTTTTCTCAAAAGTTAATAAAAGTTTTCCTTCTTGTCAAGACAATCCGGGATATACTGTAGGTATTTCAGTTTTGTAAACAGCCAGGGACACCCTGTATATATTTTAAGTTGTTTAATACAAAATATTAATATTTCAAAAAAACGGGGAAAATACATATTTTCCAGCTCCATATTTTTTCCAATTATAAAGAAAAATAATCAAAGCAGGCTCAAGTATCTTTTTATATTCAGTCTCTCTTATAGGTGAATTTTTCTCACTAGTAATTTTTCATCCAACGTTATGTAGAAAATTTGTCCCGGAACCACTTAAAAACGGGTGATTTTTCGGGTACCGTTCGTGAACTAGTAGTTTCTGCAAAAAATACGTTTATTTTATTTAAATCGGCTGTTATCTAAGCATTCACTATAACGTTTGAAACGACACTCTTATTACTTCAAAAGAATTCAGGATTTTTCGCCACTAAAAAAATTTATAACATAAAAAGTTATTTTTTGTAAACACCACTGCGTTGATCTAACCTAGACCAATTTTACAGTGATATTTTACTAGTAAAACAAAGATGGCGATTTAGCACTCGATTATGCTTAAACGTTTAATTATGCTTAACGTTTCAGGAGGAGATATCTCTCGTCTACTATTCAAGAACACTTTGTTTTTTTGCAGGTACGTCTACAAGCGTCTAACAGCGCTTTCAGATGTAGCGGAGCGTCCGCGCGGACCTTCCGTCGTGTTTTTTTCAAGATAGCCATCGGACGAAATCATCCGGACGGAGCATACGCGACCCATGTGAAATTGTTCATATAAACTCATGGTACTTGCTCGAAGTCGCGGACGGTCCGCTCCATCTGAAAGCGCTGTAAAGTGCACGGTATCACTGCGTGCCGCGTTGCCAGTTTTCACCTTTTTGGCCACTACGTTTTGAGAGAAGAAAAGACATTAAGATTACGATATTTACGAAAAAAGATTTTATATTAATTCTTGCATTTAGCCGGACCGTGAAACTTTACAACCCGCAGTTCCGCATGCGCATAAATCATAATCGGTCGGGTATTTCGCGTGCAATCTAAAAAAACTTATTCCAGAGAATAACCACCGCAATCAAAACATGCCTATGGATATGGCGTGTTTTTGCGGAATTGCGGGTTGTTAAGTTGCACGGTCTGGATAGACTCAAATGAGAATAGTAATGGTTCTTAAGTTAATGTCTTTATTCTTTTTATAATTACTCAAAGCTTTTTCGATTCGGGCGATTATAAGTACGTGATAATAAGTACCATCTGACAACAGCGCTAAAATTTCCAATTTTATACGCCATCCACACCGCTGTGATACCGTGCACTTTAGAGGCTTGTGGTACGTCTATTATAAACCCTTGAAGTTCTGCTAAAACGACATTATATGAAGTCAGACTTCAAACTTACAATTACTTAATTGGCAAATATAAAATTGGCAAAACCAAAAAGCTTCAAACTTTCTGTATATGATTATTTTTAGTTATCAAAGAAGCGATAACCATACAATACTCACCTCTACAGATGTCTGAGCAATA